TGGAAGATGCAAGCCCCCCCTCCTCTGCGGAGCTTCGGCACCCCTAGAACGTCAGTGTCTTTCAAGCCTGAGAGACGGGAAAGAGGTCCCTCCCTCTCTTGTGATTCATATTCTTCTGGAAAAAGAAAGAATTGAATTTCACTGCAACTTCTCATAGATTTTTTTTAAACTGATCCCAAGTAGGAGTCCAGCTCATTAGACCTGGCATGTACACTGGCATTTAGAGAAATCAGGTCGGAGGAAGTCATGTGTGTGTATAGGCACAGATGTATTTATATGCTAAATTCATTAGGGTTTCCTAAATGCAAAAGCAATTCTGCTGTCACAGAGAAACAGTGTGGCAGAATATTCGGCAGCCGGAATTTTAAATAAAACATGCTTTTTCTTCATAATTAATATAACAAGGCTTCCTGGCTTAGGGCTTGGCAAAGATCCCAGGGAAAATGGTGGGGGGAGGGTTGGTGTGATGTGCTTGTGACCGAACAACAGGAAGACTTTGTGCTGAGTGAGCACTGCTGGGTGTGCCCCTCGCCCAGAGAGCACTCAATGTTAAACCAAACAAAACAAATCTCACAACAATAATGGCTAAAAATAAATATAATAACAGCAGCCATGTATTAAGTCTTTACCGCCGCTTATATTCTCATTTAAACTTCATAAAAAGTCTAAAAGGTAGGGACCAGTGTCACTCTGATTTCAAGATAAGAAACTAAGTTATAGAGAAGTTTGATGATCAATAAGGAACTAAACCAAAAGCAAGGTGGATAATCTATCCAAGATGGCATTTGTGGTAGGTCACAGAGCTGGGATTCAAATCTTTCTGCCAAGGCCAGCTTCTATGCTCATAGCCACAGTGGTATCGATGGTCCCGATAGTCCCTGCCCAAAAACAGTAGGACTGTTGACAATGTACCTTCAGCACAACAATTAAAAAGAAAGAAAGAAAGAAAAGGGCTGTTCAATGTGGAACCAAAGACTCTTGCTTCCAGCAGGAGATAAAGCTGGCCCTTCCTGGAGCCTTCCCAGGGGAGAAGCTTTTACCATCTTGCCAGATAACTAAGCAATTAGACCAGTGTTTTCCAAACTTCAATCACGAATGAATCCATCTTCAGAAATTTTGCCACATCCCAATCTAGTTTCTTCATACTTCTGTTAAACATACTATTTCTCTATGACACTGACTTATTTTTAAAGGATGGGGTTACTCTACTATAAAGGAGAATCAAAGAACACAAAGCAGTGCCATGGAGTCTTTCCCTGGGGTGGAGTGGGAAAGTGGAGGGAAGCTTGGGAAGGGAGCGAATGACTTTCCCATGCTGTGTCCCCTTGTCAGGTCACACCCTGGTCAGTCACAGCCTAAATCAACTCCTGTACCTTTAGGGGTTCACATGCCATAGCATGGAAAAGCCAGAAGTGTGGACAGCTTCCCTGATGGCATTCTTTAGGTACAGTCAGTGGTAATGGTTACACAACTGTGAGAAGGTAATGAGTGCTACTGAATGCTACACTTACAAATGGTCAAAATGATAAGTAATAAGTTATGTATATTTTAGCAAAAAGAAAAAAAAAGCCACAGATACAACCACTTCTCAGGTGACCACTCCCCTGGTGGCTTAGCTAATGTTGGCAGCAGAAGTAGAGCAGGAGAGTGCTATGGGACAACGCTCAGGCTGGTGAGCTGAACACTGACAACTGCTGTCCTCTGCCACCTCTACCACTCCTTACGGTCTTGAGCTGTTTGTCCCACAGTGAGGACTGGCTGTACCCAACTGTGTGCAGAGTCCTCTTCTGCCCAGCTGCCTTTCAGGGTGACACAACCCTTCCCTGGTGGTAGGCAGCATCTGGTCAACCACCCAGCATAAGCATCTGAGAAGGAAGGGGTAGCTGGGATGAGAGTCCCAACCTTACTTACCTGCTCCTGGATCATTCTGAGCTGAGCCTCTTGCCCAAAAGGACAGACCCATCCCATTTTCCCCCTCCACTGCCTCCCAGTTATCTGAGAACCATTTTCCATAAACTACATGTAATCCTTGGAACACACCAACTCAGACTTTCTGCCACAGCCTTTTTGTTTTGTTTCCCAGAAGGTCTGAAATTCTGAAAGACTGGGGAAGAACCTGAGTTGAAATAAACACTGGATTAGAGTTAGGACAAAACAGATAAAATGTCAATACCCACCCTGTCCCCAAGACTCATAGACACAGAGCCTTTTCTCTCTTTCTGCCCCTCCCTGCCTTCCTCACCAACCACCCATTTCCTAGAAGGCAAAACTCGCTGGGGGGAGTTTAACATTGCCAAGGGCCTGCTCCTGACCTTGGGAAGGTCAGAGTCTGTGTCATGGATCAATTGAGGATGTTCAAGTATGGAGTAGGAGGCCCAGAGTGGTCTTTCTAAATTCCAGGCAAGGTACTCAGTTTTCTAAGTATGAGAAGCAACTGGGTCTAGCTCTTGAGGAAGGGCAGGACCAATTGAGACCAGGTGCTGTTTTATTCCCATTAAAACTTAGGGATGGAGGTGGCAGGGGAAGTGGCAATGGCTTACATGCCTCTTGTCCCTGATAGAGATGTTTGTTAAGGTGTGTTTGCCACAAAGGCTCTCTTCTGTGCTTCCTCCAGCTGCTACTGGGTCCAGCCAGGCCTGAGCCCAACTGGACCTTTACAAAGCTTTCCAAGAACAGGGTCCTAATATCTTAATCTAGCTCATCACCTGCCTTTTAGGGTTAAGAGCCCTCCATGTCTCCTTTTGCCGCAGTGTGTGATGCCGTATTCCCTCATCTCTTTCCAAGGGTGGCTAAAGGCAAGGAATTCCATCCAAGACTGACACAAGACACCCTAGCTCCAGTGTTTGCAAACCTGTTTCATACCTCTAAAATGGTCATAATTATAATACCTAAGTTATCAAGTACTGTGTGCGGGAAATGAGACAATATGGATATTGAACATGGAGAATGGTCCCTTGTTCACTGTCAGCTCTAATAAATGTGAACTGAGATCATTTTTCTTGCTTCTAAGTTATCTCCTCCTCCTTCCTCCCCTCTTCCTCCTTTATATGTTTTCTTCTTTGGATTTACAACTCCCAGCAGTTAAAGTTCCCCTGTTATTCCCTGTCTGGAAACACTGAACAGAATGATGGACTACCTAAAGCCCATGTTGAAGCACCTATTGCTGGCTCCATAGTACTAGCAGCTGTTCTACTAAAACTAGGGCAAACCGTGCTCATCCTTCCCACTTTTGCCCTTGTCCAGGTCAGCATCAGGGATCTAGCTGCATGGATCCCATCCGGTACCCAGATACCAGCTCTGATACTGGGTTGCCAGCTTCCACACGGCACCATAGCCCCTCTGTGGGTAGACACAGAGATTCACAAACTCCCCGAGAGCTGGCTGCATCTGAAGGGCCAACTCTGCCAGGGATTCCCATTCTTGTGGTTTGATTTCCCTCCAGGGCCCATGCCTATGAAGGGCACGTCTGCCACCTGCTGGCTATGGGCTGCGTGGCATCGGGTTGTCCCTCAGCACCTCAGCTTGGGTACAGATCCTGGAGACCCTTCTGTACTGGGCCCTGACAAAGGATGACCCCCAAAGTCCTCTGCCCTGCCCCATCACTTCTCAGAGCTGCCAGTAGCCAGACATGGCCACCTATTCAACTCAGATAGGAGATTCGCACAGTAGCTCATTGGGTAGAAGGCCAGGCCCTGCTCTCTAGACAAGTTCAGTGAGAGGAAGGGTAGGCAGGGACCAGGGCCAAGACACAGGTGACTGGTTGCAGTGAGGGCAAGGCTGAAGGTGGGGCACATTTGTTCTTGGGGTTCCCTCATGCCCCTTTTATGTCTCTGTCCGCACTCACTCTCAGAATGTCAATGTTACACTCACGCCCAGGAATGCCCTGGGACCTGGTAGCCCTCCCTGAGCCAGGCTTCACTTCTATCAATCCATCCCCACCCCTACACAAAACATCTGTCCCTGTCTCAGTCCCTGTAGAAACAGGGCCAGGGGACCCTGAGATAATCAGCAGAGGCACAGTCCCAGATAACAAATGGCCTCCCTTCCAGTTTTTGCATTCCTCCCCCTTCCCTATCTTTAATTTATAATTTTTTCAAGCCTACAGAAAAACACAGTGCATATCCTTCATGCAGATAGATGAAAATTTGTTAACATTTTGCCATATTTGTGCTCCCTCATTCTCCCTTGCATGAGTGTGTCTGTTTTGTTTTGCTTGCTGGTTTGTTGAATCATTTGCAAGTAGAGAGCAGACATCACCCTAAACTTTCAGCATTCATCTCTTAAGTACATTTTCTTACAAAATCAAATACCATTATTCACTCTCAAGAAATTAAATATACATATAACAATGCTAACATAAGTCTATTTAAATGCCCCAATTTTCTCAATAATGTCCTTTTTAAATCCAGGATCCAGTCACACACCACACACTGCATTTAGATGTCAAGTCTTTAATGAAAGATAGCCTCTATCTTTTGCTTCTTTTTTTTTTTGGTAGTACTGGGGAGTGAATGCAAGGGCCTTACATTTGCTAGGCAAGTACTCTGCTAAGTGAGCCGCAAACGACTGTCAGTCATTTTGGTTTTAATTTGTTTTTCAGATCAGGTCTCATGCTTTTGCTCTGTGATATGCCTACTTCCCCTCCCTGAGTAGCTGGGATTACAAGCATGAACCCCCATGCCCAGCCTTTTGTTTTCTAAATTGGTCTTGTATGGTGTCAGCATTTAGTTGTTTTACAGAATGCCTTATGATTTGGGTCTCACAATTGGATCTGTCACATTCCTCAGGAGTATATTCAAGACAGGCATTTTTGTCAATGCTACTTGCTAATGTTTCATCTTTAATACATATCAGGGACATTATTATTATTATTATTTCTATTTCTTTCTTTGTAATTTGGCATCTGCCTATTTCCTAAAATTGTTAAAGGAAGCCTACAGTAAAACAGAAAGTGAAAACTTCAGCTAGAATTTAGGAAGCAAACAAACCAAACTGCCTAGATGGAGGTAGGTACCCAGAAGATGCATTGGAACTCAGGTTTCTGGTCACCAAGGCCCAAAGGTTTGGTAGCCTAGACCCTGTCTAGTGAGAAACTCATTTGCTAAATCAGAGGTCAGCAAACTTTGTTCATAAAATGCCAGTTAGCAATTTTTTTGAGCTATACTTGCCCTGTCATAACAATTCTGCCATTGTAAGACAAAAGCAGCCATAAAATATGTAAAAAATAGACAGAGATGTTTTCCAATAAAACTTTATGTATAAAAACACAACTGCTGGGTTTTGCCCAAGGGCCTTTGTGTGCTGCAGGAGGGGTGGTATTTGTCCTCATGGTTTCTTCATGCCACCTTTTTGACACTCATACCCAGAGTTTCAATGTCAGACTCTCCCACTGAAGCACCCTAGGCCCTAGAACATCCCGGGACCTGGTTGTGACTCTCCTCTCCAGCCAGGTATTTAAGTGAAAAAGACTACATTCCATTTATTAAATGAATAAAGCTTTCTTTTCTGGTTACAAATCATATGCTAAAAGGAACTGTTCAGATCATTATTTACTTATTCAGAAGAAACATTTCAAGGCATGCCATGTGCCACACGCTTGCAAGATGCTGGTAATGCATTAGTGACAAAACGGACAAGATCCCTGCCTATCTGGAAGACAGAGTTTGATGTGAGAGACAGGCGACATGCAAATAAATAAATACAAAACTGCATGCTGTATGAAGGACCATGGAGGGAATGAACGGACACAATAACAAAATAAAGGAGGTGGAAGTTGTCATACTGATAGGGTATTTGGGGAAGGCCTCCTGGAGAAGGAGGTCTCATTTAAACTGAGACCTAGGGAAGGTCACAGAGGAGGACATACTGACAAGGGGACAGACAGTACAAAGGCCCTGAAATAAGGGATTTGGCTTGCCCCACTTTGAAGACAGATGTTGCAGGAGCTTAGTGAGAAGTAGTGAGAGGGAGGCATATGGGAAACGAGGTCTACAGGTAAGGCAAGTGTTTGCACTTTATTCCAAGATCAATGGGAAGTGTCTGGAGCGTTTAAAGCACTTGTCCATTTCCAATCCCCAGGGGCTGTCACCCAAGCAAACCACTTAGACTTGAGCATAAATCCTAATCCTGTAACCGGAGTCTACAGTTCCTCCTCTGTGAACAAAGCTAATAAAAGCCTCTTCATAAGGGTGTTGTACGAACATAATGTGCCACCTACCATCCTGCAGGGAAGCTAATAGCCACTGTATCTGGCAACAGCATCAGTACCTGGGCAGCCCTATTCCAGCAGATGTGTCTATTGAGGAAGAAGAGCCATGCCCCATGAACTGGAGGTGGTGTATCCTCAAATAGGCTCTGCCCCTCCCACCACCCCCTTTCTGCTGCCGTTCTCAGAAAGCACCCAATGCACCTGCATCCCAGTCCTTCCTGACAAAACCAGCTTGGGAAGGCACTTGGTGACTTGATCTGGTCAGGGGTCAACATGCTCTGCTCTGTGTTGCTTTGTTTTTCAGTTCTCCCTGTCCTTCCTGGACCCTCCGGACCCAGGTGAGTGTGCTTATCACCCTGGGTTTCTCACCATCCATGGGCTAATTCTGGGATGGAAGAAAGGACCCAAACACGGAAGTGCTGGAGGGACCTGGGGGTTCAGCTGGTTCCCGGATGTCACAGATGCCTTTGAGAATTTGCTTAGGAACATTGAGTTCACCCGATGCTTCACACAATTTCAGGTTTCCTGTGGACACCCCTGATGACCAGTCTCAGGACCTAAACTGATCTTATAGATAACCTCTCTGATTTTACAGTGAAAGAAACTGGAGCCCAAAGAGGAGATGCAATGTTCTTCTGGTCACACAGCCCATTTAGCACTTGAGATGCCATCTGACAGGTGGCCTCAGGATGATAGGTCCTAGTAATGGCCTTTCCTTAGCCTCCCCACCATTGTCCTCTACTTGATTCTTAATTGATTTTTTGGCAGTAGTAGGGTTTGAACTCAGGGCCTCACACTTGTAGGCAGGTGCTTTATCACATGAGCCACTTTGCCAGCCCCCTCTTCCTGATTCTTTTGCCTCTTCAGGCTAATGTGTATACCACCCAGCGGGCCTTGCTCCATCATATAAGTTCTCTCACAGACTTACCGTCACCTTGTTCCCTTTCTGTTTCCTCTACCTCTTTCCTACAGCATCAGCTACTCACAATCACAGACCAAGTCCCAGTCTTCTCTGGCTGCCCTGAGCCAAGAGGAGAAAGTCCCTTCACTGCTCTGTTGTCCCAGAGACTGGCACCCTCACTGGTAGGGGCCCAGGCTGCTCACCCCCATTGGACCACAGCCAGCCAGCACATGGTGACAATAGCCACACCTACACTTTAGATCAAAGATGATGGTAACTGGGCCAAATGCAGTTTTGTGGCCAATGTTTTTCAGAAGCAAAGCCCTGGATGGACAGACAGACTTATGGCACTCAGAGTGGCTCTGTCTCGCCCCCCATGCTCAGGTAGTGGAAGAAAAATAAGTATAAGCATGGCATGTGGATTTTGAGAGACTCCATGTCTTTTCCAAAGCAAAGAAGAGAATTCAACAATACACAGTCCAGTTCCTCAGAAGGCCTACATTCTGAGGGCTACCCTTGCTGATGACCACACCCCTCCCACGCACAGACTCCAGAGCTTTCTCTAGTCAAAGCCAGGGCTAGAAGGGTTGCCTTTTCCCCATCCCTGAGCACAATTTCTCAGACACCATTAAAAGGGCTCCTTGGCCTAGGTATCAGAGTTAAAGGTGGGGTGACTCGGGAGGAGACAGGAGTGTAGAAGAGTCAAGGGACCTCACTCAGGTGTCTGAAAAGCAGCCTCTATCCTAGTCTCTAAGGAGACTTTGTAGGGATTAAGAAGTATCTTCATCTCAAGATACTTTGTTGTTGTTTGTCAGAAAGTTATAAAGGATGTCTACAATGGGTTTATGACACGGTAGAATTGTGTTGTGAACAACTTGAACACCCATAAGGCATGGCCTGGATTCATTCTATGTGTCCACAGGTTTATAACTTTAATACACAGATTGGGAACTGTAGAGTCAGATTGCTCTGCAGACAGGAAGAACTTCCTAACCATCAGTTGTCCAAACGTCTGAATGGGCTGTTAGACTCTTGGGAAGTAATGAGTTTCCCATGACTGCATGTATTTAAGCACAGGTGGAGAAGCAACTTTGGAAGGCATGAAGAGTATTTGTATCCTGAGGCACTGGGCTCTGCCATTAGTCATTGAGAATTTGGTGAGCGAATAAGCGAGTTGCCCCTGGATCCACAGTCCATCCTGAGGTGCTCATCAGCTATGGAGCAGGGTGTGATGTGGGGGTTAGACCTTTCTGTAAAGGGTAGGTTAGGTTTTAAGAGCATCACAGTCAGGTATGGGATTTCATTGTTCTCAAGGGCTGTGCTTTGATGGAATTTGTCAGGCTATGTGCCTTTAGACAGCAGTGTGGCAAGGAGGCACCATACACATGCCCACAGGCAAGCTGCTTTCTTGGTTGGTCTTGCTGGAGACAGCACATGAGGGGGCCTTGCTGAAGCAGAAGGTACCTGGTCCACAGTCTCCAGTGAGTGGCAGAAGAGATGGTCATCAAACAGAGCAGATTCTGCTCACCTCCCCAAAGCAGGTGATGAGCAGTCAGCAGGCCTGCAGAAGGGTCCCTTCAAAGCTGGCTTGGCTCTGCCCAGCAACTCAGGCTGTGCCCGTCCATCAGCTGTCCTGCTGCCTGCCAGCCAGGCTCTCTGCTGCACTTGCCCTGTCAGCCAGACTGGAAGTGTCAAATGGAGGCCGACAGGGCTGGGGCTTGGGGAGGCCCTCAGATGAGCCATCTATGCCACGGTGATGGATGACGCCAACAGGGACGACATTCCGGGGATTTTTGTTCTGTTCCACACATCTGGCAAGCTCTTTAACTGGAGCAGCTGCAAAGTCCTCATTGCAGGAACTCTGAGCTTTTTCTGAGAGACCCTGCACATGGACCACAGTAATTCTTGCAAGAGACTTTATGCTACAGAAGATTTTCCAATGTGTGCTACTTCCTGAACACTAAGAGCCATGGAGTTTCTGAAACACAAGCTCACAAGAAGTTCCAGGCTCATAAAGAGATACACAGGACTTGGGGTTAGATAGACCTGGGGTGGGATGTCACATCATTCTACCTTGGTGTTTCCTAATGTGTAGAAAGGAATAATGATGCCTGTGCCATAGGGGTGTGTGAAGGTTAAGGTTGCATTCAAGCACACTTACTTAGTGTACTGTCTGACATGTAGAAAATAGTCAATATGTACTAATCCTATTATTAGGACTATTTGGATTAATTCAGGATACCCTCACCATTCTTCCTTATAATATCTAGAAATAGACACTGATAAACAGACAAATCCACAGGGATTATATTTTGTACCTAATATAAACTGCCTCTGATAACCACTAGCCTCCCCTTTTCTATAGTTCAGAGAAAGTCTCAAATAATCTGACTTTAAACCCAAGGTAGTTTTCTCCAATCTGTCAATGGAACCAGATTTTCCATCAGAGAGCAATTCCTCTGTACCCAGAAAAGCATTTGGACAAGTTTCTGGATTCTTGCAGAGTTCATCAGGAATTTTCTTCACTAAGTACGGGTGACCCAAATCTCACCTGGCTCTTTCCTAAATTCCCTGCTCACTCTGCTTCAAGCAACCACCATCTTTGAGGGTTGACTGTGCTGGCCAGTCAGAAGGCAGGGAAACTCAGTCCTGGGGAAAATTGATCTGTCAGACATAGCAATTGCATGAAGGACTTCCTTTTGGGCACAGTGTGGTAGAGAGATAGAAGTGGCCCTTACTCTTAAAAAACTAGTTATCTAGATGGAAGAAATAAATCAAATAGACCAATTTAAGCCCCATCTGAGATCCAGTCACCCAGCCAAAATTCTGCAGCAAGAGAGCCAGTGAGGAATCTAAAATTTTTCTCCCATGGGCAGCCTGGTATCAATCACACCCTGGGTGTCTGTTACTGCATAATATGCTATCCCAAACTCAGAGGTGTCAAGCATTAACCATATATTTAGATATTAAGTCTTTGGGCCAGCAACTTAGAATGGGTTCAGCTGGACAGTTCTGGTTAGAGATAGACTCAGCTAAGCTGAGCTGAGCCTCCCATGTCTGCAGCCAATTGGGAGAGCGGCTGGGGTCTCATTTTGCTGATCTTGTCTGGTCTTTCTCATGTCTGAGGCCTCAGCTGGGATCACTGGGTCATCTACCACTTCCTATGTCCTCTTAGCCTCTTGAAGAATAGACCAAACTATTCAAATGACAGTCAGTCTCAGAGGCCCAGTAGAGAGAAGGAGAAGGAGGAGAGGGGGAGCGGGAGTAAGTGAGGGAGGAGGGTGTAGGAGAGGAAGAGAAGGAGGAGCAGAAGGAGGAGGAAGGAGAGGACAAGATTTCTCAAAAACTTGAAGCTGCACGTCACCTTCCACCACAAATGCTATTGCCTAAAGCAAGACTCGGGCCAGTCCAGACCCCAGAGGTGGGAAATTAAGTCCATCTCTTGGTGGGAGGAACTCATGTTGCAAAAAGGTATGGGTACAGAGAAGGGTGGAGAACTGGGGGCATTTTAGATGGGCTCAAACCAAGCCACAGCTTCAACACAGAAACTGAGGCTACTGGACCTCAACTTGACTGCATCTGACTTCCCTACCTCTTCACCACCCTTTAAGCTCCTTCTTGGCTGGCTTTTTTTCCCCATCCTACTCACACTGGAGGTTCATTTGAGGACAAGACCACATCTCACTCTTATTTGTATAACCATAACTCTCCATGGTCCCCAATGCCTTCATCTGGCATAATCCTTGATCCATTATGGGTTAATAATAGAAGGTTTTTACATAGTTAGATTAAGTGGCAACATAATGAAAAAAAATAAGCTTTAAGTTTGGAGGTATAGAAACTCTTCCATAATGAACTTTCAAAGCAAGTGACAGTTCCCCAAGTGTAAAAAAAAACCTTGGCGCCATCCTTACACAGCCTTCCAGCTGGATGGCTTTATCTACCCTGGTGATCTGGGGCCACCAAACCTCTGCTGGGTTTTGCCACTTCAACCAAGGACTCTGGGCCCTAGTGAACAGAAGGGACTCATTGTCTTGCTCAGCAGGAATATGATTAGGAACTTCATTCCCTCTTCAATTTCACTGAGAGATGAATAGATTGTATAAATAGGGCTGGATTCAAGTCCAAATCCTCCAACATATATGTCAACCATCTCCTATCCCCTAGACAAGTCACACCATCCCCTCTATGTAAGAATCTCCCCCATTTCCAAATATCTTTGAAGGGATAGTAAAGATCAGCCAGTCTGGCCCCCAACCTATGGGAGTACTGAGAAGAATTCCAGGAGCAACCTGAAAGGTTCTTATCTGTAAACACCTGTTGGAAAAACAAAAATGAGTTCTCTGAAGAAAAAAAAGAAATACAATATGATGCAATCATCTCATTGTCTCACCCAAATGTCAGCTTGAAATCTTTCATGACAAAATTCAGAAAAACATTTTTTTCTCATTGTCTCACTCTTTTTCTGCTTTATTGTGCTAGATGGAAGAAAACTTTATTTGCGCCAGGAAGACAATGGCCTTATCTTCAACGTAGATCTTCATTCTTGGAAAGGTGGCTTCCTCTGGGGGCATTTTCATCCTGGGGAAAGCAGGTCAGGAGAAATAATGAGCAAGTGAAGGGAGCCTTGACACTGTGATAAATGAGGTGAAACTTTGCCAAGGAACCAGCGTTGTATTCGAAAAAGAAATAAAAAGATAGTTCCATTTTAATGGGAAATATGAAACAGCCATTGTGTGAAAGTTGATTTTTCAAAAGCCAAAAGATAAAGACTATAACACAATGACTGGGAGATGCGTGAGATAATGTGGTTGATGATCAGGCTGAGGAAGAATGTGGTCCTCCACACCATCCGCTGCCTCTGTCGGATTCCCTTTCAAGTCGGCTATCTGCATTCGCTCCTGCCTCATTATCATATGCATCTCTGGACAGCTTCCCTACAGATTCAGCTTGCCAATGTGCCACACTTTCATCAGCTGGGAAGAGCAAAATGAACCCAACTTTCTTCAAATCCCAAACTTCTCTCCATGAGCCACAGAGCTACGAGCATCTTCCAAGACTCCAGACAAGGAGCTTGAGTACAGTCTTACCCACACCTTCTTTTGCCAAAGTCTATTGTAAACCGAGTTTTCCAACTGTGGGCAACTCCCCACACTGCCTTCTCAGTAGGCAAGATCCAGAAACCTCTTCTCAGGGCTGAACTTGGGTGATTGCTTAGTAGTAGGCTGGGTATCATTAGGGATGTTAGACAGCTTTCCCAAGGGTAAGTGTGTGTGTCTCCAAGGCAACATAAGGTGCCAGTTGAAACAGTTGAGCATTCAGTTGAATGTGACTATACGGAGACCACTTGCCTTAGTTTAAATCCTGCTGTGTATTGGCTATGTGACCTTGGGCAAGTTGCTTAACCTCTTTCAGCTTCAGGTCTTTCAACTTAAGAGCAAACTATATACCTCCTAGACTTTTAAGAGGATGAAATGAGATGGTGCTTAATAAATCTTAGCTGTTATAACAACTCTATACATACAACTTGTGAGGAGTTTGATGCCAGGATTAAAAAAAAAAAGCGACAAGTTTCATTGAGCTAGAAAACCACCAAGCAAGGATTCAAGTGCACTGTGATCTGACTCCACATAGAACCAGGAAGACCTGTGATGCCCTAGTCTACCTCTTCTTGTGTTCAAAGACAAGAAAACCAAGGCACGAAGAAGTCAATGGGCTTAGTCAAGCTCACAGATAATGGAAAGTCAGGACTTGACTCTCTCCCCATTTCAAATAGAGTGCTCTTTTTTTTTTTGCTGTACTGGGACTTGAACTCAGGGCCTTCACCTTGAGCCACTCCACCAGCCCTATTTTTGTGTAGGGTTTTTTGAGATAGCATCTCGCAAACTATTTGCTGGATGGTTTTTAACGGTGATCCTCCTGATCTCTGCCTCATGAATAGCTAGGATTGCAGGTGTGAGCCACAGCTCCCAGTTCAAATAAGGAGCTCAAATAAGGAGCTCTTCCAAATGCCAACACTGCCTTTCTGGGTCCCCAAGCAAAAAACCACAAAGCTTGACTCCTAGTCATTTCCATCACTTTGGGCAAAGGTGTTTAACTAGAAGGCTGACTTGTTTAGGTGTAATGACTAGGACTTCTTCTGTCCTGTCCCCACCCCTGCAGACTGGACTCCCGACTACTATTACTATAGCAACGAGCATTCCAACACAGAGGAAAGCTCCACTGGTACACCGATCTTCCCTGAGAACCCTGACTGGTACTATGCAGATGATGGTGGGTACCAAGTTGGTTTGAGGGCCCTCCTGGAAGGAGGGCAGCATGCCTGAGGGGAACTTATGTGTGACCACAAGCAAGGGTCTCTCTCTCCGCGCATCTCATGTGTCTTTCCCACTGGCCAGCACTGTAAAATAGATATTGAAGAATTTGTTTAGACTGGCTTTTTTCAGTTAGAATCATATACTATGAGGATTAGGGAGGTTCTTAAACATCACCCTCCTACCCTCAAATGACAGATGACATAAGTGAGGCTAAAAGAGGAGCTAACTTGACCAAAGTCATGCAACAAGCTAATGCCTCATCATCCAGGTAAATAATAGTTAAGTTCAAAGTCATTTCCTTTTTTTTTTTTTTTTGGCAGTACTATAGTTTTAACTCAGGACATTGCACTTGCTAGGCAGGTGCTCTACCACTTGAGCTATGTTCTCAGCCCTTTTTTGCTTTAGTTATTTTCCATACAGGGTCTTGCAATTTTGTCTGGGACTTGCCTCAGATCTTCCTACCTGCATAGCTGGGATGATAAGCGTGTGCCACCACACCTTGTTTATTTGTTGAGATGAAGTCTTGCTAACTTTTTGCCTGGGCTGGCATCAAACCATGATTCCTCTGATGTCTGCCTCCCAAGTAGCTGTGAACACAGTGTGAACCACTGCGTCTGGCACTTACTTCCATGTTCTTTATTTCAATTTAAGTTCTAATTATGTGGAAGAATCTAAGTTAGCACTGAGCATTGGCCTATAGCATTCACACATTTGGCTTTGAAACATCCCTTCCTTTTTATCTTTGCTGTTTTTCTTTCTTTTTTTCACTCTTAAGCTTTTCACAGTTGTGAGCACACATGTGTGGGGGAATGTGTGTGTACTTACTTGTGCTTCTATCACACTTGTTTTTGTTTTGTGGCTTCTTAACCCAAGCATGACACAGAAAGGAAAATAAGAAGCTAGGTCCAGGCAAAGCCATGTGACTAAGCCAGGAGAAGGTATGGAAAGCAGTTAGCAGCTGGAATAAAAGCTGTGTAACTGTGCAAAGTGGCCTGGAAGGCAGGGCCAAGATACAGGGCACCAGGGGAACATCAGAAGGGACCATCAAAACAAGAGCCAGGCCCAGGGATCCTAGTTCCTGAACCAAAGAACAATGTGTGTGAACAGAAGGATAAAGAATTCCCCAAGGGAAGATCCATTCAGACAACCATGAAAAGCCAAAGGCACAGATGAAATATGACAAAATCTAACTGAACAAGGAGTTGAAGAAAGATGGAGGCCACCGGGTCAGTTCCTCCTCACCGTCAATTCTTCTGTCACCCTCTTGCCTTTGGTCTTCTCTCCTGATGTTCAGAAGGCTTATTTCATTAGGGGTGGGTTTTCTTTTCCCACTCCTGACCTCCACCCCTGGGCACTGGAAGTAGGGGAGGTCTTTGGCTTGTGAAATGCCTTCAGGATCAGAGACAGACCCTATGGCACTCCCAGCGAGATGGGAGGAGAAAACCACTCATGAGAAGAATGAGGACTTTCTCAATGAGAAGGGCCCTGTCCAAAGCAAGCCAAGGGGATGCAGTCACAATTGCTCCATGCTTCTCCTCTTATGCACCTAAACCCCTCGCTCTGGTTGCATGGGTGCAATTTCCCTTGCTCATTAAGGATGACATATATCCCCTCCCCCCTTTGCCCAGTCATTAATTCTGTAGTTCCTCTCTTGTTTGGGACAGGAGACTGAAAATAGATGAGAAGTGAAGGTGCTCATTGGTGCCCCTTACTGACCTTGACTTCTATCCATGTCTTAGATCCATGCCAGTCCAACCCTTGTGAACATGGTGGTGACTGTGTCATCAGTGGGGAAACCTTCATGTGCAGCTGCCCAGCCCCCTTCTCTGGGAACAGGTGTCAGACTGGTGAGTGCTCTCGAGACTCACCCTTCCCTCCGAGTTAAACAAGAAGCCCTTCCCTCCTCCAACCCTATGTGGCATGGAATGCTGAGTGATCCCAGGGGAAAGGTGATAACTGTACTTGTTGTATCATGCGTGATAAATTCCCAGGCATTGACACAGGCAGCCTCTCACTACCTCCTCCTCCCATGCTGGTATGTGAGATGGGGCTAGAAAGTCCATCCCATACATGAAAAATAGAGGGTAACAGAGAATGAGAGCTGGATTCTAACCAAGATGTGCCCCAAACTCACAAACTTTGCTTTAGAGTGTAGACAAACTACAGCTGAGAAATATCATCTTCAAATGGGGAAGGGGAAAAGATCTCAGGGCCCAATCCGGCCAGAGCAAGGGAGCTCAAGAGAGTGCAAACGTGCTCATGGTCACAGCAGGATGGATGATTGGAAATGAGAGCCTTGGTGCCAGACTCCTGGTCCTGTCCTCTTTCATCCCACCATATTCCTGGCATTGGCCTTTAGTAAGCTCTGTGGGCATCACACGAGACCACGGCTAAAGAACCGGGAGTAGAATTCACATGGGTGATTGTAGCCCTAGTGATAACCTGGACTGTCCAATCTAGCAGTCAACATGCTGGGATGGGAGGAGGTGGTGCATAGAGAGAGTTTGTGGTTGACTTTTTCTGGGTCCTCCTTACTTACTCATTCCATTTTCAAGCCTTATTTTCCTTCAACAAATGTTTCAGAATGGTTGAGAATATTGGGTCTGAACATAGCATTTGGGTTCATCCCTCAACTTCGCAGAATGACAAAACTGTAAAATGAAATATGAAATCAGTTAGAAGACGGGGGGGGCAAAAATTACAGCTTCATTTGTGAAAAAGGTAAATATTTACCAAAGTTTTTTATTAGGACGGGAAACTGGAAAGAACATAAGACATAATTTCCCGTGACCCAAGGTCATGGTGCAGTCCGGTGTTTCAGAACCATGGACAAGGACATGGGCACTGCTAGCTGTCCCCACCCCTAAACACTGCTATTCAGATATCCCTCTAAGTAAAATGCACCCCGCTTAATGTCCTGTACTCTTCCCTACTTCTCTGTGTCTCTCCTACAGTGCAAAACAAGTGCAAGAGCAACCCATGTGGCCGGGGTGAATGTCTCATTACCCAGAGTCCTCCCTACTACCGCTGTGTCTGTAAATACCCTTACTCGGGGCCAGACTGCTCCAGAGGTAAGTAGAGGAGACCCCTTCTATGCTAGGTTCTCTCTGCCCTAGTGTCTGCCTGCAGTCTCTGCATCTTGCCGTGTGGAAGTTCAGATGGTCTGAAGTTTCTGTGACATTCTGGTCATTTTTAACTAGAGTTTTTAAAAAATGCATTATCTCTGGAGAGCCCAATGGGAACTGGCTGATCTGTGTTCCTTCTTCTCCCAAAAGAACCATCTCAAAACTCACTTCCTCCAGAAGCAGGCACTGATCTGTTTGTGAAATGGGCCATGTTGGGGAATTGGTATATACTGAGTAAATCCCAGAAGATTTACATTTCTTCTCACCTTATCCCCAAAACTGTGCAAGGAACAGTTTTACACATTAAGAAACTGAAATCAGAGAGGTTAACTAACTTACTCATGGCTCTCAAGGGCCAGAACCAGGTTTCAACCTAACTCAGACAGGCCTCAAACACTCTGCTCAGCCTGCAGCTCTTGGGTCCTTACTGAGTGATCCATCTCCATAGACTCTTTTTTTTTTATTTGCATGGTCTCCATCCATATTGCTTGATCTACATTTGCACATGGTCTTAAAGTTCACATGTGCACTCGCTAGAGTGCCGGCAGGTCTGTATTTCCCCCTTTGGTGTCCATCTTTAGTAGAAGGATGATGTCAGAAGACTGCCAGATATACTTCCATCATCTCAGATGGAGGCTGCACTGCCTCCTAAAGTGCCCTCCTGGCTCTCCTTCTTTTGTTTGCAGTGCTTACTGTGTGCAGGCCAAACCCTTGCCTGAATGGTGGCACCTGCTCCCGGACTAAGCGGAGGTCCAAGTTCAGCTGTTCCTGTCCCGACCAGTTTAGGGGGAGACTCTGCGAAATAGGTATGGATGTCTGTCCCACTTCTTCAGAAACCCGGGATCACAGTGAGACCTTTGGAATTTTCTATTTGGGTTTTGTTGTCAGAATGTGGTTCCAGTCAAGTTTTCCAGATCTACAGTGGTTTCACCCTTCCAGCATGAGGGCACAGGGTATTTCTGGTTCCATGTAAAGACAATATTCTGGAATGTGACACAGCAAATCAAACACACCTGGGCATACCTGGGCTTCCCCTACCCCAGTTCTTTTGTAAGCTAAAATTAAGGATTTAAGTTCCCACTTACCTCTCTAGCCAGGATATGTTTTGTTTTTAAGCTGGGATGAATGTGGAACATTCTGGAACTTTGTGATGCTATCTGAAAGCAATAACTATGGAGGCCCAATCCTATAACCCCTTGACACACCCATCAAACCTTCTTGGGAGCATTCTGCAGTAGCGGTCAGTTCTCACAGGCTGCCTGCTCTCTCCGAGGTCCTGACGACTGCTATGTTGGTGATGGTTACTCTTACCGAGGCAAAGTGAGTAGGACAGTCAACCAGAACCCATGCCTTTACTGGAACTCCCACCTCCTCTTGCAGGAGAATTACAACATGTTTATGGAGGATGCTGAAGCCCACGGGATTGGAGAACACAACTTCTGCAGGTAAAAATGACCTTCTTCCCTAGGCTCAGTCTTGGTTGCTTGATTTTAAAACAGGCCATTGAAACTCATCAGCTTTTTTTCTAGGGAGATTATCCTACTCAGGATAGGTGGGTTATGGTGCTGTAATAAAAAGAGCCCAAATCTCAAATACATCAAAATATATTTCTAACTAATGCTACTACATGTGCATTGGGGTGGTGAAAGTGGGAAATTCAGTTCTTTGAAGTTTCTCAAATACCCAGGAAGGGCAAGAAGACACTGGAAAATGGAACATTAAAAAAAAAAAAAGCTACCTCAACCTAGAAGTGGCACATCATCTCCCACACATATTTCATTGGTCAGAAGTAGTCACATGACCCCACATAACTTCAAGGGACACACACAGAGGATCAAAAGGCTTGCATGGTGACCATTATGCCCTCTGTCATAGGATACTCAGGTTTCCCAAGTTTTTGCTGGTGACTAGGGTGTCCCCACCCTTTCTCCTGCCTCCAGATCACTCTCTTGACTTTCTCCCATTGCTCTTGTCTAACCAAGGCTAATGACTTAAATGATTTACATATAAAGAATGGGTCCTTTGCATGGCTTTAAACTGGCTCTGCAAAAAAGAGGATTTTCCTTGCACCGAATACCAATTCTCTTTTGCCTGCACTCACCTTGAGCTGCTTCCCTCTGTAGTCTTCATGAGGCTCCTTGCCACCTTTTCTCAGAGATTCCCATGCCTGGAATTCAGAGGTTTGGGCAGAAGACCCAACTCTCACCATGTTTTTGCCCCATTTTACTTGCCTGAGGAAGAGAAGTCCTCTATAGAGATCTGACTGCCTTTCCTGTGACTGATTTGACATGCTTCACTGGTGAGGCTGGTCAACTACTTCCTGGTCCTGGAGATTCTCCTCTAAGATTCTGCCACGAATCTGTGACCATGCTGTACACCAAGATTTGTTGGAGACTTCAAAGGGAGACTGGTCCTAGGGGAAGCTCGGGAGTTTGACATGCTGTTCTGCAAAGTCCTTCAGTGAGGTTGAGGTCTCCAGCCTTGACCTGTCATTTTGTTCTTTATTTTAGAAACCCAGATGGAGACCAAAAGCCCTGGTGCTTTACTAGAGTTAACAGTGAGAGGGTGAAGTGGGATTACTGTGATGCCTCAGTGTGCTCAGCCCCAGGTGAGCCCGTGGCTATTCCAAGGTCCCTGGTGGTGGGGTGGTACTCCACAGACAGATGCTGCTGGTACCCAATACCTCCACCCTGACCTCCCTCCACATCTACTTTACCATCTTCATCCCACACCTCCTCTGTACCCTTCAGGATGCTGAGATGACCTGGGTGCCTTTTTCTGCTCAGACCAGGTTTCCAACTACAAACTCATGTTTCCCGATAATGTGTCAGTGTACTCAGCAGCTGGGTTTCGACTGCTTGCTGTGCCAGGCACTGTGTCCTGGTATACAACGGACAGCAAGCATTAATTGGGCCACCAGGGCCTCTCAGGATGCAACATAGTCTGACATCCAGTCTCACAGCCTTCCTGCCAGTCTTCCCTGGCCCACTTCTGTGCCCACATCTGGAACAACACGCCAATGTTGTCCCCTCCCTGACCAGTTCACACCTGTGCCATTGCTTTTACGGTTGCCTCTGTTTGTAATACTCCATTCCAAACCTGCTTGTGTCTGTTTTTGACCATTCTTTGAGAACCACCTCAAGTACCCCTTCTTCCAGGAAATCCTCCTTAATCTCTGGGATGACATGCTATCTGTCCCTCCTTATAAACCCCAAGTAACAGAACAAGGCCATACCATATGCCATTGACCTCTCTCCTCTGTATCCCTTCTGTCCGTGCAAACATCTTATCTGCCTGGCCCACTTCATCTGGATATCCTCCTCTATATTGAAACAGTCTGTGTCCGTGTGCACTGACGGGTAGCTTATTTACACACATGCCTTTGCATGTATACATGTAAATCCTAGGAGTGACACACTCTGAAATAAGAAGGAAGAGCATCTTTGTCATTCATTCTATGGTCTTGTTTTATATTACTCAAGATGGTTAACAAATGTCAATCACATATCAACTATGTGCCCATCTATGGGCAGTCTCTCAGCTCTGGACACCTGCTCGGCTGCTGGACTCAGAGTCATACCTCTAGCAAGGTCCCTCTGAGGGACTAGCAGAGGCTGAGTTGTGTGGTTGATCTTGTGTTCCACAGACGTCGTCAATCCAGAGGAAAGCACTGTGGAACCCCCGATCCAGATCCCGGGGTTTGAGTCCTGCGGGAGGACTGAGACAGCTGAGCGGAAGGTCAAGAGGATCTATGGAGGCTTTAAGAGCACAGCGGGCAAGCACCCATGGCAGGTGTCCCTGCAGACCTCGATGACAATGACCATTTCCATGCCCCAAGGACACTTCTGTGGGGGATCACTGATCCATCCCTGCTGGGTGCTCACTGCTGCCCACTGCACCGAGTAGGTGGCCACTGGGAGCAAGGGGCCAGGGTGATAGGGGTGTAAGGGGCTCTTTCCTTCCCACTGGAGCAGAATCTCAGTAGCTTTGGCAGTGTCTTTAGACAGGGGGAAAATAGCTACTATGTCTAGAATGCTCTTCCATGGACGTTGCATGTATTATATGACATTTAACTCTCCAAACTAGCTACTGAAAGACAAGCCAAAGGAGGGAGGGATTTCTCTCTGTTTTATTGTTACAGTGCCCCAGTGCCTGCAGCAAGTCCCTGTAGATAGCTGGTGTTTGGTAAATACCTGAGGAGGACAGGGTATACTGTCTCTCCCTTCATGTAAAGAGGACGTGGATCTTGGCACCTATAGCACCCTGCCTAAAGTCCTATGGAAGAAAGTGGGTGAATGGGATTGAACTCAGGTCTATCTGCTTCCTGAGCCTCCGTCATCCTTCTCTAAATAAGGAAAAATAACCCTCTCCATCATCTGACGTCATCGTCAGGGTGCCTCTGGAGTCAGGTGTCCTTAGCCAGGCCTACTGTGGGCCTTAGAGAAGCAAGTGACTTCTGGGAGCTAAGGAATCACCACTTCCTCCAAATTCCTTAAGTTCATAGTCGGGAAGCCTGGGATCTGGAGGTGCCCTTGAGGGTCTTCTGGTCTACCCTGTCATTAAACGCTTTCCTCAGAGATGGTAGGAGGTGCTCCCCAGCAGATTTTTCAAGACCTGAATGACTGTCCCTAGGCAAGACCTGGGAGAATGGGAGGCCTCCCAGGAAAAGCCTGGAGTCTGCTTCCACTAATAAAGTTCCCTCACATTATCTTACTTGGAAGCCAAGTAACAGAGTTCCACAGGCAAGTTCTGTCTGCAGACAAGGACTACAGATAAGGATGCCACGGCTATTAAAGGTCAAGGGATTTATCAGAGGTCTCAGAGCTCACCAGGAGCAGAATTTCCTGATCATCTTATTTTCCCTTGCAGCATAAAAGCCAAACATATAAAAGTTGTGCTAGGGGACCAAGACCTGAAGAAGACAGAATTCCATGAGCAGAGCTTCAGGGTGGAGAAGATACTCAAGTACAGCCAGTACAATGAAAGAGACGAGATTCCCCACAATGACATTGGCAAGTCTCTCTAGTGCTATGGGTGACTTCTCCACTGATGAAACATGAGGTTTGGCTCTGGAAGATGCTCTTGATCATTTTGGTCCCTTAAGGACCCCATAAGGTAGACAACTCCAGGGCTTCTTAGTTCTTAAGACTGTATGTTAGTGTTGTGGATAAATGGGCACAGGCTCTGCAACTGAGGGGAAGGGACACTAGAAACACCATATTGTGGAAAGCACTCAACCCTAAATCCCAGAGGCCCCACTTATCATCCGGGAGCCAGAACACGTTCTTGAGCCTCTGTTTTCTCTAATATAAAGTGAGGACACTGTTGTATGATTCTCAGCTTCCTGAATGTTAAGTGACATGATGTGCACATGGACACACCTGACACCCTGTGGGTGCTCAGGTAAGAGGCAATGATGTTTTTAGGCTAGGGGATGCTGGTTTTGTGCCTTATTCCTCTCTCATGGAATCTTACCTGCCCATTCTTCTATAGCTTTCCTTCCTCTAAAGCATACTTCCCAAGCAAACTGCTTCTCTAACCAAGAGATGACATCACATTCATTTCTGCCTCTCTCCCTCTCCATCTAGCTTTGCTCAAGTTAAAACCAGTCGATGGTCACTGTGCCCTGGAATCCAAATATGTGAAGACTGTATGTTTGCCCGATGACCCCTTTCCCTCTGGGACTGAGTGCCACATCTCTGGCTGGGGTGTGACAGAAACAGGTGAGTTGGACCATGCATTCTCCTGAGACTCAAGAAAGCCACATCAACCAGAGGAAGAAGGGCCAATCTCAACTGCCCTCTTGCAGTTGAAGTAAGTTCAAAATACATTATCAAAGAAAGTGTCTGCTGCATCACCCAAGCTCCAGGTAAACATCACCATTGGCAAGGAACTTCCCTCATCTCACAGTGGTCTTGGCCCCCTCCCTAGACACTTGACCTTTCTCAGGCATTGATTCTGTATCTATGAAGACCCCTCTCCTTCCCTAAGTTAGGCTGGAAATAACAGACCGACTTGCATTTGATTCTTAGTTTTGCTACTTGAAAACTCAGTTTCAGTGTCTATAATCATACTTATCCCTAGGCTTTCAGTTGTGATCACAGCATGATTGTATCTTCGAATATAAAGAAATTCAGAAGGGTATTTCAAGCCTTTCCCAAATACTCAAAATATATTTGTTGTCCCTCCCAATCTTGTTCTTAATAATAGAAAGAATCACTTTCAACAGGTCTGTATTCATGAAGAAAGTAAAATGCAATCAATATACACATTTGTCAGAGGCTTTGGGAAAAGGAAATTTCTAGCCAACTGGATATAAGATCAACCAGAAAACTTCTTTTGTAGCTGTTTTCACTGTAGTCCATCTAAACATTTCCACCTCTATTCTGCTCAATACTGTGTGGTCATGTCTTGGATGGGAATCTTACAGGGCCTCAGATTAGCTATTTTGTTTTTCACAAATAGTCCTCCAAGACTGTATGTTCAAAGTCACGATGTATTTTTTTTATGGTTCTGGGGATCAAACCCAGGGCCTTGGGCATGTGAGGCAGTTGCTGTGCCACTTGAGCCACTCTCTCAGCCCTTTTGTTCGTGTTTTGTGTTTTGATAGTGTCTAGCTAACTGTGCCTTGAACTCATGATCCTCTTGCCTTCACCTTCCAAGTAGCTGGAATTACTGGTATGCACCACCATGCCCAGCTTCAAAATCAACATTTTTGATTGATTTCATTATCATTAAGGGCAGGGAGGGTGTCTTCTCTCAGAGGTAGATAATTTAATGCACCAGAGCACTTCATCTATCCACCCATCTGTCCATCCATTCACCCATCTGCCCATCCATCCATCCATCTATCCATCCATCCATCCATCCATCCATCCATCCATCCAGAATCTACTGCATAGCAGCAGTTCTGGTAGCCACAGGCCTTCTGAGACCTCGTGGTCAAGTTGAAGAGGGAGAAATGACCCTGCCCCAGTGTGATGATGCAGCTGTTCCTGTCTGCACAGGCGTGGCAAAGGCTGAGGGGAAGGGCTACCAATGTTGGAAGATGAAAAACCCTTCCTGAGCTAAGAGCCGGTGGCCTTCTCCTTTCTGCTACTGGTGGGGTGAGTGCCACTCTGGTCCCCAGGGTAGTGACTCTTTCTCTATGCTACAGGGGAAGGCTCTCGCCAGCTCTTAGATGCCAAAGTCAAGCTGATCACCAACACTTTGTGCAACTCCCGCCAGCTCTATGACCACATGATCGATGACAGTATGATTTGTGCGGGAAACCTTCAGAAGCCTGGACAAGACACCTGCCAGGTCAGAGACCCCAAGCAGCACTTGAAGACCAAGGCTGGCAGGATACCATGCTGGGCATAGAGATCCCCTTAGAGCTCTTGGGAGCCAAAGTCAGAAGGCTGTCCACCTCAAAACTAAAGCACAAGCAGGGTTCAAGCCAGGATGACTCAGCACAGTAACCACAGTGGTCATGTTGCCTGCGTTGACTGATTCAACTCTCCTAACACCAGTGACGGCGGGGGGAGGGGGGCATCACCACCATTTTACAGAGGACCGGGGGCATTATCTTAGTCAACAGCAGCTGGGTAGTAAGTGGTAAACAACCCAGGTGTGTGGGACACCAAAGCCTTTGCTACTTTGCTCCACTGTCCCAACTTTTGGGAGCTTCAAGCTGCTGAGGCCTGTGGTGACTCAGAGGCTGTGGAGAGGGAGGAGGTTGTGACTTCATCAGCTGGTGCTTAAGGGACCTCAGGCTCCTGCCCCTCCCCATGGCCCTCTTTCTGCAGAGCTCACATCCTTCCCAGGGCCCCAGGAGTACCTCAATTTAGATTTTGTGCCTACTGTCCCCATAAATCCCCCAATTGTTCTGGAACATGGCCACAGTCACATCCTCACTCCCTGATGGAGCCTCCCTGAAAGGGGCTCAACAATGACCTGCCAGCCTTGAGCCCACTTTGGAGTGGGAAATGGAGGTTTCTCTGTCCAGTGTCTATGGCTCTGGTGTGACCCTCTCTTCCTTCCCAAGGAGCCATAGATATCTCCATGCTCAGAGCAGGGGTGAGGGCAGGTAAATGTGATTTTCTCTGAGCTCCTGGAAGATGAGTCGTAACACTGCTCAATTTTCTAGCTGTTCAGGACTTCACTTGCAGGCTTTGGAGGCTGACAGTCATGAGTTTGAAACCTGGTTCTGTCTTGTATTATATGACCTTGAGTGATCACCAAAATGATTCTCCAACCCTGAAGTCTAAGATGAAGAGAGAGAATTCATCTTAAAATACTTGTTAGTTTTAGTGCCTAATTAGTAGTGCTTGCAAGCTGTCTTTCTCCTGTCTGTCCTTACTCTCACCTCTTCCATGGAGGACTTAACATGAACCAGGCACTGTTCGATGTGCTTTGAAAAGATTCGTCATGGTATCTTGAGGAGAGTTGTATTGCTATCCAGTTAATGTAAGAAACTGAGGCTCCAGGTCACTTAGCTGGTAGGGGTAGAGCTTGTTTGGAACCCAGAAAATCTGACCCCATAGCCCAGGTTGAACCACATTGCTTCTCAGTTGCTGTCTTCTTCCCAACACTCCATGGACAGTTCCAGGAGAAGAAGGTGAGGGTCCCTGAGAACTGGCAGTTGTAATACCTGTAGGCTGAGAGTCAGGAAGTAGGGGTTTGTTCTCAGTGCTGTGGCCACAGCCCTGACTTCTTTACCAAGCCCTGTGGGACTCAGGCACTGAAGGTGGTATTAGCTTCTCTCTCCTCTAAGCCTTGCATCATGGAGGGACAGGAAGAGGCTTGTCATCACTTTCCAGAGAAGCCCACTGAGGCTGGCAACTCTATCCCATCATCCCTGGTTCCCTGAGAGAGAGATGGGGGCATATGTGAATATAACCTGGTTCACAGGATGACTTCCTGCTCCTTTTCCCTTAGGGTGACTCCGGAGGCCCTCTGACCTGTGAGAAGGACGGTACCTACTATGTCTATGGAATTGTGAGCTGGGGTCAGGAATGTGGGAAGAAGCCAGGGGTCTACACCCAAGTTACCAAGTTCCTGAATTGGATCAAAACCACCATCCAAAAGGAGGCTGGCTTCTGAGGTACTGTCCTCTGAACCTCAGAGCCACTTCTCCTCAGCACCAGACAAGGGGGACCTCCTGGGCAGCCTGCAGGAGGCCATGTGGCACAGTGTCCATGCTCTGGTCAGAACAAGTGCTGCCCAGCCTGGCCTTGCTGGACCACCTTTGCACCATTTCCTCAGCCTCTCTCTGCCTCCTGGGGAACCCATGAGAATGAAATCAACGGGAAATATACTAGGTTTGCTTCCTTTTCAACAATTGTACTTCCCAAAAAATCAGTGTCACAGAGACTGGCTCCCCTGGGGACATCTGCAAATTTGAGATTATAAAATGATTCTTTACTCCCCTCCCAGGCTCTTGAAGTCCCCAACAGAACCAACCAAACTCATCCAACTATTGGAGAGAAGACCAAAACCCACAACATCCTCTGTTTGCTTTCAGAGTTGTTCATTTAATAAAGGCAGATCTAGGATGGGCTGGTGTGCCATTTTTTACAGTTTGCCCAGACCTAAGCTGTGAATAGTGTATCTCTGGCAAGCACACATCCAAGTGGTTTCTCTCTGGAGAACGGGTGTGGAGGCTGCTCGCTCACATCAGCAGAGCCTTCTTCCTTTTGACGTGCAGAATCTCGGTGGCGTCTGGGTTCACCGCCCCCCTTGGATGATCTCCAGTCTCCACTGCCTCCAGCCCCCTCTACAGAAATCAAACATATCCCTGAGTTAAAATGCAGCTTCCTTCCTGCTCCCCCCAAGATCTGCTAACATGCCCCAGGTGCATTTAACAAGCTCACCCATCCCTTCCTGGTCCCCTCCTCTACCCTGCCCAAGAAAAAAGAACCTCAAGACAAGAATGAGAAAGAAGCAAAGCCAATCTCTCATTTCAATGTGGCATCTTTCTTCTGAACAAAGTAGGGTTCAAAATGCAGACTGTTGTAGCCAGAGAGTCCCTGACCCTTTCTGCACATGTAAAGAGCGAGCAGTGAGCACAAGCCTGGGCTGCCCTGGCCCGGGAATTGATGTCACCCCGGTAGGTTTGCCTCTGCAGAACTAATGGCTGTGACTTCAGAGAAAACCCTGTAGGAAGTTTAACCTGCAGGTCATCCACCCGGTCATCTCAGACCCACGAAATTAGGCGCCTTGCTCAAGCTGCGTTTCACACTTCTTTAGAGTCAGATGACCTTTGGCCAAAAATAAACTTTGAAAGGCAACAATGAGTTTGTCTGTGCAGTGGTCTTGCAAGGCGGAGTGGCTTCGCAGCTTGGTACTCACATAAGCCCCCTGGAGACCCAGGGCCCTCAAGTTGGCCAGTTCTGCAGCACGCCGAGCCATTTCCACTTTGTAGGAGCCAGGCGGGGTCCAGCCGACACCTCGGGTCAGGTTCAAGTCAGATTTGTATTTGACCTTGGAGAAAGGAGGAAGCAAGAGGAATATGTCAGCAGGGTATGGGGTGCTTTGACCAGTGAGTGGACAGAATTAGAAAGGCAGCCATGAGATGGGGGACGATGTCAAAAAAGTCAGGACAAAGGGAGTGAATTCATCTGAGGCAAGAGCTCCCTGGCATAAGACCCAGTGTGCTGTGAACCTGGCCAGCACCTGGCTATCCCTTACATCTTCCTGTTCAAGCGTGGGAGCTGCCATGGGGGTGCAATGGGATAGGGGTCACCTGGTTCAAGTCTGCGCTTCTACCTTAGTTCAGTCTGTGGCCATAGGGGCGTTACTGCCCTTGTGTGTCCTTCAGTTTCTTCCCAGGGCAGGTACAAGAGCTGGGTTAGGTAACTGTCAAGACTCCTTGGAAACAGTACAGCATAGTGCTCAAGACTCTCACATCGAACACCCTCAGTCCTACAACTTTTTTACTGTGTGATCTTGAGTGAGTTACCTAAACTTCTGAGTCTTGAGGTCCTTCTCTGAAAATGAAGCAGTACCAGGATTGTAAGGGCTACATAGCACTGTGCTTCGAAAGTGTCTGCCTTGCCAGGCGCTGGTGGCTCACGCCTGTGATCCTAACTATTCAGGAGGCAGAGATCAGGAGGATCATGGTTTGAAGCCAGCCTGGGCAAATAGTTTGTGAGACCCTGTCTTGAAAAAACCTAACACAAAGAAAAAGGCCTATGGAGTGGCTCAAGGTGTAGGCCCTGAGCTCAAGCCCTGGTACCACAAAAAGAGAGTATCTACCACAGAGCATGACCGAAAGTCAGGATGTCATCATCCCTTCTGCTACTAAAGTGTCTTGGATGCTATCTCAGCCCAGCTCGACCAGAAGGTAACATGGAATGTGTGAAGGTGGCTCACATCACTCTGAAGCTGGTGGGCTCTCTGTGCGTGCTTCAGGCCCAGCTGCTCCGGGTCGCAGCTGGGCTGGGGCAGGGGCTGCCTGTAATGCACGTCGCTGGCCAGTTGCTGGCTCCTCTTGGCCTGGAGGAAGCCAGGCTGGTCTGGGCGGCTGTGAAACTGGGACCGACTCTTGACAAAATCCTTCTTGTATTCATTGTCACTCTGGAGCCTGCCAACGTTGAGGAAATGCTTCATCCTTGGGTCATCATTGATGCTGCGATACCCAATCTGCAGGCCCCGGTCTCGCAGAAAGGCCTCTTTGTACCGGAACTGCAAGTGGGAGGAGAAGAGCAGGTCACAGTGGCTTACCTCCCCTCCAGGGCCAGCCTTCCTGCTAGTTAGAAGCATAAGCTTTGAATTCCAGCTGTGTGACCTTGGTCCAGTAACTGAGCCTCTCTGAGCCTCTGTTTTCCCATCTGATAAAATGGGAGAATGCATCTCCACCCCAGGGATGTTAAGAGAATTTAATGAGATGAGGGCTGAACTTCAGGTGTGCTACCATTTCATGATCACTGATGGCAGCTCCTGGTATTGCTGCTACTGTAATTCATACTCCAACAGGAAGATGTGTGCTGGTTCTGACTTTAATCCTTTCCAGAAACCAGTCACTTATGGTGAAGGACCTGTTTCATTTTGTGTTGCTAAATTTCTAATTCATCAAAGACTAATATGTGGTCCTACAGGTGTACTTGGTAACGCCCAGATTGGACTGTACTCTGTTCAGTGAGACAAATCCACCAATCACATGCTTTGATGCTTCTGAGAGGCAGCTGCTGATTCGTGTACTCAGCTCACTGAGGAGCAGTCATGGGTAGTCAACAACACACTCTTCTTTTGTCATGATGGCTGCCATGTTTTGAACACCTTCTATGTGCCAGATACTACTGTAAGCCATCAGTCCTACCTAGGAGACAAGTGTTAGATCTCTATTTCAAAGATGTGAGTTCAGAGACTTTAAGCAACTTGCCCAAGACAAATAGCCAATTCTTATGTGGCTGAGCCAGGACTTCAACTTGAGTCAATGTGAGGCAAAGGTCCCATTGCTTTCTACTCTACCCTGTACTTCAGCTAAAAGAAGTCCCTTTACTGCCAATCAACCAACCAGTCACATGTTCCCTGACTTCTGAGTGTTTATCCATCAGCTTTTAAGAGCACCTCACCTAAGCCAGATGTAGTGGCTTACGCCTGTAATATCAGGAGGTGTATATCAAGAGGATCACAGTTTGAGGCCAGCCTAGGAAAAAAAGTTAGCAAGACCTCATCTCAATAGTACAGGTGTTGTGGTGAGCACCTGTCATCCCAGCTATGTAGGAGATGTAAATAGGAGGATTGAGGTCCAGGCCCATCCAGCCAAAAAATGTGAGACCCTATTTGAAAAATAACAAGCAAAAAGCTGGGGAGTGGCTCAATTGGTAGAGTGCCTGCCTGGCAAGCATGAGGCCCTGAGTTCAAACTCCAGTACCACCTGAAAAAAAATAAAGAAGTCACTCTCCTAAAAAAGTAGAGACAGAGTAAGACTGTGATTGTCCCAAATAACAAATCTCTTACTAAGATCCCAGGGAAAAGATCTGTGTTCTTTCTCAGTGGAAATACACGTTTCATTTTGGTGTAGAGAGAAAGACAATCTGATGGTCCCAGGGCCTATGCTGTGCTTTTTAGCAAAGCTGGGGGAGCCAGCATGAAACCTGTCAGCTGTGGGCACAGCATGGGATCTTACATCACTGGCGATCTCCCTGGACACCCGGGCAGTCTGGAACGGGATGGCATCCAGCCTGAAGTCGTAGCCACCAGCCCGGTTCTGCTCCCAAGAGTTTCTGTAGACTTTCTAGATTGGGAACAAGCATGTGAGTCAGTGGGGAGCACCTCCACTGCTTACGAGTGTGTACTCAGCAGGAGTGGTTCCTAAACATGGTTTGTTCTCAGGATGGCACAGCCCACAGCCCCCTGTTCATCCTGGAGACTCCCCAGCTCTGGGCCTGACACAGGTGTGGCCATGAAGGGCTTCTGCTGCAAGCCCCCAACCCTACCTTTAGGCTCTGCTCTTATGGGACTACAGGTTGCCAGTCCAGTTCGTTTACCACACCCTTGTTCTCAGAGACCCTGCCTCCTCCTTCCTGTCTCCGTGTTCACTCTCCAGGTGTGCAGCTCTAGGTGCCAGAGCTCAAAGATCCAGAGCCTAAGATCTTCCCACAGTTCAACAGTACTGCTCCTTGGGTGTGTTAACACACTCTTGGTGTGTTAATTCCATTACTCCCAGGGGGTCTCTCCACCTAGCTGGGGTGCTGCACCCCACACCATCACGATGGTGCATGCTGAACCTCCCACGCACCCAGGGGCTTGCAGAAAGGCAAGAGCTCTCACCTGAATTCGATGTATTGTCAAGAACCTGACCAGGTATCTGACCCCTTTGTTTCCTATCTTTCCCTTTCATTACTTCCTTTTCAGGTTGTTCTCATGTCCCTCTGGGAGCCTGTAATCATGTCCTCTTAATCCTCCAGTAGGGCCACCTCACTGATAGATGCATCAAAATTTTCTGTACCTTCATGTAACCAATTTTTTTTTCAAGATGAGAGAATGGCTCCATGAAAGAAGTCCTTGGGAGATCCCAGTGGAGCACTCTCCTTTATTCATCCCCACAGAAGGGAGACAGCAGGACAGCCACATTGCCAACAGATGACAAAGTGACAGCTACAGACAGCGTCATCGCTCACTTGTTCTGTGAGCTACAGCAGGTCATCAGGCCATGAAAAGCCTTACTTTTGTCACCTGGAAATGGAGGTCAAGACTGGTGCTCTGAACTACAGGGATTTGGCAGGATTAAGCAAAGGAAGTAGGTCAGGTGACAAGCCAAGTGCCCCTTCTCCTTCCCCTCTCACACTGAGACTGGCATTAGAGGGGACCATGGAGCAATGGGGCAAGAAGGGTGGGTGTCATCATCTGTAGGTCCTGCTGTCACTGTCACTTTTACCTTCACCCTCACCTCCAACTCCAATATTCAGCACCACAAGTCACAGGCCAAACACTTACTGTGCTCACAGCCTGGGAATACAGACCCACTTCTCCCTAGGGACATCACCTAACTGACAGATCAGAGACAGAGCCAAATGGTTAGATTGACTTGGTCACCACTGAGTTTAGCAGCTGGGACTGAAAGATACATAGAAGGGAGGAACATTCAGAGAATGGCAGGGCAGCAACCCCCTCAGCATCTTGCTTCCTGTGTTAGTAATCCCACAGATATTAGAGTAGCAAGTAAAGACAAAACCCCATCACTCTATAAGGGGGACACAGTGCCTTCCTGATAAGGACCTCCACGCCAGATCTGGGCTGGTTAATGACATCAAACTTTACATAACCTTAAAGTCCACCATTATCCCACTCAGTAACTTGGGGTCCACCACAGAGACAGTGGCCAGAACTGGGGCTGCCCCCAGCGCACAGGCTCCCTTTCTCCCTGTGCCTCCACCCTGTGTACTATTTGCTTGCTTGTGATCACTTCCTCCCCAAGTTTTCTATTCTGTTGAGGTTTTCGCCTTGCCACTGGGATTCTTTATAGATTCCGCAGGCTCTTTGAGTCGGAACCCTGGGTGTTCCTCTTCTTGATCACAGTGGGCACAGTTTTGTCCTCATCCTCACACATTAGAGTCATTTGATTTTGAGTTATTTCGGCTGCCTTACACATCTCAATGGCTTTCTTTGCCCAGGAAGGTCACTTTGCCTCCACATCCTCCTCACAGAGCACTTGATCCAATTGTGCGAATTTTACACGCCCCCGAAGAAGTGCTCTTTCAAATGAGGTTCACGGGTTCTCCATACCCACGCGCCCCAGCAGCTAATTTCAGCTCTGGGACTTTGTGGGCTGGACCCCTTTGTGAGAGGAAAGATGCTTCTCTCACCAGCCCGAGGTGGCTGTCCTCCTTAAGCTGGGACACAGATGAACCAGCACTTTTATCCCAGTTTCAAGGCTGTGGGCCTCCAAGAGTCCCTCAGGTGGAAGCCTGGCCTCCCCATCCTTGGGCTTTAATGAGCTGAATGTTGTATGTCAGCTCTGCTGAGGGGGCAGGCCAGCTTCCCTAGATGGAAGTCAGCCCACCAGAGCTGCTGTTCTAAAATTATCCTTCACTCATCCCTCAAAAGCATCAAATGGTCATAATAACTCATATTTACAAAGCCCCAGCGCATTCACCATGTGGGATCCCACGGGGCTTTACAAATGCAACAAACTAATACACACGCTAACTAGAAGGCGCCTCTCGCCAACCCCTGCAAGGCAGCCACCTCTCGGGTGAACGGCAGCAGCTGTCAATCCACACGGAGCCCCAGGACACAATGGGCAGGCCAGGGAGGAAAGAATGGCCAGGCTCTAGGAGGCCGTGCGCTGCCCCAGGCCAACACACTCAGCCTGTGTTGTTCCGATCTGACAGTGTCTTTTCATTCTGCCGCGTGTCTACCTGTTATCCAGGGATCACAGCTTTGCTAGCCATGTGGCTGCCTATTCTATTCCAACCAGGGGCCTCCAACTCCTGCTAACAACAAGCCTGGGTTTAGGAAATAGTGTCTTGGTTATGCACGTAAAGGTCACACATCCCAGGGAAACCAGAGCGTTGGAGGGCACGGTCCCATGCACAAAGGAGCAAGCTGCATTTGGATGGATGGACAACCGTGGAGCACCTTTCCAAACTGCAGAATGCAGGGTTAGACAGTGCCATTCCATCTCTATGGTGACAGTCTGCTGAATGGCTAAGGAGAGGGTTCTAAGAAATAAACAGAGCAGGCGCCTACATCTGCTGGAGCCCAGGAACCACTCCTTTGACCAGTACATGACTGAGGTCTTTGGAGCCATGTCCAGACTCAGAATTTTAGAGCTAAAAGGAACCTCAGCTTAGCTCAGCCCCATCCCCGTTAGGGAACTGAGCCCCAGTGAGTGAAGTGACAGAAAGTCACATGTGCATTTTTGTCCCACTCTCAGTCCGGGCTTATTTCTCTTCCACATCCTCCTTCCTAAGACTCCTTAACAATTTAACAGACAAAAGTCACTTTGGGCACAGACAGTTGGACAAGAGTAGGCATACCACCCCATAAAGCACAAATTCACTTACATCACTCAGGTACAGCGCGTTGAGGCGGGCTCGGGTGAATTCGGGGTGGTCGGGGATGACTGTGTATCTGTGCAGAGACTCTGCATCTCCTGACCTATACAGGCGCTGTGGGTAAGACAGGTTTGTGGTCAAGGTAGAACTTTACTTGCTGAAACCACAGATGAAAAGTAGCTGATTATCTCTCCTGCCCTTCCCATCCAATTGCCTGCCAGATGGAGCAGAATCCAGCCCTGACTTGGAAAATATTCTTCTAACCCCCTGTAGGGAAGGAGAGTATTTGTATGACCAGGATCAGGTGGGAGTGGCTGGTTTTAAATATACTCTTAAAAATACTTGCCAAGCCTGGCACGGTGGCTTGTGCCTATAATCCCAGCTCCTCTGGAGTATCACAGTCCAAGGCTAACCCAGACAAAAAGAGTGAGACCTATCTGAAAAATAACTAAAGTGTAAAAGGGCTGGGGGACATGGCTCAAGTGGTAAAGTACCTGCCTAGCAAGCATGAGGCCCTGGGTTCAAACCCAAGAACCATCACCACCACCACCAAAAAAAAAAAAAAAAAAGACAAGAAAAGAAAAATTCCCCAGATCTGCTCCAATTGGACCACAAACCAACATCCTGGTTGATCACACCAATGGGTTTTATACAATCTAAGATGTCTGGATTTTTGCACCTGACTGTGGCACGTGCTCTTATAAGCCAAGACACCAGCCTTTGAGGCTTTGGTGTTTAACACTAATAGCAATAATAATACATACAGCTAATAAATCCTTCTTACTACAAAATACCTTAATGAATTAAAATATTAAGGCTTTCAAACTTCACCTAGATTCCAGAAAGACATAATTTTATAACTCAAGTTTCATTTTGGTTGCTTATTTTTGGAGCATCAATTTAAGAATTGCAAACAATTTTAGGAAGTGTAGGAGTCTTCATCTATTCTTAGAGAGGTAAATACAATAATCTCCAAATCCAATTTGGGCTTTGCAAACATGAACCAGTGAGAACAGGCTCCATGAAGATGGGGTGGTGGGTTGAATCCCTTGACAATCAGGGAAAAAAAGAAAACCACATCGCTTCCTATTCTTTAATAAATACAGGAGAGAGACGATGGAGCTAAAGTATACAAGGAGCAAAAGCAGAAAGAAGCTTTGAATAGAGCTGTTGCTTTTTTTCTAACTGGGTTATATTAAGCTTTTAATTCCATTGCCATCCTTCAGCAATTAAGGTGTATCTGATCTCGTGTTTGGTGAGGGATCATCAGTAATACTTGCATTATTATCATTATGATTACGAGTTAAACTACAATAAGGGCATTTGTAGAGACTTACTGTGCTCACAGTACTTGCTAAAAGCTTTATTTGCTTTCATTTATTTAATCTGCAGTTAATTCACTTAATCATACGAAATGGTGGCTATCATTATCCCCCAACCTCCATTTCCTACAAGTAAGAGAACGGAGGCTAGAGGGATTAGCCACTGGCCAGAGAGAAGGTTTTACCCTCATCCACCCAGAGCCTGTGCTCCTCAGCACTGACCACAAGGCAGCAGCACCCTGCCGCATGCCTGGGGTGAGTGAGGAGAAAGAACCCACCTCGTTGCAATGCATGTAGCTGTTCTTGGCGTGGACCAGGTCTGGGGAGTCAACCACAGTGGTGAACTTGATACTGTCTGGTCTTTTACGGTATTTGGTCTAGAAGAGAAAGACAAAGATTCCCACAAAACATAGTCAAGCATCATGCTTTATCCATTTTTACCCTACCTTCTCGGGACCAAATGGACCACTGGAAGATAAGCTCTCTTCTTGATGAGCACCTGATAATCAAGAGTACAGGAAAGACCCAAGCTTCCTTCTATGATCAGAGATGCTGGACAGGTGTTTGTTCTCTTGAAGGAGGAGGCTTCTCACCAAAAGGAAATTAGTAAAGGGCAGAGTTGGGTGTCAATGGGGCCCTGCCCAGACCCTGTTCACATAAGTCCTGTTATTAAAAAACTGAAGATGGCAGAGCCCTTTCAGGATGATTCCAGGGCAGGGGTCTCTAGGCCATCAGTCTGGTGGGGAGTCAGTCAATGTCATTATCCTTGTATAACTTTTAACACCATCTGAAACAATGTAGCCTATGGGCCCTGGGCACTTCCAATAAACTCAGTGGGTAGGTACAGATTCCTCCCCTCCCAGTGGATCCTAACTGTGTCATGTATTTATGGAGAACCTCCTAATGCGTTTAGTTGTGTTCCCTAGTAGTAAATTCATTTGAAGGGAAATCTCATTCCGTTTTAGGATCTGGTTGCAAATGGCCCCAGGAAACTACTATTTGTCCAACAGTTCTGGGTCCCTCTTGGGATTTCCACCCCATAAACAGGTTCTCTCTTTAAAATAAACTCCAGGTGGCCCATGTCATTCTGGCAGGACAGGCTAATGGCACCTCGCTGATGAGTTCTCCAGCCTTCTTTGCACTCTCCATCTGGGGGGATCTCAGTGCCAGCCATCCGGTCCCCTTCATGCCCATCAGGTCAGACTTGTAGCGAAACTGCAGGAAGAAAATCATGGGCTTTTATCAGGACAGTGTTTAGAACTATTAGGGAATTTCAAAAGGTCCTCAATTTATAACAGCTTTTGTAATAAAGTTACACAGTTAGTATCTTCACTTGGGCTGAATTCTGTACATCAGGTTCAGCTATATGAACTCACACATTCTGCCAGGAATTAGTGAATCCTGCATAAGACACAAGAAACTCCAACTCGTGAATTAGCAGGATATGAAGCAGAAGTTGATGACTTTTGTGGACAACTGCTTAAAGAAAGAGCTAAGTGTTGGGCATAGTGGTCCATGCCTACACTCTCAGTTGTGTGGAGGTAGGAGAATCACAGCTGGAGTTCAGACCTGGACAACAGTGGGAGGCCTACCTACCTGAAAAACAAACTAAAAGCAAAAAGGGCTTGGAGGCATGGATCAAATGGTAGAGAGCTTGCCTAGCAAGTACAAGACTATGAGCTCAAACCCCAGTATTGCCAAAAAAAAAAAAGGAAGAAGAAGAAAGAAAAAGAGCTGAGATGTGTGCTGTGCTCAAATACAAGCATCTGGCAGAATTACTTTATTTCATTCCCCAGTGAGGTGACTGACAATCTACCTGAACAGAAACATTCTATATATCCTTCCGTTGATAAAAAGGATGTGAGCCCTGGATTAACCTGCTGTGACTCAGAGAAAACCATTTTACCAAAATGTGACTCAGTTTCTCTTTGTCACATGTAAAGGTCATAACAACACCTCTGTTCTCACAAAAAACACCAAAAAAAAAAAAAACAAAAAAACACCTTGAGAACACTCCAGGACAAGGGCCAGTCAGATTTTTGTTCCTGTGGTAGTGACAGTGGAGGGGCAAGAGTCAATTATAGTGGGACTTTCGAAGCTGAAACAAATGTAGATGCAACTGGCTAATACTGAGTAGACCATTTTAATCTTTTCATGCCTCAGTTTACCTCCTCCCACTGTAACTCATTATGATTTACTTATATTGCAAGAATGGGCTAAGCCTTTATCCTTTCTTCATTTTAAGAGCTCAGAAGCACCATTCCTGGGAGAAAAAAGAAAGAAGTGCTTTAAGACAATGGGTCTGATTCTGAGCCCCCTAAAACGTCAAATCTTACTAAGATTGCTTGATTCTTTCACGTTACCTACCGTGAGACAGTCACCCATGTGCCTTTCTTCTCCTCTTTATGGAAATTAGGTATTTTTAAAGGTGGAAAAAGCTTCTCTGAGGAAATCTAAAATTTGGATCTAAACGAAGTTGATGGTATTTCTCTAATTTAGATATAAGCTGTGCTGTAACGCAAAATATCACTCCGGATATCAGCCTCTCGGCCTTTTTAGTTCTCTTTCATTTAAGGATTCACAGCGTTCTCACAGCTGGCCTCAAAGAGGGTCCGTTTCTGATCTACTGTCTGCTGGTTAATGCCCCTGTGCAAATTCGACTCTGCTTTCCAACTGGTGAGGGGAGACATCACTCAGGCTCAGGAGCAGGTTTCAAAACCCCATGTCAGTAAAATTGCTTTTTTATATCGTGATCTTTCAGTCTACACCGGCAAAGCTTTTGCCTTCGACTCTGATAAAGAACAGAGAAAATTGGATAAATTTCTAAGTTGGAGAGAATAATCCTACGGGCCTCTTCACAACCAGGCCTTGCTCCTTTCATAAGCGAGATGAAGTGGGGAGCGCTCTTTCAACTTGCCTTTTGTTGAGCTGAACAGTGCGAGAGCAGGTAAGTCAGAAAGCAAGATGCAGGTTCCCCAAAGATCTGAGTGTGCCTCCAACTCTCTTATAAATGGGCTGTCTATTGATATCTCAGCTCCCAGCCCAGCTTTGACTATTCACGCAGACCCTAAAATCAACACGCCTGCCCCAGACTTCATGATAAAAGAGCGAAGGGGGAGGATAAGAGGAGTCAGCTACCCAAAGATGGTGTCAGAGAATGATTCTAAGATAAGACTAGGCCTTCTCAAACTGACCAATGGAGTCTAGCTTCCCCTTGGTCTTTCCCTTGCTTATGCTAAGGTCTGGAAGTCACCTGCACAGCCACATGTCAGGTTTCCCGGCACCCTCATTTTGGAGCACTGCATAGATAAGCTAGCTGAAGCATTCAGTCCCTGAGTTCTAATGAACACAGGAACGATGTAAACAACTGTGTTCGGGAGGTGCCTGCAAATAGGCTATTTGGCCTATTAATAAACACGATCATCACTGCCTTGTGTCTAGTGGGGCTTGCTTTAGAGCTATTATCTTATTCTGTCCTCACACTCACTGTCCTGCAAGGGAAGGGTTCTTATTCCTAGCCTCAGAACAATTTTGGTGATCATGTGATGGTTTGGCTCTCAGAAGCACCACGGGCTGCTGTGCTCTGGGTAAACCACACTGGCAGAGGTTAACAGCACGTACCAGGACACCTGGGTCATTACCTGGCCATCTGGGGAAGTGAAAGAGGCTGAACCAGTTGTCAAGAGAGCAGAGCTGGCAGCCCCACCTCACCTCTCATTAGCTGTGTGGTCTTGAGTGAGTCATTTCCCTGCCAGCTTGTGGCCTGGGGCAATTTGCTTAGATTATAAGTACCTTATCATTGCATCTGTAAAATGGGAGAATACTAGTAACTGCCTAGATATCAAGTGAGATTATTTTTGCAAAGTATTTATACCAATGCCTGGCCCAGGGCAAGGGTTCCATACATTATAGTGATTGCTATAATTATTGTCGCTGCTATTTCTGGTGGGGAAACTGGAGCCTGGACAGCTTCAGAGTCTACCTGAGCCCCACACCTGGGAAGGACAGAGCATGTGCTTTTCAAGATTGCCTATAGCCCCGGCATAAGACCACAGAGGAAGCAGGGAATGACAGACTTGAAAAGGACAGAAGAGGCCAAAGAACTGGCATGCATCCCTGAGGGATGTAGCTCAGGTGAGCTGCTGAGAGCAGCAGGCCTGGGGCATGACCTGGATGATCATGGCCCTGAGGAGTTCACACTCCGCAGGGAGCATCTCTTGAACCCTTCTAGTCTGACCTTTCTTTCCCTCCTGGGTGGGAGAGGACAGGGGAAGCAGCTCAATTTGCATGGACTCCTTCCCAGACGGCTGACTTGTATGGACTCTGTTGAGCATTTGTTTCCTTTTCTGTATAATACAACCACGTGAGGTTGGATTTTTTGTAATGACTACACTAAAACTGAATGGGTGGATCTACTATTCACAATAACCTGGAATTCAGACTCCCAAATTAACTAACTTTGTAGTCTAAAAGGAACGCATATGACTCAATAGATAATTTACGTTTTTAGCAGTAATTTCTTAGTCTTCAGACATTGAATGATGGTATATGCCTGTAACCTCAGCTCCTTATGAGGTAGAGACAAGAAGGGTCATGGTTCAAGGCCAGCCTGGGCAAAATAAGTTGAGACCCCCATCTGAAAAACAAACTGAAAGAAAAAGGACTAGTGTCATCACTCAAGTGGTAGAGCACCTGCTTAGCATGCTTGAGGCCCTGAGTTCAAAACCCAGTACCAGAAAAAAAACTTAATATAGATCCTGCTTTTAAAAGATCAGTATAAGATTGCCAACTACCATTTCCCCTTTTCAGATAATGTTCTAATTTTTAGCGTTAAAATTTCCTTTCTTTTCAGAAATAATGACATAATCATAACATCAGATAGTATTTAGTGTTTTTTTTTCTTTTTCCTTACTTAGTAAAATAAAATCTGACACTATGTTGATCCCCTCAGTTTAAAAAAACTATTTTCCCTATGAATTCCAAAAATCTGAGGTTATGGATCAGATTCAAACTCTTTGCTTTTCCATTGCAGAGATGGAGCCCAAGGAAGTGAAGTGGCCGGTCAAGAATACCAGGCAAGGGAGGACAAAGCCCTGCTTCCAGCCTCCACCCTCTGGCTTCCAGCTCGGCCTCCCGTCTCTCTCCCAGGTGGCCTCCATGACTTCCTCAAGGGCTTGTCCTATTTAGGAAGGTTTCTTTTCTCCCAAAAAATAGGGCAGTAACAAGAGTGTGCCGGGTCTGGCACTGGAGCCCTTTGAACTAGCTGTTCTGGTGAGGGAGATGGAGGGGAGTCCTCGGGGTCACTCCCTGGTAGCAAAAAGACTCCCAGTGGAACCTGGACCAGCCCTGACTTAGTAACCAAATCCTTTGGGGGGCTCAGATGAACTAGGCCTACTCCACCACTCCTGAGGTGAGCAACGCAGTGCCAACAAACTGCAATTAATAATTAAACTGATGATTTAATAAGGCCATTACTATAATAATAGTAATCACTTATGTGTGTATGATACTCCATTTATTGCCAGATACAATTAAATTAAGACCAGGCATTGCCCTGAAGGCAACCACAGCTGTGAGCCCTGGTGGAGGGATCACCTTAGAACAGCTAATACTTGTTCTAGAGTTGCATGGAGCTGGCATCTGCTCACTGCTTCATCTATATGAAGCAGTTCTCATCTATATGACCAGTTCTCAGCTGAGAACCAGATTCTCAACCAGGGCTCAGTTTGTCCCACACAAACATTCGGCCATATATGGAGACGTTTTTGGTTGGCGCAATGAGCACCAACCCAGGACAGAGAACAGGTATGTTGCTACATGTCTGGAAATGCAAAGGGCAAGCCCTTGCAACAAAGAATCATGTCACCTAAAATGTCACAGGCACTGAAGTTGAGAAGCCCTGGTACTGATGATAAGGGTCAATGTGTCAACAGGCCCGTGAGTTATGTTTTAAAGTGAGAGTACCTTCCTCCTCGGGTTGCCATGGCGAGATGACGTGTGCACCTTGCCTGCCATCCGTGCATACTACACAGCATTAGCTGTGACGACTTTGTTATCGTTACCGTGTCCAAGGCTCAGCGAGGGCAAGGGACCTGTCCAGGCTCTTGCAGTCAGTGTGGAGGAGTGGGATATGCACCTCAGAGGCCTGACTCCAGGGCCTCCTCTCACGACATGGGAAGGACTGGGACTATCCCTTCCCACCTGCTAGGTGTCCTTGCTTGGGGAAGGGACTCCCCTTTCCGGGCTTTGGGGTGTACACCTATACCATGAGGGGTATGACGCTCCTGCTCCAAGCTCCCTCCAAGAGGGGGTTTCAGAGTGTGGGTTCTGAAGCCAGCCCTGCCTCAGTACCTCCCTTGTCCCCTCATCCATAAAACAGGAGCAACAACTGTCCCCACCCGGAGCTGTAGCAAGGACAAGAGCAATGGGAAGCAGTCAGTTGGTGTCAGGCAGTCATTGTAGCCTCACCCCCATCCTTCCTGTCCTCAACCTGGCCCCCACTCTGACCCCATCATCTCAAACAGCCCCTCACTCACTCACTCACTTCACTCTGGCCTCAAATATGCCAGGGGTGCTCCTGCTCCATCCCTTAGCCTTTGAACTTGCTTTCTGTTTACCTAGAATTCCCATCCCCTTCTCTCATCTCCTTTAGGCCTCTGTACAAATGTCACCTTTCCAGTGAGAAAGGCCCTGATGCCCTATTTTAAATTGTACATGCACGCACACACACACACACACACACACACCCTCCTACCCTGCTTCCATGCTCCATTTGTCTCTCTAGCATGTATCACCATCTGACGCACATATTTTCCTTATCTATCATGGCTTATCTCTCTCTAGAATAATGCAAGTTCCACGAACACAGGCATTTTTTTTTTTAACTCATTTGTGGACTGCTGTGTTCCCACGGCCTAGCATAGTGCCTTGTATATAGTAGGCACTCAATAAATATTGGTTGAATGATTTAAATGAATGATGTCAACTTAGATAACAGAGACCAAGCAGGTTATTGTTTGAGATGCAGAGGGTCTAGAACCAGGTGTGGTGGCGGGGGTGGGGGAGCCGAGCCCAGTTTGCATCCCCCAAGACCCCTACCTCACTTTGCAGAGCGTGGGCTTTCTTGGCCCAGGCCATCTTCAGGTCCTCAGGCAGTGCTGTGAACTTGTGGTACTGCGTCCGGTAGTCATAGTCACTGGCCAGGGCCTGGGCCTTCCTGGCGTGAACGAGATGCAGCATGTCCATGGGCAGGTGGCACTGAGCTTGGCTGCTGGCCGCCTCCTTCCTGTACTGATGCTCGCTTTGCAGCTGTCCCATCCTCAGACAGTGCTGCAGCCGGGGGTCGTCACTTACACTCTGGATCCCAAGTTGCTGCCCTCGCTCCTTCACAAAGTCATGCCTGTAGAGAAACTGAAAGGGCAGACCAGCACACAGCCCGCTTAAACTCTATCTGCACTGTCATCACAGACCCTGATTTTAAAAATCACCTCTTTTTGCTCTAGGAGGTGATAATTCTGAGACCCTCCACAGTGGGGTGAGAGTGTGCCTTACTCCCCAGGGGCCAAACAATGAAAACATTGCTCCACTCTTCCTATCTAATTAAAATCAGATCCTCAGAACAAAAGTTAGGGTCCTCACCTGCCCTTACATGTCCCATGGCCAAAAGGAATTTATCAAAACAGGTAAAAGAGAAACTTGTGTTTTATCCATTCCCGCTTGGCAAAACATTAAACCCAAAAGACAGGATTCATTTATTTGAAGTCCACATTTTCTGTGATTTGTGTGTGGGAAAGAGAAAGTCACCTTCATGTCCCAAAGCTGTGGTATGAAACACAGCTGGCAACCCCCAACACCGTCTCAGGAAGCTACAGAAAGCCAAGGGGAAGGAACATTATGGTTGCCTTGCAATCTCCCTTGCTAACTCTCTCTCTCATTCTGGGTGGGGTTACAAAACAAGTGGTCCACTTATTATGGAGGACTGCTGCCTAGACTTTGCAATTAAAACTAAACCACCAGTGCCATCCATCCTGCTCCAGCCCTTTGCCTGAATTTAGTTTGTGATGAGCAGAGCCTGTCTTCCCCTCTCTCTGTCTAAGGACCTCATTCATAGCTAATATATTCTGCAGGTGACATCTTGTCTCACATGGTTATAGATTTGCTTTAATTCAGGAAAATCAGCTGTAGACATTGTTTTACATGAAGTTAACAGAAATTAGGCAAGAGGAAGGTCATAGCATTCCACTCACATCGCTGGCTATCTCTCCAGAGGCCCGTGCAGCCTGGAAGGAGAGGGCATCTGCTGTCAGCTTGTAGCCTTGAGCACGAAGATTACGCCAAGCCTCCTTGTATTTTGCCTAAAGTGGGAACACATGTACATCTTAAAAAAAAAATACATGAATCAGCCAGCAAAGGCTATCCCTTTCATTTGCAGCATGGTCTTCCAGAATTGATTTCTAACTTGTAAAGGTTTTCTACTTTGCAGAGAAAATCTCATTAGCACACATCCTGTGGTAGGCTTTGAGCACACATATGTCTGTAGCACATTTGTGAAAAGGTATGTGGATTGAACACAGGCATCCCAAACATGCATTTTAAAAAGCTCCTGCAAATGCTGGAAAGGTCACTGTTAGATCATTTTGCAAAGACAAACAGACATGCCCTGGACCATGCTTGAACTTCAAGAGGAAAGACTTACATCACTCAGATTGGCTGCATTTGTTTTTGCTCGAACAAACTCAGGCAAACCCAAGGTCACTGTGTACTGGTGTCTTGCATCCTCTCCGGCTGCTTTATAGAGGCGCTATACCCCAAAACAAAAAGGCAAAAAGACAAGTGCTGTGCGTTTCTGCAGTGTGGGAAGTCCTTCATTTACAGCTGGGGAAGCATGATAGTGAAAGGCCATTCCCTGTGTTCTGAACACACCTTCAGCCTCAGGGAAGATGTTTCTTGCAATAAAGACAGGCTTCATGAGTCATATCAAGGGAAATGAAGGGAATACAGAAGGAGCTGCAAATTGCTGTGGTAAATAATAGGCCAAGAAATGACAAATAAATTGAAGAATATTAATGATGTGCTTTTCCTTGAGGACACAGCATAAGGTAAGTCCTGGGAATGTAGGGAAGTCCTGCTGATGGAAGGCAGTGCCAACCCTATTCTGCCTCCTGCACCTTCCTGGTCTTTCCATGGCTACCCTGGATGGCCTTGTCTGCTACAAAAGCATCAGTCCTCATGATCAGAAATGGGTCTGTGCTTGCTGACTTCTCTAAGGCCAGAGCCCATTCTAAAAGGCATTGTCACCCCACAGCACTGAGTTCACAAAAGAGTCAAGAAAGGTTAAATGAGAATTTTTCATTCATAATAACTCTATCCACGATCATGAATTCCACCTCTGTGGACTTCCTTTTTTCCAGCATCCATTTCTTACTTTTGGACTTTGGAGAATGTGAGAATGAACAGTATACACAGCCAAATCTCCACCTAACTTTAGTGGCTCTAGGGTGGGCATTTCCAAGACATTCCCACAGGACACTGATGAGGCTGGTCTGAGCCTGCGCTAGGGGAACTGGACTGTAGGCTAAACCAGACTTACCCTGAGCCCCATTCTCTCTGGAAGATATTTTAGGTTCTGTATCATAGCGTTCTTTTCGAGCCAAACCTCCACGCAAACACTCAAGATCTTCACCCTCCTCCCAGCTTGCAAACATTCACATATTTTTTTAAACAATCTAGCAGTGTTTAAAAGCCATCAGGAGATTTTACCTCATTTGTAATCTGGTTGCTGAACTTTGCGTGAAGGAGATTGGGAGTGTCTGTCACTGCTGTGTACTTGAATGACCCAGGATGCTGTCGGTATTTACTCTGAGTTCACACATGAGAAAGGAAGAAGAGGGTTCTGTCAGGTGTGAGGCCAAAGAAGAACCAGTCCTTTATGTACTAGTTAAAGCCTCCTTTTGTACAGGCTGTCAGCCTATTGCTCCAGAATCCAGTTGGTCAACTGCTCTGTGACCTCAGAACACACTGGATGAAGTGTAGAAAGTATAATGGCTTGAATTTGATGCTTAGTAGCAGGAGAGCTAGCCCTCTGCTATGGAAGAGAATGTGATCATTTAAATTTACAGGTTGCTCCTGAACAGAGACCTGGGGCTCTTCAGCTCTGAGGGTGCACATGAACACCTGTGCAACTTAAAAAAACAAAAACAACCCCACCAGGAGGGCAAGATTCAGAAAATCACCAGTGGAGCCCAGAACTCTGTGTTTTCTGTTTTTTAAGCTCCAAACAGGGATACTGTGCATGCAGGCTTTAGAAAGCATTGCCAAAGAGACTGCATTGGAAAAGGTGAGCACAAGTGGAAACTAAGAACCCACAGAGAGCACACAGTCAGCTCACCCAAGCTTGCAGGCACAGGGAGCACTCCCCCTGTTCCCGTTATGTCGCCTGTCCTCGCATCTGCCATGAATAGCAGTCCTGGCACCTTTCAGGGGTGAGCAAGCTTCCCCAGGAGTTCAGAAAGCTTTGAATTCTGAGATTTCTGTGTTCTAACCAAGAAATCCTCACCAAGCTTATTGCAACCATTTCAGATACAGCCGCCAGAGGGGCACAGGGTGTAGATAAGAGTTGAGCCTTACAAAAACTAAACAGGGTGCTCTGAGTCAGAGAGGTTACTGGTCTTAGGTCACACAGTGAGTGAGCACTGGTCTGGAATTTCAGTCTCTATCTATTGGTTTCCAAAGCCGTCTGCTTTGCACTGTACCACAGGGCCACTCTTCAGAGGGACATAAGAAGAACTATCTATCCACAAAACTGTCTGAAATGTCATCCAGTCTGCATGGAGAATCCAGTTAGCAAAGAAGCCAGGCGAGAGGCTCAGCAGTGAGCACCACTGCTACAACTCAACGTCCAACCAGTTTTGGCAGAAGGTAACAGACTGATGGTCAAGGAACAGCATGTTATGGGAATACCATACACCCATCTCCTGCTCCCGTTACCTCGCTGATGAGCTCAGATGCTTTTTTTCTCCCTTCAATCTCTAATGTGCCAGGAACAACACAGGCGACTCCTCGCATGAAATTCAGGTCTGAACGGTACAAATTCTACAAGCAACAATACAAAGAATGAGAAAAGCCAAATTCTTAGAATAAGGAAGTAAAGAGGAGCCAGAGGTCAAAGGACATCGTCTGTTGGTGTCATTAGAACCCAAGGTTGACTCAGTCTCTCCGAATGTATTACTGTGCAGTTGCTCCTTGTAAGTGCACAGTAGGAGAAAAATATAGGTCAGAAGTAAAGAATTCTGCTGTCACTTGTCTCAGAGTAGCTGTTCTGGGGATGCTAGACAGATTTTTGTTTTCACGTGAGCTATCAAAAAATAAACGCTGAAGTGGATTGTGGTTAGAAAGTCAGGTGTCTTGGGGCAAATGTGCAAATGGTTTAACAGGTCTTCTAAAACAAAAGCCAGTGGCAGCGGGTGGTATTAATTAATCATGGATTAGGAAAGAGCTATTACATGAATCTAAATAATCTGGATCTGTGTGGATAGGAGTGAGTGTATGGACCTGAGTGATTTGGGCTGACAGTTTAAAGTGTCCCCAGATTCACTCCCCTCAGCCAGCAAGGCACCTCCTGGGTGTGCTGCCTTCCAGTTGCCATCACAGAGTGAGGCAGGGCAAGCGAGGGCTCTGTGCAAGTGACAAATGGGCCCAAGATGGGCATGGCAGCCCCCTCTTTCCTGCAGCTGCTCTTAGGTTCCTGACAGTTGGTGTCATTCAGTAAAAGCCATGCACAGACATAAAACTCCAAGAGATGACAGACACCAGATCTGAGCACCACTCAACTCACAGGCCCTAACAAACTAGGAAAGAGGTCCTGCGCTGTGTTAGACTTCCCTACGTAGGCCCATTACCTGTGCATCTCCTAGCAGGCTGGGAGGTGTGGTGGGTACTGAACAGGATGCTGTACCTCTGTGGGAAGGAAGACTCCTTCAATGCTTCCTGACCCTCCCCGGGCTGCCTGTCTCAGAGAGCAAGCATCAGGAGTGGGACATGCAGGTTAGAGGAGCCTGAAGATGCCTCAGAAGGACTCAGGGAGGAGCTCCTGGATTTCATTCCCTGCCTGTCCCCCTGAAATCTCCTCTTTCTGAAGTGAGTGAGTTCAACGGACAAGCTCTGAGTAATGTCTCCAATACACCTAAGCCCTCCCCAGAGGAGCAGGCAGGATTCAAGAAACACCATGTGGAACCCCAATCTAATCTGAAGCCAGAAGCCAGACCACTGGCACATCGTGAACATGAAAACCCATGAACCTGGAAGACACCTGACATTCAAATCCAGGAACTGCATTTCTCACTTTCAGTTGTGTGATCTTGGGCAAGCTATTTACCTTCTTTGGTCTCACTGTGATTTCTCTGGACAATGGGATAACGGCAATCGAAGTAGGGTTTTGTAAGGATTAAATGAAACAATGAGTGAATGCATGATGCCTTGAATTCTGCAGAAATATTCAATGAATGGTGGCTGATCTTATTAGATCAGTGTAGATGCTTCAGGGCTGTGCAGGGGATTTCAGGCTGGGATTCAAGAGAAGCTGGCATGTTCAGGACTCCTGAGCTCTGGAGGCTCCACAGAGCCAACAAGAGCTGCAGGTCACTGCCTTGTAGTCACAGCTTCGAGAAGAAGGGCCATGAGGGAGAGACCAGGCCTCCTTACCTCACTCTGCAATTTGTGAGCTTTCTTGGCACAGCTCAGCCTCAGGTCTTCTGCTAAGGACGTGTACTGGGGGAGCGGATGTCTGTAATCCTGGTCACTGGCCAGGGTCTGAGCCTTCTTGGCATGCACCAGGGTTACCATGTCCAGCGGCAGATGGAAGTGTGCCTTTGAATGTTCAAAGCCTTTCTTGTAATTCACCTAGAGGGGCAGACAGATCAACAGTGACTATTTCAAAGTCGTTTTTCACCAGCAGAGAGCAACTGCAGTGCAGTTGTCCCAGGTCATCCTGGGGGATGTTCCTGGCAGGGACAGTGCTCTTTCTCATGGAGACTGCTTAATAAGCAGGGCTCAACCCCAGCTCTAGATGCTTACCCACCACCCACCCCCAGCTCCTGGAGGTCATTGACCTGGGTAAAGAAGACAGTGGTACTCCTATTAGGAGAAAATAGACATCCAAGAGACAGATCTACTGTCAGTGACTCCCTCGCTCAATGTTTTACATCATTCCATTTTTCAGAGGAAGGACAACCCATAATCAACCAGTACTCCGTCTAGCATCTTTTCCAAGTTGTCTGCTCAAGTTCAGGTTTTAGATGCCAGGGAATCTCCTCTCACATTAACTGGGGAAGAGTTTCCTCAAATAGATGACTTCCAAGGTATTCTGGAAGCCAGCAGTGTGGGGTGTGTGGGGGGGGGTTGGTTGGGGAGGGTGACTGCTTAGAGAACCAGTCATGAGAGACAGATAATCCCCAAACCCAACACACATTCCAAGAGAGGAAGGGAAACCCATTCCAGACTTCCAGCTCACACAGACCTTGGAGAAGCTGTTTAAAGATCTATGAAACAAACTCAGGACTTTCTTGGGTATCAGATGCATAATCACTGCCTCTTCTTCACATCCTCCATCCTGCCATTGTCCCCTGGCAGCTACAGCCTCTAGGCCCTAACGTTCCACTCCCACCTCCACTGATCCTGCCCTCTGCTAGCACAAGGGCAAGGACAATTCATGTCTAACCCTATACTCATAAGTCAGTTAGAAATGGGGAAACTGAGGCCAGGTGTGGTGCCTCACACTTTTAATCCCAGTTAGTTGAGAGGCAGATATTGAGAGGATCACAGTTTGAGGCCAACCTGGGCAAAAGTTAGCAAGACCCCATCTCATTCCACCTATCAGGGAGGTCTGGGTAGGAGAATCAAAAACTCAAGACCCAACCTGAAAACTAGCTAAAGCAAAAAAAAGGACTGGGGGCATACTCAAATGGTAGAGTAAGCCTAAGACCCTGAGTTCAAACCCCAATACTACCCCAAAAATGGGGAAACTGAGGAAGAGAACAAAATGACAGAGGACATGTGAAGCCATAGGGAAACATATTCAATGAATGTGTCTGTTTTTATTAGGCCAGTGCATGTGCTTCTGGGCTGTGCACAAGCTCTCAGCCCGTAGAAAGGATGCTGACTCCATGTCCTGGCCTTGCCTTTTCTAGCTGACCTTAGGCAAGAGACTGAGCCACTGGGTCTCAGCCTCCTTATCAGTAAATCAGGAACTCCCAGAGACAGTTTGCACAGGAATGACACATTGCACAGGAATATGCTGGCACAGGAATATGCTGTTGGACACGATTTCATGGCTGACATTAATCAGTTCACATATGTGCAAGGAGACCATGTACACAAACACATGCCAGCATCTAAAGGGTCACAGTCAACCATCTGAGGGTGGTGGCAACTCAGGTGCCTGCATTTGTGCAGCACTTAGGAATCCAGTTTAGCTTCTGGCCAGAAGACTAGAACTTTTATGTCAAACTTTCCACTTTCAAATATTTGCAATTAATTCACTCCACAGACCAAAGATTTAGCTTTGCAGGCCAAATCTAGCCCACAGGCCCCCAGCTGTGGCCACTGGTCCAAACCAAGAATGCCCAGTCCGGAAGGGAAGGTGGGGGTCAAGTAAATCAATCTCCTTTTACAGAGGAAGAAGTTTAAGCAGAGGTGATTCTGCATTGCCACAGAACCAACACCCACTTCCAGAAAGACGGGCGACATGCATGGGCTGTGCTATAAGCATCATTAGGTAGGCCCCACAGCTCTGGTGCATTTCTTCCCACTTACATCACTCTGCAATGAGGTCGCGTGCACTGAATGTGCAAGGCTGAGATCATCTTCCAAGCCCCGGGAGCCAAGCATCTGTCCTTTCATTCTCTCAAATGCCTCTTTGTATTTGTACTAAAGGGAAAGAGAGCGGGAGAGAGTAACAGCTCAGGGACAAGGGACACGGAATGGAAGAGGTGGGTATTGGGCAAAAATGTTTTGTTCTTTTGACAGTAACTGGGTGAGTTAAAAGAAAACGCGCGGGAGTCGTCCAAAGGTCTATTCTTTCATATGCAAGACTCCCAATGACTAAAGGGCTCCGATATGAAATGGCAGGACGCATTAGCACTTGGGCGGCCCAGGCTGGAAGAAGGTGCACAGATTGTTAACGGTCTTTTTACACAGACTGGCTTTATGAAAACTCTTGGTGAAGGGTGCATTTCATCTGCCCAGGGTCCATATTTACAGTTGCACATTTGGCTTTGTACCCCAGGCTAGGGAATTTTTTTTGTTGTTGTTGTTAAGATGTGTTCTTTTTCACTGGTCATTATCTGATTGCCCGAATGCAGCCAGTTTGGAGAGAAGAGGATAGTATCCGCAGGCAAGAAAAGGCAGGGGTTAGAGGCAACAGAACAGAAAACTGGCTCAGATCAAGCATTGTCACAGAATTGGATGCTCACATCACTTATGATGTCACCAGAAGCCTTTGCCGCCTGGAACGGAATGGCATCTGACCTCAACTTGTATCCAGCATCTCGAAGTTTGCTCCAGGATTCTTTATAACGTGTCTGATGGGAAGATGTGTACAAAGAACGATCCACATTGACCTGCTGGTTTCCTAACCTCTGATTTACCAAAATGGGAGTCTGGTTTGTTGGTTTCTCTTCCTCCAGCCCCAGCATCCAGCTGGGGTTAGAGATAATGTGGCTTAGAGAAAATTAGCCAAGATTTGGCAGGTAAAGCCATAGAGAGGAGGGGTTAAAAGCAAGGGCTCTGGAGTCCAACACATCCAGATCTTTCTGAGCAGAAAGCTAACTAGATAAAGGAGGCATAAGAGTGCATTTGCGTCACTCTTTATGCAAGGTAAAGAAAAGCCAAGTGTCTCTGTTAAAGAGCAGGAAAGATGCTGATGGAGATTCTGGAGGGGAGAGATGAAGCCCCCAAGTGTCTCCTTGGTACAGCCACGAGGAACTCAGCTTTATTGTGACACTCCCTTATTTCAGCCTTCTGTACAAAGGCTCTTGGTATAAGGCAGGTCTGGTCTCATTCTTTCAAAGCAAGCTTGACTCTTCTGCAAGATCAGAGACATAATTTGCAGGGTCCAATGCTAATTAAAATGTGGGTTTCCTTGTTCAAAAGGATCATATATTTCTAGAGGGCAACAGCAGTGCAGTAAACTAGTGCAGGCTCTTCTGAGTGAGCTCGGGCCTATGCCTGCCTATGAAGGAATCCCTGGACCCCTGTCACGGAAGCCAGTGTCCCTCTGGCTGGCCTCACCTCACTGATGTTCATAGCATTCAGCTTAGCCAGCAGGACTTCAGGCAGATCAGCAGTCTGAGTGTAATGATGCTTGATGTTTTCTCCTTGCTCCTTGTACAACCTCTGTGGGTGGAGAGAGGTTTTGCATTAGATTCAGAGCCTCTACCATGCAGCCACCAGCCAAGTTACACTCCAGGGGACCAAAGGACTGCAACTGCCATGTGCTCCTAGAGACCTGACTGCAGCACCCTGCCTCCACCCAGATTTATGGTACAGTGACACATGTGTCACTCTCTCCCCAGTTCCACTTTCCAGCTCAGAACACGACAGGCTGAAACCTTTCCCGCTGTGAAGGCTCCACTCTGTATCCTGCTGAGACTAGTATCACAGGAGAAAATGAGGCACAGTCACCTTCCAGTCATTTGGTTATTGACTATAGATGCAGAAGTCGTACAAGGAGATGGCTCTTCCAGGTGAGGTCTCACCGTGCCCACCTTCACCCTCCCACCCCCCATCTCCAGGATTCTTGCCCTAATCATTGTTTCTGAGTAGGTCTGGCATTCTCTTTACCAGAACTCTGATATGGACTTCGGATATCCTAGCATTTGCAATGACACACAGAATTGGTATCAGTCACCAAAGAAAGTTTCTAAACCTGTTTTCTCCGTCCCAAATCTTATCAGATGTGTCCAAGTTTCTACGTATCACAGCAGTGCCCCCTAGAGTTGGATAAGGTAAGGATGAAGCAGGTATTGTTTTTCTTCCAAGAAATTCATTTGTGTTTCTCAGAATTTGATTTGATTCTGATGGGCTGATTAATAAGAAATCATAAATTCTTAAATCCAGAAACTTCTGAGTCATCCCACTGAGTATTCTGACAGGCATTTGGGCCTTTTGGGATGCCTGTGGAAGAAGACTCAGCCAGAAGAACTTGCTGAGAAGCCAGGGAGGGAATTTTGAACCCCCAAGAGAGGAGGGGTTTGTAAATTTTCTTTGTGGTAAGTTGAATGATTTGAGGATATTTAAAAGGCCAAGTCTACTTTACACAAACATTCATGGGCTACTCTCAGTAAAATCAGCCTAACAGAGCTAATCCATGACCTAAAATGAATTCTTACAGAGCCTCATCGTTCCATTTAGTTTCTAGCGATCCTGGAGCTAGGAGAGCAAAGGGTCAAATCTTGGTCTTCCATAATAAACAAAAATATGAGAAATGCCTTGAAAATCAGACTAATGTGTATAATCAGACCCAAATCATTTTCAAAGAGTGGAACTGAGAGAGCAACAATTCCTGCCCCTAGGTCCTACAGAGTCCTGCGCCTGTCTCCAGAATTCCAACTAACAAGAATTTCACCCAAAGTTCCAGTTCTGAAAACAACACTTTCAAACAAAAGGAGAAGGGGAAAAAGGGCCTCACCACAGACAAATCCATGAGACATGCAAATGGGAAAGAAGGAGAGCATGATGGGGCAGTGAGGTGCAGAGCCCCACTTGGCATCCTAAGTGCAGGAACGCCCCATTTGCATCCTAATGAGGCAGCACCCCTGCTAAGGGGAGCCTCACAAAGGACAAGGAGCCCCTTCATCCTCAGGACGAGAGAGGAGCAAGCCCAAGATCCCCTCCGCTTCAATCACACTGTTGAAAGAAGAGCTCACTCTTAGAGTCATAATGTATATACATTATCACTTACATCCACTGCTTGGGTATAACTAATTCTGGCCTGGACCATCTCCGGAGTGTCTTTAATACTGGTAAACTTCAAAGCATCTGGATGCTGACGGTACTTCTTCTGTTGAGCAGGAAAAGATCAAAGCTGTGAATTTTGTGCTGCTCTTTCATGCCATTTGAAAGAGAAAATCATAGGTTGCTTGAGATTAGAGTGAATTTGTGAACATAATTATTATTCGGCTACCTCCATCTTTATATCCTAGGTGCCTTCAGGTTAATATTTGTTTCAATTTAAGAATAACCTCATGTCAATTAACATTAAAGTATTTCTACCTGGTGCAAAGACAACATCTCAAAATTAGGTTATACTAGTAAAATACTGTAGGACAGACACTTAGGAAAGGATTCTTTTTATAGGCTTCAAATACTATGTCACAATTGTTTACATATCTTAGTTTGGCTCTTCTAAGGAAGAAAGTGAATTCATGGTTACATTATCCATTTCCTTTCACAAAATGATTTGGCAATCATTATCACAGTAAAACCTCTGCATTTAACACTGGGGAGGTGTACACTAGCCACTATAGAGCCTGGTTCAGTTAGCATATGCAATAATTCTTTACCATATTACAATAACAAGAAAAAGGAGTCATCTTAAATGCTGGCAAAGACCTTGATATCCAGGTTTGAGATATTCTGAAAATCATGCTTAAATTAATTCCTTTTTTTAAAATTCAAAGTACATTTCCAGGAAACTGAACTGTTTGTTATTATTATTTTAGGGTACTGGGGCTTGCACTCAGGGCCTACACCTGAGCCACTCCACCAATCATTTTTTGTGATGGGTTTTTTTGAGATAGGGTCTTGCGAACTATTTGCCCAGGTTGGTTTCCAACCGTGATCCTCCTGATCCCTGTTCACTGAGATAGTTGGGAAGAGTTACTCAAAGATGTCTTACTTTTATTTACTGAAGTTTAAGGACTGGTCTGAGGCAACTTTATCATGTAGGATAAACAAATTTGTTGAGAAAGTTATCAAAATCCAGTGACAAATTAATACCACTATGGGGCAATGTTCCCAAAGATCTCTTGGCTGCCAGACCGAGACATAGAAAGGAGTCATCTCAAAGTGTGGGTTATGCACAGAGCAGTATTTATTCTTCATTTCCTTTTAGGATTAGGTCCCATATTGACAGTTTGGATCATGAGCCCTTTAACCTAAATGTCTGTTCCTATGAGTTTTTTATGTTCGTCCTCCCATGAGGACTTTTCCTTAATTACACCCGACAACTTAGGACAGTATTATCCTCACTGTGGTCCCAGGGTTCTCTCTGAATCTGGAATGTTGACTAAGGGCTCTAAAAATTAGGCCAATCAGAGTGAGGCCACTTTTGCAATGTGTCAGATCACTGGACAGGGAAAATATTAATGGTAAGCAGGTGTGTTTGGAAAATCCACCAGATATCATTGTGTTTTGATGATGTATTCAGTAAGAAAGCCTCCATTAAATAAAGGCCCAGGAGACCCACTACCAAAACTAAAATCGTTAGGGCCTATGGCCACTGTGGGTACCTCCCTGATCAGAAAAGTCCAGAAAAACCAGGCTATTCTGTAGACAATTAAATGCTGACTTGCTTTCCAAGCAAGTCCCTCCCCAAACAGATACCAAGAGGGGTGGGTGGATTTGAATGATTTGATGGTGTTTGCCTCTGTGTGAGCCTAAGCCAGGGATAGCTCCCTGAGCTGCCCAGTCCAGCAGTAATTCTGCCCCCTAGAGGATGTATCCAATGTGTGTGACCTTTTTCGACTGGACCGAGGATGCTACTGGAACCTACAGGCCAGGAATGCTGGTAAACATCCTGTGAGGCCCAGAACAGCCCTCCACAAGAATGAGCAAAATATCAATAGCGCTGAGGTTGGAAAACCCTGACACAGCCTTTAAAAGTTAAGCTCAATGAAGCTATGGGGAAAAGGCTCTTTTGATAAGCAGTATGGCTTAGGGTCCAGCCAGGGTGGCTATAAGTTGACAGGAGTGATATATAAGTACAGTGGAAGTGAGACGCCCACACACAAAAAAAGAGCCAACTATGTCACTGCATTAGACATCATGTGAATATTCAAAAACTGTTTTACGCTGTGGCAGAGAGGAAGAAAATGTGCATAAAGTCATAGAAGGGCCTTCTGGGTGCAGTAAATGTATCTTTTCATCATCTCTCCTGTGTTGCTTCATTAAAAAGGTAAGTTGGTGGGTAGCAATTGAGCTCTGTTTGATCGTCATTATTATTCATAACACCATTTGTCACCCACTTTGTTTTTGCCAGGGTTCTATGGGCCCCTACTGGTGTGTGTTTGGTATGTGGGCTCCCTCTAATTACCAGCCCTAGTCCAGGTTTTGAGGCCTTTCATGTGGCTTTGCCTTTTTCTTTGCCTTTTGAGTGGAAATTATTTTAATTTTATACAGAAACACTGCACACCTAATGCAGCCAGGCCTGATACATGCTGTCAGGAAATCTCACCTCACTAATGAGTTCTCCTGCCTTCTTCGCCTGCTCCACATTTAATGACCCAGTGGCGACCCAGCCTATGCCTTTCATCCACTTCACATCTGCCTTGTATTGGTTCTGACAAAGGAGAAGGAAAGAAAAAAAGAAAGGCAGACCATTGTTGGTGCACAGACATTTAGAGGGCTGTTAGCAGCTCCCAATGTACTGATGTACTCTTGGTGCCAACTGAGCCAAATTAGATGCCACTTTGTCTTATGTGTTTCTGCACAGTCACAGGTAGGGCTCCCAAATGCAAATTAATTTCCCCTTTAATTGGAGCCCTGCCTGTGGATGGCAGCTTTAGGCTCCACCCAACACCGCTGGACGCAGAGGGGGAAGGGCTAGGTCCACCTCGGCCCTCGTTAGGGACTCAGATCCACCTTGGAGTGAAACGCATCCTCATTGTCTGTTACAAATTTTCTTGTTTGAAATGACATGCAGCAGCGATGAAAATGAGAATTCAGAGCAGAATCCAGGTGGGCGCTATTGGAGGGAATTTTATAAGACATTTGAGGCATTCCACAGTGCCAATTCCTTCCTCCCACGGAGGTGGGGGTGCAAGGAAGATATTTCTCATTTCTTTACTTGCCATTGAATGAGTAGTTTTAATGAAAAGTTATTTAAATGAACTCTTCTTTAAAGCTAGCATATCACCTATCTATCATGAAATAGCTCTGCCAGGAAGGGATGCACACACACACACACACTCAAACCACACGCTCACATACATGCACACCTGTAACAGCCTAGCTACAGTCTACCTGCCTTTGCCATTCATCCACATTCTTGTACAAGAATCAAGACAGAAAGACAGCAGAAACATTGGGGAAATAGGGAGGAAGGAGAAAAGGTTACTGAATATTAGTGAGCTTTTCATTCCACAGACAAGGAACTGCTTGAGTCAGAATGAGTTATCAGTGATAACTGATGGTGGGTTACAACTAAGAATGTGACAAAAACATTTTCCCCAAGCAATGAAAAGAAACTTGGGAAACATGTAGTTCAGAATTCCAAGAAGGACTATGATTTTCTGTTCGTTAGTACAGAACTTAAAATGGGCGTCATATGAAGCTAAAGTGTTTCCACTCCAGGATTCAGAAGTAGACATCCCATAACCACAAACTGTTGTCTTGAAGGGTTTAGGGAAGACTTGCACCAGCACCAGCACACACATGGATATACATACACACATGCAGAGCTTACATCACTCTGCAAGTCATATGCCTTCCTGGCCCACTCCATCTTCATGTCTGTGGGCAAAGCTGTGAAGCGGTTTGATGCTGTCCTGTAGCCTATGTCTGTGGCTAAGTGCTGAGCATGGCGGGCATGTGCGAGGTGGATCATGTCCAGAGAGACGTGGCACTGGGATTTGGTATCCTCGAAGCCCTTCTTGTACTCCAGGTCACTCTGCAGCTTGGACATTTGCAGCGAGTGGCTTATTTGCGAATCGCCCCGTGCACTTTTTGCTCCAATGAGTTTCCCTCTGGACCTCTCATAATCCTCCTTGTACTTTACCTAAGTGAGAGAAATAGGGCAGTGATATAGGAGAACCTCCTATACGCTTCAAATCACAGGAATGAGAGTTAAAACAAAGCCATTCGACCGAATCCTATTAGAATCAGGATTTGGATGACTAATATATTTCCTTTCATCAAACAGTGAAATAAAATATCTCTACCCCATTAATTCCCTTTTCACCTTGGCTGCCACAAAGCTCTGAGCTCAACTGAATGCTGATCTAAACCATCAGCCCTCTATCAGTTTTCCAGTGACATCCCATCTCTTCTCCAATTATTTGAAATCATTTTTAAATGGCCTGTTGTTTCCTACGAAAACTACTTTAAGATCTTTTTGGATCATATTGAGAACTTATAAATAAAAATTAGTCCTAAAATGAAAAAGACACAGAATATCCAAAACACAATTGCTGTGAAATAAGGAACTCAAGGAGTATAGGGAGTGAAAGGGAGCACACTACCTGAAAACAAAACAGCAAGGCCAAGAGCAATGACAACCAGAAGAAAGCACAATGTGGAAATACTTCGAAAACAATGTGGAATCATTTTCAACATTACCATTATTTTGGTTATTAGCCGACATGAACTCTACTGTCATTTCTGCCTACAGCAGTATTCATATCTGCCACTATTTATTGAATTAAATAACCACGCATGGGCTACACCTGTGCCACTCAAAGTGCACCCACACATTGGTTTGTAAACTGTCACCAGCTGACTACAAGATAAAGAGTGTAAATCCACAAGATCATCAAGCCATTGAGTCTGCTGGCTATTTTTTTAAGACTTTCTCAAGGAGGAAGGAAACAGCGTTTAACATATATTTTGGCTCAAACCCCTTATCTCTCAACAGACTCAACAGTCTGCATCAGACTATAAAACACCTCATATACATCAGTTCATTTCATTTCCTCACAACCAGTTTGCAATTACCTATTTACCAGCAAAGTAATTGAAATGCTGAAAGGTAAACCATATCTGCTCAAAATAACACTACTATGTGATGGAGCTGGGGTTTTCTCCAAAGTGTAGCTGACACCAGAGCCTGTACTCTAAGCCATGAGCAGGCTACATCTCCAGGAAGTTGTGGAGTGGGTCTGGCATCAGATTATCTTCAAAAGGAGGACCTTCAACTCTCACTACGATCACTACTGCCAGTGGCCACCTACTCAAATCGATGAGTGGCATGAAGCTTGTTGGGCACTGGTGATTTTCTCATTGCAAGGTGATTGTTACTATCCCTATTTTGCACATAAGAATGTTGAGGTTCGGGGAGATGAAGATCTGCCCAGATAAAGCAGCAGGATTTCCTGACTCTTATCGGAGTTGGATACCAACTCACCTCACTGGCCAGGTCCCTCTTGGCTTTGGCTGCCAGGAAAGTCAAGGAGTCAAGACGCAGTTCAAACCCTTTGGCCTTCTGCTTTTCCCAGCTGCTCTTGTACAGTTTCTAGGGGGATTTAGGAGAGAAGAGATTGTCCTCATGTGAGAGGGTTTCTGTAGATTCTGTGTTGACCTTTCTAGGAAGGAAACAGGGACAGTGCCTTTCCTAGAAATTGAGAGCCCTGAACTCAAGTAGCCTAAATACAACCAACCCTTCTGTTCCCTGCCTGAAGGCCTCTTGGCACACAGGGCTTTAAGCAAAAGAAGCAGAAATTAAAGTCCAAGAAGTCTTGAGGAGTCTTCATGGAAGCCTCGAAGACTTGCTAAAGATGGAATAACATTGCACAACACAGCATCTGTGCAGCAGGGCTCTGACTGCACCCTTCTTTTTCCTGCCTCCGTCACTTTTCCCCTTGCTCTGGCCTCCAGTGTATCTGAGCCATTCCTTGTTCCTCTCATTCTCTCTCCTGCTCCTACTTCCAAGTTTTGAACGCTTTCCCTTGGAAGACTCTTCCCTGTTTTGGTGTGTGCATCAATTCAGCCCCTCTTCTCACAGTCCTCCTCACCCCTCCTCACCCCAGACATGAACCCCAAACACCTGGGAGCTGAAGACAGCCCCTCCTTACACAAGGAGGAAGATGGAATCATGGATACAATATATCTTGTAGCCACCACTGTGCATGCTCCTCCAAGTGCTTCATGCATATTTGCTCAAAGAAGCCTTGTGACAATGTCGTGAGGAAGGGCTAGCGTTAGCCTCATTTTCCTAGTAGGACAACTTGGAATAAAGAATTTGTCCAGGTCATACAACTGGTAAGTTGTAGAACCAAGGATCAAACCCAAGTGGTTTGGAGCCAATATGTGAGTTCTTACTCACTCCCCTCTGCCACTGCTCAACTTTCACCCCTGATCTATTTAGTGACTCAAGTTATTCAAGTGATTCAAGCTAAGAAAGGCTGTCCACTGATCAGGAGCCAGATCTACTTGGCGAACTATTTTCATAACAACCAGACGATGTATCTAAGTTCAGTTGACAGAGACACTACTCGTATGGCTGGTGGATTTAGTGAGCAGGTGGCTATGGACACAGAAGAACAGAACCCATGGCTGCCTACTGCCTCTCGTGTACCTCACTGAGATGAGCAGCATTGGCTCGGGCCTGTAAGAACAGAGGCTCGTCTTTGTTGATGGTATACTGATGCACAGATTGCTCATTTTCTGCTTTGTAGGCCACCTGTTGGGAGAGAACACTGAATCAGGAGCCAGGGGGTAGGGTGGGGATGGGAGGTCCATCACAGGTGCGGCAACATGAATGGAACTGGAGGACATTATGTTAAGTGAAATAAGCCAGGCACAGAAAGACAAACTCCATATAATCTCACTCATTTGTGGTAGCTCAAAACATTGATCACATAGAAGTAGAAAGTAGAATTGAGTTCATTAGAGGATAGAAAGGGGAGGGGGGAGTGGAAACAGAGACAGGGTGCTCAATGGGTACCAAAACACAGCCTGGGAAAGTAGTTTCAATGTTATAGCACAATAGGCCATCTATGGTCTACGACAATTTATTATACATTTCAAAATAACTAGAAGAGAAGAGTTTGAAGTTTCCCAACACATAGAAATAAACAGTATTTGAAGAAACTGGAATGCTAATTACCTTGATTCAATAATTAAACATTGTATACATGTATCAAATAACACTGTACCCCATAAGTAAGTACAAATATTATGTGTCAATGAAAAACAACATATGTCTATATCTATATCTCTATCCACTGCATGCATGACATACACAGTAAACAAAGTTTAGGGTTAGGGGCTAACCTGATAATACCTCTAAGATTTCTGTTTGCACATCTTTCCCTTGAGATGCCCTTGACCTCACCAATCTGTTGTCACCTACACTGTCCACAGCCATAGAAAAATACCCCATCAGAGGATTCCCAAGTAAGACAGATAGGATGCACACTGCCTTCTGCACTTTCACATACAATCTTCATGCACCGAGAAGTGCTGACACTAGGAAGTGCGCAGTGGCCAAAAAAGCAGGATGAGCAAATTTCTCCATGGAAATTTAGCACATTGTTTTTCCTCTTTCCCTTTTCCTGTAACCTCTGAATTGAGTTTTGCTGACTTTGACTTAATTTGATAGCATCCTTTCTGGCAGGTATACCTAGTTCTTTAAGAAGGAAAGCCAGGGAGGACCTGGTCAGATTGTAGCAAGTAAAACACCTACTTAGTGAACACTAATCTGTAAATAATACACATGGTGCCTCATTGCTCTACTTCCTATATTTGAATCCAAATAAGCATGTTCTGCACACATTCACAGTCAAATGTTGCCCTTCTCCACGTAGTTCTCCACCAAATCCAGAATTACAGAGTCTTTGAGAGATAGAAGAAAGAAAAAGAAGAAAGGAGGATTAAGGAATACTGATAGCAGAAAAGGAATAAAGTCAGTCTTGCATCTATCTCTAATAAATGGAGGAGTTCGGTTCCCAGAAACAACCTGGAAGCCTTGGGGAAGGCTGGATGCAGCCTATTTAAGGTGAAGGCTCTTTGGTTCCTGGATAGTGCCTGGGCATCACCTGCTGCTGTCCCCGGAGGTTCCCAGGTCCATGACACAGCACACTGTTAAGAGAGAGCAGTCCAGGCAGGACTCACCCCACTCTGCAGCTCCTGGCTCTTCTTGGCATGCTCCATCTGGGAGCTGTCAGCCACACTGGTGAACTTCAGCCCATCAACCCTCTGTCGGTAGTTTTTCTGTTTTCAAAGAAAAGAGATCCACAGCAATAAGATCAGGTTTTGCCCCTTTCACCACACACCACACACACTTATCCTTTCTGTAGCCCAAGCATCTCGTTGGAGGAGACACTCTCTTGGTTCTGTAGCTAGAACCACACAGTCCCAAGTCAGTCTGCTTAGGTGAGCTTGACTTTGTTGCTATTAATGAATGGAAATTTTAATTTGTTCCCCTAAGCAAATTCTGTATTGCACTGTATACAATGGGCGTTTCCATTTTATAAATCCAGGTCTGACATAGGAAGGTAAAGTGGAGGAAACCTGAACTTTATAACCATAAAGATCAAGGTTTAAATTTTGCTTCCTCCTCTCTCCAGCTTAATGACATTGAGCATGTCACTTAATGGATCTGAATTTCTCAGATCCATCAAGTAGATCAACAGAAGCTCCTTCACTCTGAGGTGGAGCAGAGGCTTCAATGCTATCTTTCCATGAGAACCAAGTCCTTGGCACATGTGTTTAGTACCTCACCATACAACAGTCCATGGTGCTACCTTGATTATCCAGTAAACATTAGCTGTAAGAAAGAAAGAATCTCAGGAGCCTCAGACAAAAGGCCAGAGATCAGATGGGATTCACCCTCAAAGTTTCTCATTTTCCAGATCACTGAGGTCTTCTTCTCCATCTTACAACTGGCAAATTTTCAGATGTGCTAATTTTGATTCTCCATAGGGACTTCTTGTCTTTCCTGAAGATTAGTTCGTCTGGCTTTTCCACTGGAGTTGCCAAGTAGAGGGGAAAAGTGACTGTGGAGGATGGTGTGTTGAAGCAATAGCTTCACATGTTGGGGGCATCAGAGATGAACTCACAGCCCAGGGCAACCTGCATTCCCTGTGTCAACAGCAACAGTATTGTGGTAACAACTGAGCCCACAACAGGGACTGGACACTGGGAACTCTAAATTGTCTATCTTTATGAAGAAAATAATTGTAGAGAAAATATTACAAAGAGACTTCAAATTTCCCATCCTTGTTCCTGTGTTGAATGGGAGAATTTTTTCACCACATAATTGAAGGAAGTCACATTGCCCTTCCATTGTTGGAAATTCCCAGACATCTCAGAGTCTGCATTGATCAAATTATAAATACTTATGAGGAGCCAAAAATTCATTTTAGCATATAAAAAAGGTGGAGATAAAATCTTCCTGGCCCATGAATAGCTTAAAAAGTAGTAGTCAGCACAGGAAGTGAGATGGAAACTGACATTCCTGATGCTGAAGGACCAACTGGCTGCAACACCCCCCTGCCACCCCATGTCTACCCCTCAATTCCACACTCTGATCCAAGATGGGGGGGAGCAGGGGCTCTTGTTGCTCCACCTGGATTGCAACTGGTCTCAAAGAAACTAGGTAACAGGAACTCTACAGGATTATTCTTTTCTTTCTGCATTCTTATTTATACATTCTAAATCTAAATGTGTCTTTGCCTGAGACAAGGGCAAGTGCAGTGGAAAGATAAGATTGAATTATAAAACATACTTCAGGGATGCACTATTGCTTAGTGGTCAAGAGCTGGGGCACTGGGGTCATAATAAGTATAGAAGTATAGATGTCAGTTCTGCTACTTACTCAAAACGTGACTTAAATCTCACATGTAAAGTTGGAATATTAAAAGTATAATCATAGTATCTATTCACATTGGACAATTGTGACTATGAATACTAATAGGAATTAACGCAATCAAAGTGATCAACTGTACCAGTGATTAAATAATTATTATCAGTCCCATAAATGGTGGCTAGTTTATTATTATCATTGCAAGAGATATGCCAAGTCAGCCTTCTTGGCCCTGAAGCAAGAATCCTCTTTGAAGATCCCAAACAAAGTTCCTGAAATAGTCACACTTCCAAATGAAACGCCCTTCAAAAGTCCTCCTCCGCCTGCTGTCAAGGCCAACTTTCCATTGCATAAAGAGATGCACAGGCTTAAAGCCACAGGGCCATGGGCAGTTTCTTATTCAACCTTTTCATTTTCATAGGAGAAGGGGGTCAGGAAGGATAAGTGTCTTGTGTGTAGTCTATAGTGACTATGAGGCACTGGCGTAAAGAAAACAGTCTGTGATTAACAAGAAATCATACACTCCTCACACAAAGACATCACAGGTTGAGTATCCATTATCTGAAATGCTTGGCACCAGAAGTGTGTGGGATTTCAACTTTCTTTCAGATTTTAGAATATTTACCCATACATAATGTGGCAGATTGGGAATGGAACCCAATTCTCAATTCATTTATGTTTCATGTACACTTTACACATAGAGCCTCAAGGTTATTTTATGCACTATCTTTAAGAACTTTGTGCATGAAGCAAAGGTTTGTGGTGATGTCATGATGGTAATCAAAAAGTTCTGGATGTGGGAGCATTTTGGGTTTTGAACTTTCAGATGAAGGATGTCCAACCTGTCTAATCTTTCTGTACTGACTTATTCTCTAGATGAAATTGCTTCTTAAATATGTAGGGTTCTGTAAACACCTCCCCAAGAAGTTTAAGAATATGGAAAATTAGTTCAGGGTGCAGTTGAGGTGCAAAATGAAGTACCCCCACCACATACACACATGGAAAAAAAAAAAGTTTGAGGTGAGGAGGGAAAGGGTCACTATCTGTGATTCAGGGATTGAGAACACTAGAAGCCAGAGGTTTAAGTTCAGGTTACCTCACTGACAAGCTGTCCAGCCTTCTTGGCCTGTTCCAGGTTGAGACTCCCTTCAGTCAGCCACCCAACTCCCTTCATCCATGCCAAGTCAGCTTTGTACTTCAGCTGCAAGAGAAATGTCACCAAGTCCTCATGAAACACATGGTACAGACAGGACAGAGTTGATGAGAAGTTAAGAAAACCTTGATCCTGCATTAGTCTTCCCAGAAGAACTGCTCCCTCCAGTTTTATGGCCAGGCATATCTCTCTTTGGAAGGCAAAGCCACCAGACCCACCTTGTAATGAGAACAGCATGTTCTTCCTTAGTGCTGAAACACCACAACTTTACTAGAAAGAATGCTTCTTATATTTTTTTGAGCTTTGTTTGCCCACCTGCTAAGTTTCCAACATTTGCTTCTCATTTGCTCATGCCTATTACCAGCTCATCTTGACTTCATAATGGCTCTGAGTCCTATACCTCCATCCCTCAGTTTCCATTGTCTTGACTCTGTCTCCACCTCCCTACCAGCACCTCTCTAGTTCTTCCTAGTCCTCCGAGTTACACAATAAACAAATGCCAAGTTCAGAATCACTCTGAGTGTATATCGAATCACAAGATGCATGGGGAGAGCTGGCCGTGGGTGAGGGCGCACCTCGCTTTGGAGTCCATACGCTTTCTTGGCCCACCGAGTCTTCATGTCTTCAGGCAGCACAGTGTATTCATGCAGCTTCTTCCTATAGTCCAGGTCACTGGCGAGAGCTTGGGCCTTCTTCGCATGCCTGATGTTCACCATATCCAAGGGCAGCTGAAAGTGGGTCTTACTTTCTTCAAAGCCTTTCTTGTATTCAACCTTAAATGTACATTAAAACAAGGCCCATTAGTTATAGCCTGCTCTTGACATGACAATGCAGGAAAGATTCCTGGGCTTTGGGGAGGAATTGGCACTCTGAGAAAGGCCACTCCTCTGTTAGAAAGGTATGACCCAGGTCCTGGCTAATAAGGCAGCATGATAGGGGAGCTATGTTTCCACAGCTCCTTATCTCTGGAAGGACTGCTTCTCTCCAATCTGAACTCTTTTTACTTGGCTGCTCCAGGAAGAGCACACTAGCTGTGCCTTCAAGAGGCAGGATAATAAAACTTGGGCTGCAGAGACAGACAAGCCTGAGTTCAAACCTGATCTTTTCTTTACCACCAGGGCAACCTGTGCAAAGTTGTATCACTTCCCCAAGGGTTCATTTTCCTCAAGGGAATTGTTGTTATCAGTAAATGAAACAGTATTAGAAATGTGTTTAGTACAGGGACTGTCACAAAGCAAGTACTTGATAAATGTTAGCTATCGGGATGACAATAATGATTGTAGTGTGGTGATGGTGGTCATGATGGTGGTTGTCCTGATGGTTGTGACTAATGGTGATAGTGGTGATTATTATGGTGATGGCAGTAATGGCAGTGGTGATGATGATGCAGTAGTGGTAATGACAGTAGCAATGATGGTGGTGATGATAGTGGTGTGATGGTGGTGGTGATTTGTGGTGGGAAAGGCAGCCTACAACAGTAGATGGAGTATGGTGCTCCACAGTAAGAGTTCTAGCCTCTAATTCTCTACCCCTCTACCACTATCACTGATTTTGGGCAAGGCACAATCTTTTGGGCTCTCAGTTGCTCTAACTACAAACATAAAACACCAGTTTGTGGTCTGTCTGTACTGAAGCCAAATTCTCAATGTCTCTTTATGTTTAATGATTATGCATTTCTTAAGGCTTATTGTGTAACACATCCAAAATGGTGACCCAGATGTCAACTCTCTTATTCCAGCCTTGGCCTCTTAATAACTTGTTATTATATCCAACTGAATACCATCAGAGCTGCATAAGCTGACCAGCCTGTAGCAGACAGCATAAAGCAGGAACTCAAGGCTGTGTGTCCTTTTTGTCTGCCTGCATTAGCAGGGAAGACTTGACTAGAAACCAGATATGTCTCTTCTAGCAGAACTCTCCTTCCACAAAGGCTTTTGCTTTTGCATTTTGGTAAGTGACATTTACCAAGGCAAATCTCCAGCCATTACAGTTGTTTACAGGTAGTATTCTTCTGATTGGCTGGAGCCTAGGATGCTCTAATTGTTTGCCAAATACTTTAAATACCATGTGTATTTGTGACCACAGGATTTGTCCAGAACCCCGTCACAATAAACAGAATGTTTGTTGCCTAACCCCTTACCATGGTTTGAAGATGGCTTATCCCCACTAAAACTCATGTTGAGGTTTAATTCCTCAATGTAGCTGTGTTGGGAGATGCAGCCTAGTGAGAGGCAAAGCCCTTGTGAATAGATCAATGTTCATGGGAGTAAAGTGAGTGAATTCTTGTTCTCAGGGAACTGAATTAGTTATCATGAGACCAAGCTACTTCTTGTATTCTTTCTCTTTTGCATGTACCTACTTATTTTTACATTTTTTCCAACTTTTGCAAAATGAGACCATCACTAAACGTGATGGCCTGATCTTGGACTTTCCAGTCTCTGGAACTATGTGTCACTATAAACCTATTCCTTTATAAATTACCAGTCTCAGTATTCTGTTAAACAACACTCTCTTATTAGCTGAGCTCCATGACAGAGGAACTTGTCATGAGTTATTCATGCTTGGAGCCCCAGTGTCTCATGCATGTAGCATTTTGCCCATAGTAACTGCTTGGCAAATAACTGTGGCATAAATAAATGTGCCCAAACACTTTTGTACCTTGATCAGTTACACTCAAAAGCTTTAAAAGAATAGTATGGTTTAACAAAATAAAGAAAGCAAACAAACTTCTTATACAAGCCCAGAAAGAAAACAATTACAGGTGGATGTCAAAAAAGGTAATAATCCCAGGTAGAGTAGGCCCAGGAAAAAGTTTTAAAATAGCACCCCCGTAAGTGAGGGGCTAGGGACTAGAAAAAGAATTTACCTCGCTGCTCATCTTGGCCACCTGCAGAGAGTGCAGAAGCTTCGAGTCGGTTGTTCCCATGACTTTTCCTTTTGTTTTTTCATACTCTTCTTTGTATTTAATCTTGAGAGAAAGAAGAAAGTCTACTATGAGTGAGAGAGCGACTTTGCCATCGAAGGGACTCTGGTTTAACAAGTGCACAGAGAACAATTCTAAAAAAGCATCCCCCAGACTCCCACGAATCCAGAAGAAGATTAAAGAATTGTGATGTTTACAATGTTAACAGTCATTATTTTTTTCAGCAGGACCACTGACATTTTATTGGAACCATTCCCTATACATTTCTGAGTTAATGAGAGAAAACCTACATTGCTAGCAAGCTCCCCAGAGGCTTTGGCAGCCAACAGAGATATGGCATCTAGCTTCATCTCAAATCCTTTCCCCTTTGTCTTCTCCCAGCCTTCTTTGTACTTAACCTGTAAAACAAGAACAGGTGAACAGAAGTTGCTATCCATATTTCTGCCGAAAGCAGAAGAGGAGTCTTCTTTAAAGCAAAATTTGTTTCTTCAATTATTTGCAGGTCAGAGTCTTGGCTTTTATTATCAAAATGCTAACAGTAATTATTAACACTGTTATTGCTTCCTCAGGCACAGGGTCACTCAGAACAGTGGTAATAAATAGGTCAGGACACAGAGAAGACCTATGTGGTCCTCCTAGGTCTCTTATTTCCTGCTCATGTAACTTTGGGCCATAGTCAACTATTTACAAAAGGAATATATTACCATTTTCAGGGTTGCTGTGAGAGTAAATTAAATATTGTGTATAGAAACAAATCCTCAACTGGCAAAGTGTCAAAGAGATATAAGGTATTAGTATTGCCATAGTAGCAATAACTGTTGGTGGGCCCGTTCCTAAATGTTTTACTCACTAACTGCAGATCTTCACATTAGTCACTGAGGCTCAGAGAAACTAAAGACCTAGAGTCACACAGGTTAAAAATGGCCATGCCAACATGTATGAATCCAGGTCTATCTGATTCCAAAGTCAAATGCTGCCAACCATGTCTTTACAACACCTCCTGGGATTATTATAACTCTGTATTATATCATACATTCTATCTATCATGTAATATCATTTACCATAGTATAGGGCAGACTTTCAAAAACATCAGTTCCTTTTTATCTTCTCCTTCACCACAAATCCCATCAAGAATGAGAAGCCTAATTCAGCCAATACTTCAGAAGACTCTGATGATTAAGATCATTCCTCTTGAAACTGCATTTCCTCTATATAGCAAGCTATCAGTTAGAAGCCACCAGGATGATGGCAACGATGATGGTGATGATGGTGGTGGTGTGTGTGTGTGTGTGTGTGTGTGTGTGTCCACACATAACATACACATGCTCAAAAAAAGAGAATTAAATCACTATGACCAATTCGTCCCTAGTGAACTGCCATGAGATGGCAAAATTCAAAATTACAGCACAATGGATGGCTTTCAGGAACAGAGCACCACCTGCTGGTTTGAGTATCCCAGTATCTCCATTATCACAATTACACACAATCCCCGCCATGGCCGTGTTCTCCCCACATGGTTCACACTCACCTCACTAAACAGTTCAGCGTTGGTCTTGGCCTTCACCAGCTGAGGCACATCTTGCGGCAAGGTGTAATTCAACTTATTTTTCTCATAGTCGGCGCGGTAATTCACCTGTTGGATTTAAAATACATTTGCAGGGGTTTTCTATGGGGAGAATATTCTGTTTTCCCTCTTCCCCCTGAGACTCGCTGCTGAGAAGGAGTTTCTGGAAAGGACTTTGACAAGGAAGCCTGTAATTTGAGTAATGTTTTAAATGAGTGGATTGAAGATGACAAACCAAAAATTAGACAACTGAAAGGCCCATTCAAATTTGTGAGTTTGCAAAACAGTTCTCTGTGACTACTTCACCAACTCTCGTTCCTTGCACTGGAGGATAGAAAACTTTTTTTCTTGGCAGTATTCGAGTTTGAACTCAGGGCCTCATGCATGCTAAGCAGGCACTCTAACCCTTGAAGCACACTCCCAACACCCCTAGCTCCCTTTTTGTGGGACTAAGATTTGAACTCAGGGCTTCGTGCAAAGCAGGCCCTCTACCGCTTGAGCCACACCTCCATCCCTCTAGACCTTTTCTGAATAGGTTCTCACATTTATGCCTGACTGCCTGGACCTATTTATGCTTCTCGAATAACTGAGATGACAGGCATGTGACACCATGCCCAGATTTTTATTGGTTAAATGGGGTCTCACAAACTTTTCTTTTTCTGTTGATGCCTGGGGCTGGCCTGCAACCACAATTCTCCTGATTTCCACTACCTACCAAGTAGCTAGGATTACAGCCAAGAGCCATCACACCTGGCTGGAAATACTCTTTTTTAAACTTGCTACAGTGCTGAACATCTTGCTATGTGCAGGGTAGATACTCAACAATAATTAATATTATTAGTGATAACAATAATTGACAATGCGTAATTATCAAATACACATTTGAAGGAAAAAGACATCTTAAAGCACACTCACACAAAGGAGCTAAGCAGCATGTGATTTCCTGATGGAAGAATAGAGCATCATTTGAGAAGTAGTCTTGCTCAAAAATTAACTCTGGACCTTAGGTATTGGTAATACTAAGAATTATTATTAGTTTGGGGTTTTTTTATTTGTGTTTTGGGGAGGCAATATATTAAAAGTGTGCAAACATGTTTAACTTTTTTGCCTTTCAGAGATTCACACTAAAATATTTATAGACTAAGTTATACAATAGCTGGAATTTTCTTTAAAATAATAGGAGAGGGGGAAGTGTGTGGGCCTACAGCCAAAGCAAGATGAGCAAGAGTTGATAGCTGTTGAAGCTGGATTGAATGTATTAGAAATTTTCCCTAATAAAATGCTTTAAAGCGGGAGTCATTTCATGGCTGTAAAGACATGCCACCATTAATAAAAGTGAAATCCTTAGGGTTTGGATGTCCTGAGGTCTCACAGCAATCTCATCCAGCTGGACAAGGGCAGGTCCCTTACGTGGCTTAGTTGCTGGGCATTGATTTTAGCTTGAACGATCTGTGGAGTATTGACCACGGAGCTGTATTTCAACTTGGCAATGCTCTGCCTGTAGTTGACCTAGGTAAAAACAGGCATAGGAAGATGTCACTTGCTCATATCTCTAATATTTTCTTGGCTCCCTTCCCCAAATCTACAGAGTGGCAATTCTCAAATTCCTAGAAAAATAATAAGATTCCAACTGGATAACAGAAAACTCTCAAAGTTGAACAGATAGAAAAACAGTATGTTGAAGAATGAGTGACTTGAACAGGCAATTCATAAAAGCAATCAACTGGCCAGTGAACATAGTAGAAGGTGATTGTCTATATTATTAATCAGAGAAATACATATTAAAACCACAATGAGAAGCCCTGGCACACCCACCTAAAGAGAGAAAAATAAAATTGCTGACAATATTAAGTGTCAGCAAGGATATAGAGCGATGGACATTCAACACTGTTGCCAGAAGTATGGATTGGTACAATTGTGCTTTGGAAACCAGTATGGTATTTGGGTACATACACATACCCCATGTCCCAATAATTCTAATGCACCTGACCAAGATCCAGTGCACAAGAAAGGGAACTTGAGCAGGGGAGTCAAAGCCTAGGTTTGCAGCTCAAGAGTAGATCACAGGGGAAGGGGCTGAGGTGAGCTGAGGAAAGCCCCAGCAACTCACTCGGGGAAGAGGACCTAGGGTGAAAGCAAAGAGGGTTAGGTTGCAGATGGTCAATGAAATTACTCCTTTCACAATTTCACACCAAGGTGACCCTGATATCCAGGAAAAAGAGGAAGAAGCAAATTCATTCCTAATCCTGTCCTTCCTGTACGCTGCCTGATCCCTTTTATTCATCCACTTATTCACTCATTCACTCCTTTGATAGACAGTCATGGGAGCCTGTGCAGAACAAGCTCTGTCCATGTAGTTGTCTCATGTGAGTCCTTACTCCCAGAACCCCAAACTGATACCATCCCTCAGGACACCTGAGCCTCTCCACACACAGGCTCCAGGTTGGGTCCACTTGCCAGCTGGTCTGTGGCTGCTTGGCTTGGAAGTACCAGATCACCCCCTCACCCCAGGCACAGATATCATGTCTCTGACTGTCTGAAGTCCATAACCCTACCTAGTATCCTGTAGTGTGTGGCAGTCTTTTTAGGCTGGGTTCTACATTCCTACTATCTACCACCATCTATGCCTGGACCTCCACCCAGGGCCCCTGACCTGCTTTCCAGAAGTTATCTCTGCCCTTCCCAGAGACCCCACCTCAGCCACCACCACAATTTCCTACCATTCCCAATCTTTGTCCTTCTATCTGCCTGCTGTTACTACCTAATACTGCTGCCTCCTAAACATGAGTGCCTGCCTTGGGGAGTCTGCAGCCCAAAGGTCACAGATGTCTATGGGAAACAGATCATTATTTGGGTACAAGGCTAAATGCCTAGTTTCATTGTTGGGGAAGTAGTAAGGAGTGGTGGAGACTGTAGCCAAAGGTAGTAGCTGCCACCTAACTCTAGGAGACAATTATCATACATCAATACGGGACACAGAACAGCCGTATTTTCAATTTCAAAGAAACCAGGACCTATGTCATTATGTAAAATATTATAATTTTAAACGCTGGCAAATAAGTCAATATTTTTAAAATTCAGTGACACAAGTGAAATAGACCAAAGGACTACTTTGGGTCCACTGGCCACCAGCATGTGTATTTCATGTCTTCACTGGGAATTGTATTCACTTCATTCTTGCCCGTCCCAACACCAACTAATTATAACCAACACACAAGGAACTTACCATGTGCCTGGCACACTCAAAGTGCTTCACATATACTAACTCATTTAATCCTCCCCATTACCTGAAAGGCATCCCTACCTTACAATGTAGAAACGGAGCCACAGAGACCTAAAGTGACTTGCTCCAAGTCACCCAGCCAGGAAGTGTCAGAGTTGGATTTGAATCCTAGGAGTCTGCTTTGCAATGTGGCTCTTAATCTATGCTCCATAAACCTGGTTTGCCAAAGCTTGTGTGCTCGAGACTGCTGTTATTTCACAGGTGATTGGGGGTTTCCCATAAGCAGAGCCAGCATTTCTCATGCAGGGAAATGTAATCCAGGCACAAACAAAAGACTTACAAGTTAACCTCTCCAAGAGGACCTGGAAAAATTAGTGCTCCTGGGACTGGGCCACAGTGTGTGGATGGATTTGGAGTGAAGGTTAGCACCATTCGGTGCTTTTTCATTAATGATCCAAGAAGAAAAGTTTTTGTATGTCCTGAGTACATAGGGAAAACTAGGAAATATAAAGTCATTTCAATGTCAACTATTAATGAGATTACAGTACTGTGACTTCCTAATGCATTAATTCAGAGGGAAAATTACTATCAACTCATAATAGAGTCTATTAGAATTCAGAATTATGCACGATAAAATGTCACAAAAACTGTATTTTTTAAATGGCATTTTCCTTCCTGATAATTCTGCATTAAGTATGTCACAAAGCACGATTGCTTTTCTCTGCAGGACATAATTAACAGGCTCCATGATTAATCACATCTTTGCAACATCACAAATGCCTGGCCATTGCTTCAGTCTACATTCTGAAGGGTTTCTTTGCTAAAGATAGAGTCTCATTTTCATTCTATTCGTGTTTATAAACCCATCTGAAAAATACTATCTAATTAAGGACCCATGATTTATTTAATTTCATAGCTAATTTCACCACCTTTAAAGCTCCCAGATGGTGAGACCACAAATGGACTCCCCAAACCTCCTGAATACCAAAATCCCTACATGAGAGTTGATAAGCTCAAATTCACACCAGAACCAGGAAAACCAGAGAAGGAAGAGGAGGGTACACTCAGGGAGCAGCCATCACCCAACCCCAGCCATCACTCAACCCCAGCCAATTGTTGCCACAGAGGACCTACGGTTGCTTTTCCCAGAGTTTTCAGATTTTTCAATAAGAGGTAATAATAGTAATTTTTATGTGAACTCATGATTTCCTCATGTTGGTTCATTTTTTTTAACACTGTATGGTAAAACAAAACACTCCTCTAAACTATCTCTAAACTCAATATTTCTCTTTTGGTATAGATTAATTCTCATATCAGATTTCCCAGGTAGACAAGCTAAATTTCTGGTGTACGATTTGATCCAGAGTCTTCAATAAGCATATATATATAGTAGTGGGTCATGCTATGACAGGAGTACAAAAATGTAGGAATTAACCTCGTTTTGTCTGTGCTCTCAGGCATGATTTCTAGAATTCTACAAAGAATTAAAACTCAAGTTTTAATGACGTGCTTTGAAGAGGCAAGTGTCCCAGGTAAGGTCTGCAGCCAAAAAAAGGAAGGAAGTAACATTGGCATTGTTCAAGTTTGAGGGGAAATGAGTAAGTCAAACCAACACAACTTCCTGGGAAAAGGAGAGGCAAAGGTTCAGCCCTTCTAGCCCTCCATTCCCACCCCTGCTGTGTAACACATTTGAAAAACCCTTTTCATGTAATAGACACCACTTGCCAGTGATTTCTCTTTAGTGTCCCGGACACGGTGTTTACACAACTGTATCCTATTGCTTACTCTGAGTGGGGGGGGAGGAGAGGAGAGGAGAAAAGAGAGAGGAGAGAGAAAGAGAAAGAGAGAGAGAGAGAGAGACACTACCAATAGGGAAAACCCAGGTCAATCACTGGAGTTGTGCTGATCTCAAAGGAATTGAAGGACAGTAACACTGGACAGTCAATAAAGATATATAGAACTCCATAGCTGGGCTCTGGTGGCTCATGCCTGTGATCCTAGCTACTTGGGAGGCTGAGAACCAGAGAACTGTAGTTTGAGGCCAGCCCAGGCAAATAGTTCTCAAGACCCCCATCTCCAAAATAACCAGAGCAAGAATGGACTGAGGTGTGGCTCAGATAACAGACAGCCTTGACAGCCTTCTTTACAAGTGAAAAGCCCTGAGTTCAAACCCTAGTTCCACTTTAAAAAAAAAAAGAAGCTCCCCTTCATTGACACCAACTCACTTCTGATCAACCTAAGTTGTTTTTAAGATAGTAGATGATTTTTATCCTTTTCTTTAACTTTTCTATAATAAACATGTAGTAAATTTCTTGTGATCATCAAACAATGAATTTAATTAATTGCACAATTTTGTTTGGGACACAAGTAGATTCACTAAATATATGTCCATATGTGTATATACTTTCCAATATGTTCCTGAGAAAAAAGCTAAGTCAACATTACCATTTACTCTTAACTTACATCCACCTATTCACTTCATGTTACTTTATTCTACCCTTATCCTACAGCACTCTAAAGTTTTAAACAAGTCATTGTTTCCATGGAACGGTTCTTATAAATGTTCCCTTTCTCAGTCTTTCAAGCTCTAAGAATTGATGTGCCTGTTTCTTTCCATCTTGCTGCCTAAGAATTTCCCCACAGGAAGGAAATGACAAGTAATAAGACAAACAGGCCTTACATCTTTCAAGGGCACCAGCTTCACTGTTGTTTGATAGGAAGGAGTAAGAGTGGCTGGATAGTTGTAGTCCACAATGTCATGTTTATAATCAGCCTTGTAGGCAATCTGAAACCCAAAGAAAAGCAAAATCAGCCAACACTTTCTTTTGACCTTGTTTGAATGTCATAAGAAATATTTTTTAAATAGCCAGAAACAAAATTAATTCAATTTCTTCACCTCCAAGGAAAATTAAATTATGTTCACACTTTTGCCTTTAATTTGAATTCTTCTTAATTAATCCAAAATTAGTTAACTTTCATCATAGCACATTTATTTTATCTTTCATTTTAATTATGGGACTCCTTGTTGTTTTTGTTAAAGCTGCACACTTACTTGTGGGTATATAATGAAAAAAGCTTCTTGGCCAATCCCAAGAAAATAAACGAAAAAACAAGAATCTCCAGAGTATTTCAATTTTTTTTCTAATGGTCAAAAATGACATCTTCAAATGGAGGAACCCTAACATTTATATGTTTTAATAATGAAATCAATTCCCTTGAAGTATTCTTTATCTCCAAGATTTGCAACCTGGTATTTGCAAATCTATGAAGCTGGAATGAAAAGCCAGAGAGACTAGTGGATTCCAGAGACCTGGACTATTTTTTTTTTAACCTATTTTGTTATCCCACTACCTTGACTAGCACCTGGCTAAGTAGATCTTCAATAAATATAATTACTGTAAATCAATAAACTCATCAACTGACTAACCAATTCCAAATAAATTACAAAAGCTTTAGAACCTTGGAGAATTTCAAATATAAATCATGCTCATTCACTTCTCTTCATCTCTCAGAGGCTGAAAATTTTTATCATATTGGATTAATTATAATAGACCTAAGTATTCTTCAAACCAGAGAAAGCCAAGATAATTAAATTGAGCCTTTGAAAATTTTAAGGCATTTTACATATCCTTGGATGTACTGGTTAACATTTGGAAACTCGTATGTGTCCATCTTTACAAACTAGAACAAAAATATTTTTTAAGGGAGATTTAAAAAGAATTGGCTGAATTGTCCATGTCCCACCTGGTAGACCTTTTACAAACCCTTGTATAAAACACTCACGTTGCTGGCCAGGCTGCCAACTTTCAGAGCATGGAGTGTGCGTCTGTCCATACCAACTCCTTCATAGTGGCCTCTCATGTGGTTCTGGTAGTTTTCTTTATATTTATTCTACATGGAAATTCAAAACTTTCAATGAAAATTTTCCAATTAGTTGAAGATAAACTACTTGTTTGAATGCACTAAATCCAAAAGATAAATGATCCAGTATAATCTATTTAAGTAATAGAAATGAAAGCAAAATTTTTTAACAAGTTAAATTTCAAGCAAGAACAAGAACTTGGAGCAAGACAGCAGACAAGCACATAGGAACATGGAGTCTGAAAGGCACTGGGAACACAAAGCAGACTGGATTTGTTTGTTTTTACATATTCAGTTTTAAGTGTATCAGATTTTTTCAATGTGAGAACTTGCCATAGAGTGTGGCACTTGCTAGTGGAGAAGCACTGATTGTGTGGGTGCTGTTGGCAAGCCACAGGCTGGGGGGCTTGGCACAAGTCACTGCATGTCATCATCTCCATTTCTACCCATAGTTGGCCCTATATCTAGGGGATCCATATCCATGGATTTAATCAAGCATCGATCAAAAATATTCAGAAAAAAGACTGCATCTACACTGAACATGTACAGACTTTTTTCTTGTCCCTATTCATTAAATTATCCAGCATAACAACTCTTCACATAGCATTTACATTTTATTAGGTATTATAAGCAATCTGGAGATGATTTAAAACACTTTAAATCACATATATGTAGGTTATATGCAAATGCCACATGATTTTATATTAGAGAGTTAGTATTTTGAGGACTTTGGTATCTGCCAGGGAGGGTTCTGGAACCAATTCCCATGGCTATTGAGGGATGACTGGATATGAAGAATAAAATAAAGTTTTGTAAAATTCTGTGATGTAAAAGTTGATTACTACTGCAACCATATGAAATAATAATGTTATGTTCCAAATCCTTCTTTTCAAATAAATGGTACAATAAGAAGTCATAAATGGGAAACTGGGCAGCTTCAATGAAGCTTCATTAAAATCACCTTCACTGGTGGGGCACTGAGTGTGCATGCACTGGGAATAGCTAAAGAGAACATGGTTATTATGCATCAGACATGATTCTACTTGTGGGCTCTTCACAAGCTCTAAGATAAAGAGAGAATTATTATCATCCCCGTTTTACAGATAGGCAAAGTGACTCAAAGAGCTGGAACAACCTGCCCAAAGTCAGCTTAGTTGGCTAGCTATGGAAACAATTATATTAGTTCCAAAATTGATTCTCTTAATCATAAATTCACACAAAATAAATTACTCACTGAGCATTACAACCAAGCAGAAGTAAAATCGTACACTCCAGAATAGGTCCTTGATATTCTCAAGGACCTATTAGACCTCTTTAGACCTTTACTGAGAATGTCTAACTGCCACTCTAGTATCTATCTGCTCATCTCCAAGAGAGGGAAATAACGTTTGGCTTCCTGGGTGACTAGGAAGTGGGATCGTGGATTGACTCAGAGGCACAAAGTCATATAGAAAAGGGGTGTTGTGTGCTCAGCCAGGCTCTTCTGCCAGTATTTATCACCAGGAGTGGAGACTGTGCTGCATAGAAGGGATGCAAAATGACAGAGAGGACAGATCCTGCCCTGACGGCTCAAAGTCAAGAATAGGGGAGAAGAGGGGACGGAGGCATGGGACAGAATTTGACACTACGTAGTCCAACCCAAGCAGGCAATCTTAACCAAAACATGCAGGTACTTGAGCCAAAGAGGCCATGCTTCTCCCAGACACAGGGATATATCCACATCAACTGTCTCTTAGGAGATAGAAACTAAGGTCACAAAAAATGCTCAAGCAAATGCTTAGGCACTGACAACTCACATCACTGGTGAATTGTGAGATCTTGCTCACGCTCCTGAATTGAGGTGTCTCACAGTAGTTGATACTGTGACCTTTACTACCTTCCAGATCCTTCTTATACTCCACCTGAGAAACCAAAACACTCCATGCTCAATAGAACAAAACCCAAAGTCACTCTTGAAAACATCTCCAGGATTCAACTGGAACATTTTCAGAAAACTTTCAACCCAGGATTTTAAAATACCAGGCATAGGATACTGACGAATATGTTTTCCTTTGTAAAAACAAGCAATAAAGTAAATAAGCAATTTCATTCTGAAAACTAAAAGGAATCATTTGAAGGAAAAATCCCTGAGACTCCACACAGCTCAACAACTGACAAAGTTGGGACTGGGGAGGAAGCTGAGTGGTAAAGCACTTGCCTAGCACGTGCAAGGCCCTGGGTTCCATCCCAGCACACAAAAAAGTATTTTTTAAATTGGAAAACTGGATTTTAGAAATCAGGTTGTTATGTTTAGAGGTAAATGTCTTCTTGGGGGATTATAAGGAGATGTCCAGACTTCAGTTAGGTTCTGTTTCTATTTTCTTTTCTCTTTTCCTTTTCTTTTCTTTGGTGTTACTTGTGTTTGCGCTCAGGGCCCCTCATTTGCTAGGCAGGTGCTCCACTGCTTGAGTCACTCCACCAGTCCATGTTCTGTTTCTTGCTTTGTGAGCTAGTTACATGGACGTGTCCACTTGGTAGAGATCCTTCCATTGAACACTTACAATGTATGCTTATCTCTGTACATGTATTTCAATAAAATTGAACAAAAAAGGTACTTTACAAAATAGTATAATAAAGGAGGACACTCTGATGGAGAGTGTTTTTGATTTAAAATAGGTTGGCTACCAGAGCTCCCATGGTGCCAGGGTGGAAGATGTGAAGCTATTGTTATAAAATAGACTCTAAGTTGTCCCAGGTAATTGCAGAAAACAGCTAAGGGTGAGTATCATTAATAGAGGTAGGGCTAGTTTGTCTTACTGGATAAATGTAAGGGAAAAATGAAATTAAAAGCTCCCTCTTATCAAAGGAAATGCAACTTGTTATCATGTCTGATAAAACTATATGGTAGGGAAAATGCCTTTTAAAGTATTCAAGATGCATGATAATGCTCACAACACTATATAAAGTAAGAAAATTATAAAACTGCATATGCAATTGAATTCTAAGCTTATAAATATATGTCTTGATATTCATACATTCAGTTATGTATGTTCACTTAGAAAAAGGCCGAAGGATCGATAGTGCTATGCCTGGATGGTAGAGCTGCCCTCCCAGTGTCCTGGTCCCACTTCTGTCCTTCAAAGTCTCTATGAACCAGAACCAGACATTTTACTTTTCCGGGCCTATGCAAAGTGATGGCCTTATGGGTCCAAACAGAGTTAATAAAATGATCCAACAGTAAATATTTCAGTCTTTGCCAATCATATAGCTTTTGTGTCAAGTGTTCAATTCTACCCTTAGAGATGGAAAGTAGCCAGACATTATGTAAGCAAATATGATGTGGCTTGTTCCAAGAAAACATTATTTACAAAAACAGGCTGTGGGCCAGATTTGGAGTTGAGATCACAGTGTGCTGATCTCTAGAGCATCGGAACCATCTGGAACATTTATTGAAATGCAGAGTTCAAGGCTTCAGTAACCATCTACTACTTCAAAGTATCTGAAGCTCATGATCAAGCTCAAGATAGTGTCATCCTGTGATTCTGAACAGTCTAAAGTTGGAGGACCACAGATCAACGAACAGTTTGAGGTAAAGCCCCAGCCTTTAGAGATAAAGAATAAAAATATTCCAAGATGGTTGCATCTCAGTTTCTCAGTTGCAGATCACTTATTATGTGAGTACTTTCCACAGCCACAATTCTTCCTCTTGCAAGAGGAAGAAGCAGCTTAAATAATGTCAGAATCCTGAGAAGTGACGCAAACCAGAGGAGCTGATGGGAAGGAACACTGCGGTGTGAGAAGGACACAGGACTAGAGGAGAACCTTCCTTGTTGAGTAGTCTTAAGAATTCAAAACAGCTTAAACACGGGCTAGATCAAACAACATGCACCTTCCTTCTGGCAGCCAGGTCAGCCTGAGAGGAGAGGCAAATTCTTATGGTTCTAACTCCAACCGTAAAAGAAATCTGATGCTTGAGCCACCCTTCCTGATCTTTGATTTACACTCTATAATAAAAACATACTGTTTTAAAAGTTGAGTCATCTAGTACTCTTTCTGGCAACTAAAAATTTATTGCCTAGCACTTTTGAATATCTATAGCTTAGTGAGGATTTGGGAAGAAAGTTTGGAGCCACCGCAAAAAAGATTTAATTTGTTTGATTGTAGGCTGTCTCATTAATTGCATTTTCCTACGTATTCATTCTTTGGGAACTGGTAAGCCATGAATAGTATGTGTGGTGTCACACTCTTAACCAGCAGTTTTTATTATAGGGCCATCACTGTTTGCTGCGTAGGAGATAAAGGGGGTGACAACACTGTGACTAGCTTCCCCATACACACCTCGCTTGCAAGCTTGTTCACACTCTGAGCCCTTTTAAGAACCAAGTTGTGTTCTGCTGGGAGAGAATGATAATGTGCAGCGCCTTTCATCTTATGGAAGTCCTGCCTGTATTTTATCTGGAAAAAAAAAACACATACAAAGAGGGTTTGAAGTTGTTTCCATCTCTGATAGGAAGTCACTCTGAAATTATCCCAGATTTCATGTTACATTTACTCGAAAGAATTTTCTGAAGGAAAAAAACATTTGTTAACTTTTTCTCCATTAAATCTATAAACTGTTGGTCTTTTTTGTATTAGTTTTTACTGGCCCTTTTCACACTTCATCCTCTTAATTCTGCATGAAAAAAGTGAAATGATCATATCAAGGGATCAAATTCCAACCCCATTTTGGAATCATTTCTCCTCTAGCCTGCTCAGCAATGGCAAGGGGATGATGTCTTGTACTTGCCTTCTCAGGGCAAAAGCAGTGCTGTTCTGGGTAAATGGATACTAACAGAACAGTAGCAGAGTCAAGGAGAAAGGCAAAGCAGTGAAATGAATGCTAGGTTCTAACTAGAGACCAAGTTCAAGTTGGCATGTTAAGATCTGCAGTGAGGATTTCACTTTACCAAGTTTAATTATAGCCTATCTTTCACGGACTGCCAGCTGGCTAACATTCTACAAATAAAAATCATTTATCACTGGGTTGTACCCGGTTTGATAATCATATGACTTGTTTTAATCAGCTCTTCCCTTTAAATGCTCAATTTCTTAGTGGAGTTTTGGTGAAGACTTTCTTAATCTCAGCTTATCTGGCTGGACCAGCATTTGTACTTGCTTCAGATGACCTAAAGTAAGTTGTGCTGTTTGTCCATGTCAGTCTTCTTGGAAGCAGATAAATGTAACTAAACACTGAACAGGAAAAGAAGACATCAGGAATTTGGATGAGACCTGTGGGCTAGGCTAGAATTCTACTTTGGCTCAGCCCCAAAAAATTTATCTGTGTGTAGGTTCAGCAAGGGCAGCTTCAGTGTCTCTTTTCCTTTCCTCTGTATCTGCTGGTTATCTCTACATGGTACTTACATCACTAGCAAGTTCACTGGCCTTCTTGGCATTCTGATAAGCTGGGGTGATCATGGCGGGGAAGCTGCCCTTTCCCCTGGGCTCTTCATATGCTTCCACGTAACCCTGCCAAGCCAATTAAAAATTTTGATTAGCACTGCTCTCCTCCCCAGAATGGGTGGGGACCAGCAATGACTGCTTATAAAGCTTGTTCTCATAGCAACCCATCCACATGGGATGTTCTAGTGATTGCCACAAGAGATGTACTATGTGGTGGTTAAGATGTTAGCCAGGCCCACAGTCAGCACTAAGCAAATGGGAACTATGGTCATCATTATTATCACCATCATCAGTATTTCTACCAAACAAATCTGTACTAGTCCCCCAGTCCCATGCGATACGGGAATGTCCACATCTCAACTCATGCCGGGAAGTCTGCTCTCTTCCAGTAGTCCCAAATACTGCTTTACTTAGACAGATTTATGGACAAGGATGCTTTGACATCCCCAATAATGTCTCCGGAATAGGAGCATAATACAAAGTTTTATAATCTGGCAGTGAAGACCTTCCAATTGCCATCAGATTGTCTGAAATGGGAGTAAATATGTATCTAAAACTAAGAATTACAATCTCACTCTTAATTTTTTTCCTTTCTCTTCCCCACACTGCCCACCCACTCCCACAAGGGAAAACCTTTTATCTCATGAAACCATCATCACAACATCTGACTGGGAAGAGGTCCCCCTTCCCTGGCAGCCAGGTATTCTTCAAGACATGGTCAGCTGTGCCTTCTCTTGGAACTCCCCAAGACTTCCCTCATCCCAGTCCCATCTGCACTTTGCCCACCACCCTTGAACAGCCCTCACTGAGCACCTTGGGCTCATGTGGGCTAGTGACTCCATTTCTCTGAGGCCTCCTCTGAGGTAGGAGGCCTGCCTGCAACAGCACCAGGCCTAGACTCTGGCACACATGTTTTCTTAAATAAAATAGTTGGGTCAAATTCAAATGCTTAGACTTCCTTTTGCCCAATAGTAAAAATTGTTTAGCTTGATTTCTTGTCTGCCAGAATGTTCTGGGCCAAATGTAATAAGCAAAAAAAAGTACCCTTAGGAAAAACAAAAAGGCTCTCAGATTCTTCAATAATCTGTTCTATGGTTTTTCCTTTCTTGCTGTATAGTTTTTTTTGTTTGTAGCCTTATTTGTGTGTGTGTGTGTGTGTGTGTGTTTGTATCTAAATCCTACTCTTAGAGGGGAGTCATTGGTTACAAATAATAAATTGATTACATGATATGGTCTTTTCCATGGGTCTAGCTACTCATTAAAAAGAAGAATGAACTGCTTAGCAATTAAGGCACTACAGATATTTATAGTGTCTGCCCACCTGCCTGTTTCTCTCTTGCTCCCTGCTATTCATGCCTTGGCAAGTCCTGCTAAATATCACATAGTGAAATGCCACATTAGACTGTCCCCTCAACAGCTGCTTAACTGTGCTACCAAACTCCTGCTTTGATTCTTGTGTTTGTTATTATTAAGACTGAAAGTTTCCATTGATATGCCCAAGTAATCAACTACAATAGTATAAAGTTATAGTTTGTCTATATGTAGAGGACATGGCTAGACACTTGCAGTAAATTGTGTATGTTTATAACTACAGGTAGATATGACAATGCAAATACAGAACAAAATTTTTTTGCCAATTATAGAAGTCATATTTTTTTAACAAAACTGAATTTTTTAGAAGTCATACTGAGCTTTCTAAACAACATATAAAGGACATAAAACCAGTAAAAGTATATTTTCTTCTCTGAGTTTAAAGCACCAGATACTGCATAACTAACTTGTAGGATTTGAAAAAAGGGTCTGTTTAATTTAAACCAAGTGTTTTTGCTTGCCCAAATACTGTGCTAGTTCCAGAAAATACAGAAAGATATGCAAACAAAAACTTGCTTGTGTCTGTTGTCTCAACCTTTCCACTTCCTGAAAATATGTTGTTTGTCTGAGAAATGAGATTGAGAAAAAAGGTTTGCACTCCCTGGCATATTGCTTTATCTACCAACCTAGATAAGAAATTCACTTCTTAGAAAATGAGCCCAGTTACTTAATGAAACGCTCTTTTGTTTGTTTGTTGGTGGCACTGAGGTTTGGACTCAGGGCTTCACACTTGCTAGGCTGGTGCTTTACTGCTTGAGCCAAGCCTCCAGTCCTCTTTACTCTGGTTATTTTGGAGATAGGGTCTAGCCTTTTGTCCAGGTCAGCTTGGACCTCAATTCTCCTATTTTACACTTTTTGCCATAGCTGAGGTGACAGGTGTGTGCCACCATGCCCAGCATTCCCTCCCCTGTTGATATTGGGTTTCTCAAACTTTTTTTTTTTTTGCCTGGGCTGGCCTAGAGCAGTGATCCTTTCAGTCTCAGCCTCCCAAGATTACAGGCATGAACCACCAGTGCCTGACTCAGTATTTTTTAAGACACACATTTTGGTTCCCTTCATGTTTACACAGTGATGGGCTAAACACAGCCAATCTTAGTCTTTGGAACTGTTTTTCAATGAGTAGATGAGAATGTCTTATTCTTGGCCAAGTCAACACAATCTGTTTTCCTACAAGGGTCAAGTTGAGCCCTATATATTTTTCTGCTACTTTCTGACTTGGAAAATCCACCAATCTTAAATAGGTCAAAGATAAATCACAGCCCACCCCTAATCAAATGCCATAGGTTGTACCACAGCTAGTAGAGGTCAAATTGAGAACTGACTGTGGAAAAGGCCAGTCTCCCAAGGGAGACGCTGTCTCACGTACCTGACCATACAGGTCTACACATTCCTTTGTCAACGTGCCCTCTGCTCCAACAACTGGACCAGCCACTCCCCTCATTTCTCTTTGATATTGTTGATGGTACCTCACCTATTGGAGCAAAGGGCAAATTCAGTGAGTTTCACCTCCTGGGCACAGAAGCATCTTGTGAAATATTCTTGTTCTGTTTGAGTCTAGGAAATATGTCTTAGCGAAGTGCCAGGTCATTGTCATGCTAAAAATGATTTGAAACTATGAAGGAAAGCCATTCCTTGGTTCTAATTGGCATGCAAAAGTAGGCAGGAAGTTGGACCTCCAAGCCTCGTTTAACTTCCTGCTTCCTCCTTAGCATAACAACATAGCCATGGGCACTTACGTCACTTGCCAGCTCACTGGCTCTTCTGGCTATCTGATAAGCCGGTGTGATCATAGCAGGAAAGCTGCCTTTCCCTTTCTGCTGTTCATAGTCCTCTGTGTATCTCACCTGGAGAATTAGAAAAAACTAAAAGTGAATCAAGTGCTATAATCCTGTTGTCTACTAGATTATGTTCGTAAGGTGCTCTTTTAAGGGCTCCCATGTCATCATGCCCATCTCCTAACAAAGCTCTTAAGCACAAAACTGGCTTATAGCTCAATGGACTGTGTGCTCTTATCTATCTTTTTACTCCCAATACTGCCAGTGGAATTGGCACATCTTAGTGTCCACCTGGTGTGGGCCAGGTAGTGAGACTGGGCATTGGAGTAAGCCTCCGTCCTTACTCCAAGGTCAAGCTTGGAAGACAAAGGAGGCTTCTGAATTCTAGATATAGGCCAAGGGAAGTGGAAATCATTTATTAAGGTGAAGCTAGATTTGTGTTTCAAGCTCCCATTCATATCACACTAAGTTCTTGGGCTGAGTATGCTATCGAGCCTGTGGGCTATGAAAGGGGAGTGGCAGAAATTCTTCAGAAATTTTATTCTCTAATTTGCAATGGCAAAAGAGAGTGGGTACTTCCAGTTTGGTACTAATCTGATTTAATGGCTTCTATTTAAAGATTTTTTTTTTTTTTACAAAGTCTATACTTCTGGACTTATCAGACTCAGCCATCCCTGATTGACCCAGAAGGTTCTTCCTGGTACCCAGGCAAGACTGAGATGCCCCATATAGTAGTCCTCCCTTCTCCTCTAGGTAAGAAAAGAATAAAGGGCCTTAAATGAAGACCTCTGTGACTTGGGCTCCATCATTTCTTACATCACTTTGAAACTGTCCCCCTGCCTTGGCCCGAAGCAGCTCAGGGGTATCCACCACCGGGGTGAACCTGGAGATGCGCTCATCATGTCCTTTTTTGTATTCCACCTGATGACAAGATAGCACAAGTGAAGGTCACACTCACCTCATAGCCCTTGGGAAGACCTTCCCTTGCAGCTCTCCTAAAGCTATACCATCAGACTACACTCAGCACAAACCTGTGGCAACTCTTATGGTCACAAAACCATCTCTGCTTTTGAGCTAAATTCAAGAGAGTGTCAGACACTTCTAAGTGTTAACAATAGCAACTCACTCAACCTCTATAGCGATCATGTCCAGTGGAACTATTGTTTTCCCTACTTCACAAATGAGAAGCCAAGAAACAGAGAAGTTAAGTAATTTTGCCCATGGTCAGACAGCAAATATAAGAAAGAGTCAGGATTCAAATTTCAGCATTCTGGCTCTAAAATCTGAGGCCTTCACAAATAAACTATGCCACTCCTCAGGAGGAGTTTAAAAAAGAATCAGCAACCTCAAGAAATCATTTGGTCCAGCCTTTGGGCAAGCTACCTAGTCTTCACTCCTTTTTATAGATGTGGCCCAATCAAGGCACAGAGGATAAATGATAGAGAAAACAGAAAAACACAGTTTTTCCATCATACAACACAATCAGTACCTACTGTCCAAAGTACTCTCTTATGCTTTTTTTCTGAATCACAGAGCTGTATAATTGATGGTAAAAATATCAGCATAATCAATGATAAAAAAAAATTAGCACTGGGACACTCACTTGGCTGGCTAGTTGATTGGCTTTCTTGGCTCTTTGATAAGCAGGTGTGATCATGGCTGGGAAGCTCCCTTTGCCTCTCTGTTGCTCATAGTCCTCTGAATATTCCTGTTGGCCAGAACCAACAGCAGCATGAGAACCAGTATGATATTGGTTGAGAACTAATGGAATTGCAATAAAACTAATGAAACTGGATCCATTAGGTACTTGGGAAACATTTAAAACTCCCACGACAAGTGTGAAAATGGTATTTGAATAACATTACCAACACTTATTGCCCAGGTCAAAGGGTAGCTCCGTCAATGCTACATCAAATTATGGAGCTGTTGGCACAGCTCCCTAGGTGTCCTTTTACTCCAAGCTTTCTTGATAGCACAGCAATTAATGCAAGAATATTCTTCTGCTAAGGATGGTTCTACAGCATTGGAAGGGAAATGTCTTTTTCCCCCCCTCACTTTCTGAGCATCTCTGATAATTAGTTTTCCTTATGAGTCATAACAGCTTAGCATTTGGGCTTCTATTGCTTTCTTTCTATTTTCTAGTCACAAAGACACAGTATTTTCCAAAGTTGATTCTTCAAAGAGTAGGTAAGTGTATGCAGAAGGCCAAGAGTACACTATGCAAATGGTTAGGGACCTCTGCAGTCCAGGCTAGAATTGTCTTTCTACTCTAGCACATGCTAAGGTTCACAGTTCTGGAGGTCAGGAGATGAAAATGGGCAATCAGGGATAGTTCCTTCTGGAAGAACTGGATAAGAATCTAATAATTATTAAACTATTATTAAATAAGTTATTTAATTATTAAAAATAAATTTTAAATTATTAATCTAATTTTTATTTTATTTTAATTATTATTTTAAATAATAATTAAAATATTTAAAATTATTAAAATACAAAAATTATTAAATGACATAATCTCTTTGCCTTTTCCACATTCAGGAGGTCCCCATATTCCTTGGTTCCTGGCCGCACATGCTTTGACCTCTGCTTCTGTCATCATGGAACCTTTTCTCTGATCTATCCTTCCTATCTCTCTGTTATAGAGACCCTCATAATCACAAAGAATCCAGATCTTCCTATGTTCAGCTCTTTAACTTAATCACAAATGCACAGTATCTTTGATTTAAGAGGTAACACTCCCCAAAATATATGGGGATCTTTTCAGGGGCGGATAGTATACTGTCTACCACAATCTTAGAAAATAACCTAATTGCTAAAGTAATTTTTAGGGTCCTTACCTCACCAAGAGACTGTCGAGCCTCAACTATCCTGACGATTTCAGGGTCTGGCAGAGCTCCTGGATACCAAGTATGCCCTTCCCCATATCCAGGCCAGTAGGCTCTCTACAAAGGAAGCACACAGATGCATACAAATATGGGCACCAACATATTTGGATGCCAAGAACGTTCATCTACCCCCCACTCCTAGCAACACTCACATACATTGTTAAAATAAGATATTCTCTAAAAATGATAAGCTCCTATTGATATATGGTGAATCTCAGTTAACTAGACGGCTCTTTGTTTCAAACTAGAAAATGGTCTAATATCCTAGATAATTGAACTTCTGGAGATAAGCTGATGTTACAGAAAAATTCCAAAGATAACTTAATGTGCCTTTGCATATCAATTCCCTAAGATTAGGGAAGGGGGAAGTCCCTGTTGACAGGCAATCGGAGATTAATCAGCATTATTCAGACAAATTTCAAACACCCACCACCTATTATGTGCCTGACAACTGACAATGAAAAAGGAAAAGAAAAAAAAAAAAAAAGGAAGGAAGACAAGTTTCTCTTTTAAGATATTTATGATTTACCTTTGGAGTTAAAACTAGCACAGGAAACATATGGCAATTAGAAAACATTTGTATGTTTACATGGGCTTTAAAGATGATAAAGTCTCAAACAGCAGTCTGTATGAGATGGAACCTCATTTTGGCAAGAAGATGGAACTTGAGTAGGACCCTCAGGACCAAGGTCAGTTAAAGGGCAAAGGGAGAATAAATGGCATCATGCCCTCTAAGTCCATTCCATACAGGCAGGAACAGCACCTAGCATATAGCAGACTCCATAACTGTTTGTTGAGTAAGTTCAGGAGTATAAGGAAGCAGAGATGGGATTGGTTTGAAAGGCTATGAGGAGCTGGTTAGCTGGATTTGAGGGGAAGAGATGGGATCCAGGTAGGCTGCCTGTGGGGCAGTTTGGATAAAGCCAGGCTTTGGAGATCTGGAAAAACATATGAAAATGTCTCAACCACACTAGATAGTGGGGAAATCTAAATTAAAACAAAACACAGATTGCCAAAAATCTTTATCTGATAGTATCAAGCACTGGCAAGAGTATGGGGAAACAGGTATCCTCACAGTCTACCTGTGGGAGTATAAAATATGCAGTCATTTTAGAAAAATTTAACGGTCTCTATGAAAATTTAAAAGGCACATTCCCGTGGATCTAGCAACCTCATTTTTCATTGCCTAGTTTAGAGAAACACTCATTTGTGTCCACAAAAGGTCATAAACAAGAATGTTCATTGAAACTTTGCAATAAGAAATGTAAATAACCCTGCCCAGCCCAGCAATAGGACAGCATGTTATGTCCACTTCTAATGGTAAGTCAGGGACATTCAAGAAGCTGCATGTGACCAACATGGCACAAAAGGCTGAGGAGAGGCAAATCCAGAAGCAGCAAAGGCAGTATGGGAGGACCTCACAGAGATCCATGCAGGAATGACATGAAACAGAACAGGGAGAGAGACATGGAGAGGAAGGGACAGGTCTTAATGAAGAGTCAGAGGAAGAAAGGCACCAAGGAGCAGATACAGTTGAGATGCTGCAAAGACACAATGATGGAGCTTTTCACAGAACAGACAAAAGAAAAGATAACTGTTTTCCCTAGAGGTAATAATAATGCACTTCTTCTTCACCATGTGGCTTTTTCTCTTTTTTCGAACCCATGTATCACCCCTCTCTCACCTCGTTCACCAGTGGTTGCCTATTAGGTGCACCTGCTCCATCCTTGGATTTCATGTCCCAGTGAAAAACTGATTTAAACTGCTCACCATCTTCTTGGTCATTGATCTGCACAATGAAGATATTGTCAGTAGCATTTCCATAAGAGACGGGAAAGATAAATAAATAAATAAATAATGCGTAGCTAAGTTTGGGGGGATTTTTCCCAAGTCTTTACTGCAAAGTCACTTCACTGCTGTTCAAGGCACACTGCACTGTCAATCTCACTGTGGTTTGTTCTGCACCACCAACCAGGTGGTACACATTGAGTTACTGCTGTGTACAAAGCTCTATGGAGCAGTGCAATCAAAAAGACTAAGATAAGGAGCTGGAGGCATGGCTCAAGTTGTACAGCACCTGCCTAGCAAGTGTGAGGCCCTGAGTTCAAACCCCAGTGTTGCCAAAGAGAGAGAGAGAGAGAGAAAGATAGAGAGAGAGAATTAGATAAATTCTCTGTGAGTTTAATGTACAATACAGTCTTCAGGTTAGATTAACTTCAGAAAACATTGGACATCAGGGTTCTGTTCTTCTCTGTAGTCCATGTAACCATCATCAAGGGAGCTTGATAAGATTCTGGCTCTCCAATTTCATGGAGGTATAATTTTACCCCTAACATCTTGATCAATAATAACATTTAAGTTGATTTTTGTGTATAGGTATAAGGTAGGAGTCAAGTTCATTTTCCCCTACAAATAACTAATCATTCAAGCACCAAATTGAAAGAGAATCCTTGCTACAGTGAGTTGCAGTGATGCCTTTGTCATAATTCAAGTGACCACACATGAGCAGCTCAATTTCTGGACCTTGTCTTTTTAGTCCACTGGTCTAAATTGAATTGGTACTGTTTTTATACTAAACATTGAAATATGGTAGCTCAAATCCTTCCATTTTGTTTTCCAAGATGTCTTGGCTTAAAATTCTAGAGCCTTCAGATTTGCACATCAATTTTAGAATCAGTCTGCCAAGCTCTATAAAACACACTATGATTTTGGTTCAGATGGCATCTGATGACACAGTCACACAGATGTCAATTTGGGCAGAAGTGACATGTCAACATCTTCATGACTTTGGGCAGGCAAAGATTTCTTAAAAAGAACTTGAAAATGTCTAATCATAAAAGAAAAACTCAAAAGGTCTTAAGTCCAAACCAAGATATCATAATTTATTAGCTCTGACATGGGGCCCAGAACATGCAAGTTTTCAAAGTAAAGTTTAAGTCCTTGCTTTATAGATTATGAGGGAACAGCTCAGAACAATTTAAACCCAGGAATTCTACTTTCTTATCAAGGACACTTTATGCCAGCATCTTTCTGGGCCTGATACAGCTTCCTGCTGTTAATTCAATCCAATAGTGTATTTTTAAATACACTGACTGAGACCCCTTTGCAGGCTTTTTCTTCTTTGTATTTTGAGAAATTATTGTGAGCTTTACATAGATTTAAAGCAAGGCTTTTGCAATGAGTGGCCAGTTAAATATTTGTTGTTGGGGGACTCCTTGAGCAGTGCACATGCTTCATAGCACCCCTGGTTTTTACCCACCCAATCCAATAACTCCCCCCCTTCCCAGTTGTGACAAACACAAATGCACTCAATCATCACATGTCCCCTAGGGGCAAAACTGCCCTCCTAGAGACCAACATACTTAAGGAATGAGAAACATACAACCAGAATGGATGTTCTATCCCATTTCCAGAAAGCTTTACTCCCCACAGTGAAAACTGCCACCCCAGGGACCTTTCACCAGTCATGATCACACCGACAAAGTAGATGAGGGAAAAAGCTGTACACGCTCCTGGTGATGTTAAGCATTACGGGCTAAGTTCATTCTCTGAATCAATGAGAACCGAGGTGCTTCATTCTCCAAAAATTCCATTCACACCCACCAAACAGGACATTCTCTTATGAAATATTTATTTATTTTTCCAAGAGTGACATTTAGAGAAGAGAAAAATTTAAATCTGTGCAAATGCCAGCTCAAAATGCTCTTCTTACTGTCCTCCTTCATCACTCTTACTCAGCAGCCCTTCCTGCTTTTATAAATCTTAGCACATGCACAATGAATTGTTTCTTACTGAGCTGGCAAAGCCACTCAGGGAGGGAAGGGGGTTAAGAGCTGGGTCCTAGAAGGGACAAGTTGTCCATTTCAATTTTCCTGGAGGGAAAGGGGGAGAGCGGGAACACACAAATGCACATATGTACACATACACTACATATACACATACACGTGCACACTCATGTATACCATGTACAAGTGTACACACACCAATACACACAAACACACATATGCAGTATAAACATACATGCACACTCAAGCATACCATATACACATACCATATATTTGCACGTGTGTGCACGCACACACTCATGCTCAAACACACATACACACATCACATATATACACAGACCTTGTGCATGTATATACCTATGCACATACACAGAACATACATGTTTGTGATGCACACAGATATGTATGCATAAGTACGCTTGTGCATGCATCATATGCACACACGCATGTGTGCACAGCTTTTCACACCTATATGTGCCAATACACACTCGATATGTGCACATGTGTACATGTACACACAGTCACACAGTTATATATATCCAAACAAAAGGACACACGCAGGCCTCGTAGGAAGCTTGCATCACTGCCTGTGGCTGGAAGAAGAACCAGTGGTAATCCTAGCCTCGTGCCAGGTTGGGCCTGTCATACATAGTTAACAGAAAGTGAGTCAAATACTACCTCACAGAAAAGTAAATATTGCATGACCTGGTGCATAATTTTAAGGTGGACTTGCCAACTGAGGCAAGGGTAGGCTGGGGAAGTACAGATAGTCTGGATTTTTCCATACTATCTGTACTTATGCATCAGATGCATAAGTACATCTCCTTGTACACAGATGCAGGACCATCTGGATATGTGAACATGTTCTGGAGAGCTCACCACCTCTAGGTATGCCTGGGCCAACAACATGGATTTACAATTGGGCAGAACCAGATTTGTACCCAGTAAGCTCAGTGAATCTGGCCAGGCTGCTTACACTGTCTGAGCATGGGCTTCCTCAAGTGTAATATGATAATTGCAGAGGATTCTTGTGAAGAATAAATGAGATAGAGAACTCAGCAGAGCATCTGGTTACCTGATAACCAAGAGCTAAATTCAGTTTTTATTGTAATTTCATGTCACTGCCCTCATTCATCGAGAGACAAAACCAAAGTCCTACAGGAAAAGTCTTCTCTGGAAGTGAAGTGCTCAGGAATTCTGAAGGCTCACGAGTGTGTAGAAACCAATGGTGTATGAGCAGCTCTGAACCTCAGATTACTCATCCCAAAAATGAGATAAGAACAGTAACTACTTCATTGGGTTACAATGTGTATGAAGTAAATTAAGCAATTCTCTAGTCAATACTATATACTTGTTAAATAAAAGTAAGCTCACAATTCATGCAAAGCACTTAGGGAAATAAAGTATCAGGGCCATGGAGAGAGCCACACCACAAAGGCAATAGCTCTACTGAACACACATTTTATTGAGTAAGAGGACAGCCTGGCAGGCACATAGCCAGAATGAGGCAGGGTGACATCAGGAAGTGAGTCTCGGGTGAACAGAGATTACTAGAGAGCCCTCCACCTCCTGGGTAATTTCCTAATTTTAGAAAGTTGCTAAGTCCCGTCCCACAGAGCAACTTCTCATGGGGTCTGGGTGAGAGAAGCCCAATGATTCATCATTTCAACAAATTGCAAGAGTTCTATCAACAGCTGAGTATTTGACCAAACTTCACTGTTGACTTTTCAAAAGAAGTTGAGTTTATGAATGTGACCTCCTTGTCTACCTTCCCATTCCAAACCCCTGCTCTCAAGCCAAAGCAAAGTCTCTCTGACCTAGACCTACTCTGAAAAGGGAAAGAGAGGCTGCAGTTAATATTAAATAACCACTGAATTCAGGAACATTTAAGAATGTGGAACTTGAGATGCCTGATTTTCTGTTCCAAAATAATACAAAGGAAAGAAAAGAAGTGCCCTTTAATATTTTCCAAACACATAAACTTCTTAACTGTATTAAGTACCTAGTGTATGCAGGGCCTGTTGTATAAACTAACATCAGTGTACCTAGAGCTAGCCTGACACAAAGATTATATTAGAACCAAGGATCTCAAATCTTGACTAGATCATCCCACACATTGCCCCAAAATGTTGAGTGAGGACAAAAAGCAACATGTGTTACTCACATGTGCTTCCAGTGTGCATGTGGAGGCAATGAGCCAGTTCACTTATAGCCATAGACACTTAAAAACTAACAGGTGCCTGAGCTAAGGGCTTTTCTTTAAAGGCTATTTCGAAATGCAAAATTAAGCAACTTACCCCACCCATGGCTCCCAGACACTTCTTCACATTTAGATTTAAAGGAGTGTGATAGACACTAGTGAAGGTGTTGTTCTTAGGGTTATGGCTGCAAAAAAATAGATATAAATAAAAATTAGAAATGTACTCTATCGAAGATGACTAACTATTCTTAAAGACACAGTCAGTCACTTTTCAAAACAACAACTAGAGCTGGCAGAGTGGCTCAAGTGGTAGGGTACCTGCTTAGCAAGTGTGAGACCCTGAGTTCAAGCCCTAGTACCACCAAAAAAAAAAATGCACTCAAAACCAACAACTATAAAACTTAATAATTAAATTTATGATTTTCTAGGCAATGAGTCTTACAGGAAAAGAATCAAACCAAATAGTAAATTCAACACATACAACTTAAAGATAAAATGTATCTGCATGTGACCACACAAACAAGTTTCAGATAAATAAAAGTTGATTTGAAAATTAAAGACACTTTAAAGCTCTCTATGCCTATCTGTGCCAGTTACGTTGTTCTACAACGTTTAATAATTTGACATGAGGGTGGACAGATTTGAGCTTTCACTCATAAGAAATTTGAAATTTTTGGTCCACTTCATAAAATCACACTTTAGCTCTACACTGGTTAGATGGAAGTAACTCCTTTGGAGAGGCTATTTCTTAGATTTATATGAGCTGGATCTTCTGTTCAAATAAAATTGGGTTGATTCACTGTCCTGGAAAGGTAAATACCAGACTTGAATTTTAGCCTTATCTACTAAAAAATGTTTACAACAGTGAAACTAAAATTTAGAAAGGTATTCATTTGTGTTGAACCTTTAGTTGGTGACTTGTTGAAAGATGCACAAAATTCAAGAGGAGCTGGGGAGGGTAGCAAACACTTACGCGTGACAATACGGCTTTTTCTGGTGACTCACAAAGTTATTGACAGACAACATCATCTTGCAGACTTCACAGTGAAAACACGCTTTATGCCATATCTAGAAATCACACAGAAAAAAAAATGTGACAATTACTTATTTTTCCCTAGTGCCAGAAATCTTTTAGCGTAAAAAAGAAAATGAAATTTAAGGATGAAATGATAATTTAAAAAGTTAAAAGCCACACGCAGGACTGCAATGTTAAATAAATGGATAACTTTTTTGAGGCAACATGGAAGACACAGATATAGCCAGAATCTAATAAAGATAGGCAAGTGCCTCTTTTTCTTATGGATCAACCCCCCCCGACATCCATATGTAAAAAGATGAAGGACACATTGCTACTATTGCCAAAGGCCAAGTACCGTCTACTGACCTGATCTATACAGCTGATCTTCTCAGCAGGATAAACCCCATAGCCACACCTAGAACAAGCCTGCACATTCATCTTGGAGTCTGAAGACAGAAAGAGAGGCAACAGGCAAGGTCTCCAACTAGAACCTGCAGTCAAGTTGTTCCAGTCTCCAAAATCCCACACGCTGTGAAACTCCTATGGGCTCCTTGATCCTTCAGTATCTGACTTCTACTTTCCTCCTCTGACCTTCTGGTTTGAAGTCAGCAGCTGGTTGGTTTTTAAAGCTGCCACTTACTCAAGGGGCTATTTTGGCAATTTGCTTAGCACGCATGCGTCTGGGAAATAAGGTGGAGGTATTTCTAGCTGACATGCCTCTCTAAATAGAAAAGTGAACTCACCACAGCATCATGTTTATGTGGATAACCAAATCTTGGTGTGTGATCAGGCAGCGTGTAGCAGTTGAACACTAACTGTGATCATAACCCAAGAAAAGAACCTAAAGAATAACCTCACCCCGTCTGCTGATCAAATTAGAAAAGCTGACTCCAGGCATCCGGTGACTAAAGCAGACAGGCCAGCTCCCCAAAATACAGGAAATAAAGTTGGATTGACTCCCTTGGAAAGGTAAATACTAGATTTGAATTTTAGCTTTATCTACTGAAAATGTTTACAACAGTGATACCAAAATTTAGTGAGTTTCTACTGGAATGTAAAAATAAGAACAAATGAGAACTCTTGGTGTTTTGTTCTGGAATGTTCCAAAAAGGCCTTTTTTGCGTATTTCCGGCCCTGCAGGCCCTAACAGGGATGGCTTGAAGACAAAATCTCTCTTCCTGGCTTTGTGACGTTCCCATTGCCTTCAGTGTCTGTTTAAACACCGACTTACAGAGATACCTTCCACAAAATGACACCTTATTTGTCCCCACCCTGAATTCATTACCTTCTGTTCCCTCTGCCTATTTGATAGTCTTCATCGCAGTTATCACCACCTGAAATATTAAATATGAATGTATCTATTTTGATAAATTGTGCCACCTCCATCGGAGTGTAAGTTCCATCAAAACAGGATACTTGGATCCATGTTGTCGTTTTTATATTTCAGTGCCCACCTAGAACAAGGCCTGGTGCTTAAAAGGTGCTCAGTGTTTAGTGAATTAGTGAGATAAACTTAATACACCCACATGCCTACAGAGGCCAGGTGTAAAGTCATAGATAATAGCTAAATAAACAGATGAACACAGGCCCCAACAATGCTCCTCAGTCTGGCCAACTGTTGTCAGAAAGGATTAGTACTCAGCTCTGCTAAATATTCTGATTTTTTCAGAGAAGGCCGAAATCTGCATTTCCCTATCCTAGCCCACTACACACATCACACCCCCGCTTGGCAATAAAGCAATTAAACAGGACCATGACTGTGGGCGTACTGTTCCGGAAGATTATCAGTTTGTCACCTTTGATCTCCGTGCTCTGAGGTAAGACTGGGTGTCCCCAGGTAAGGTGGATAGAATCCAGTAGTGCAGACTGCAGAAATCCTACTAGGTACACAACTTCTCAAGCCTCACCTGAGAGTGGGGTGGAAACCCCAATAATCACTGGGGATGAACTTTCCCCCATTTCTAGAGGGCTGGTAATCAGTGTTGATTTCATTAAAGGAAAAAACTACAGAACATTTCTTCTCTGACAAAGACTGATTGCAACCTACAGCCGTGACATTTGTGAAAACAAAGATTACTAAAATGAAAAATGTTTAATTTGACTTGTACCAAAACTTCTGTTTCATGAGATCAGACACTGACAGGAGAAACAACCCTGTCTAACCAGAAAACAGGACAGGGACAGTTTTAAGATACTAAAAGTAAGCATGCGTGGCTGGGACAAGACACACAGCTCTCACCTGTCTGACACATGCTAAAGTTTGAATGTGTCCCCAAGGTTCACCCCCAATGCAACAGTGTTGGTAAGCGAGGCCTAAAGAGTTACTTAGTGGATTAAGGTCATCACTGAGAGAGTAGATTGTTATAAATTGCATTTGGTCCCCTCTTGCTCTCTCTTGCCATGGGATGACATAGCAAGAAGGCCCTCATCAGATGTTGGTGTCACACTCTTGGACTTTCCAGCCTCCAGAACTGTGTCCCAAATATATTTCTGTTAATTATAAATTATTCAGTCTTAAGTATTCTGTGATAGCCACAGAAAATGGACTAAGACAAAAGACACTGTGATTGGCAGGACAGAAAACATAGAACAAGTTCATGGCTCAGGATGGAGGGTGTAGCTTAGTGATGTATTACTTCATGTCCAAGCTCTGGGTTCAATCCTTAGCACAGCAAAATAAATAAATAAATAAAAGTTAAAAAAATTACATGATTCAACACCAAGGCTGGAGAGACACAGGTGATATATTCAGAAAACATTTGCATTCAAAATTTCAGTACAATTGTTACAGAGGGGGAAGTTCAACATGGTTTCTTCTCATCCATCTTTCCAAGATGGTACCTGAAAATACGGTGATAATCCCACCTTGGAGCAGTAACTCCGGAGTTTTTTCACACCAGCCTACAATAAAGAAGTGAAAAGGGATTTCCCTTCCAGCCACCTCTCGATGGATTCTTTATGTGAACGCATCACAACACTGACATGCCATGATGCGTGGTGGGGCCTTCTTGTGGATGGACAGTTCATTGCTTTTCTAGACAATCTGATCCCAGTTCTGCCACTAGCAAGTGTGAGTGTGGGCACCTTCCCTCAGCCTTGGATTCTTTATCAAGTGAGTAGATATCAATCATTAATATCTCCTAATCACTCCTAAATTGCTTCACTGTATTTCAGGAAAACCCTGCAAAATCTTGGATTTACAAGTTAGATAAAGCAGAAAGTAGCCAGGTGCTGGTGGGTCACACTTATAATCTTATCTGCTCATAGGAAGCAGAGATCAGGAAGATCACCATTGGAAGCCAGTCATGGCAAACGGTTCACTAGACCCTATCTTGAAAAAACCCATCACAAAAAAAGGGCTGGTGGAGTGGCTCAAGGTATAGGTCCTGAGTTCAAACCCCAGTACAAAAAAAAAGAAAGAGATAGTAACTTATTTGCTTCTCTGATTAGGATGCTTCATTTCTCAAATGACTCCCAGTGAATTCCTTTAAAAAGCAAATCATCTTAGCATGTACAACGGCTTCACTTACCCCTCCTCCCCAACATTTCAGGGACACAGGTATTAAATAAAAACTAGGGGAGTCACCTTATGAATGATGTTACTGCCTATTAAAAGTATTCAGGATTTTCACAGGGGTCAACCAATTACTATTATTCCCTTACATTTGCCTAGGGCCAGTCTTTCTTGATACCAAAAAAGTGTCTTTACCTGGTGAGATTTTAGAGACAATTCTAGTTTCGGGCTCAAAGGAAAACAAGTAAACTAACAAAATAAGCAGTCATGATTGCCTGACGTCCCACCATGTAGCTCGTACTCCTTTTGTTCAAGGATTTGGTAGTTCTTAAAAGCAAAGATCTCTGGTATGAATGAAAGTACAATTTCTAGATACGCAGCCTCTCCCTGGCGAATCTTGGGTGGGGGGAAGACATAGGAGGCCTCCACTGGAAGCCGTGTGTGCGTGTGTGTGTGCGTGTGTGTGTGTGTGTGTGTGTGCGTGTGCGTGTGTGTGTGTGTGTGTGTGTGTGTGTGTGCGCGCGCGTGTGTGTGTTGGAGGGATCCAGGTGAACTCATCCTTGGAAGTGCTGACTCTCCCATGTTAGACCAAGTCAAGGCCACATACCCTGTACCTGACACTTGGGGGCGCTCAGTAAGTATTTCTCCAATGATTCTGGGGCAACATCCAAGCGAGAGGCTTGGGCTGCGACGTGAGAACTTCTCTTAAGAGGGAACCGAGTTAGCGTCCTGGGCCCCCGCATCAAGGAGGGCGCCCTCGCGAGTGGAAGCCACGTCTGGGAGGCCGCAAGACCACAGTGATCCCACAGCTGGCTGAGAGGCTAGGCTTTGGAGGAAGGTAAGGCACGCGGAGGAGGCGCGGAGCTTCCGGGGGATGCGAACCGTACAGACCGGGATCCAGGGAAGGCCCAGGTCGAGATACTGACTGGGGCCTGGGGAAGCTGGGGAAGCCAAGCGCCCCGTCCCTGAACGCCGTGGGTCAATTTAAGCACGGTCTGTTTTGCAGAACGCGCTGTCCCGGGAACCGCTTACGGCGATGGGATCCCTTAGGTGTTTGCAGACTTTGTCCTGCGCGCTCTGCGCATCGCGACAATTTTTCAAACGGCGCTGCAGCGAAACGGGTGCGGGGCGGGTGCGGGGCCAGACTCTCAGGGCGCGCTCTCCCGGCGTGACGCCGGCTTTGCAGAGGGCGACTTCCTGCGCCACTTTGCCGGCGGCCACCTTTTTAGAGAGCGCTGTCCCCGGGGCGGTACCATGTGGCTTCTCGGGCCGTTTTGCATGCAGTGAACTTCACGGCACGCGGCCACAATGCAGAGGGCGACCTCCCGGCTCCGTGCGCGTGGCGTCGGGGCCACTCAGCGGGTGGCCGCCTTTTCCGAGCGCGCGCTCCCCAGGCTGTTCGCGCGGGGCCGAGAGTCCCCGCTCGCCACCTGCTGTGCTTCCCAGGGCGCACCGTCCCGGGGACGGCGCCCGCAGCCTCGCCCGGCCCGCGTCCTGCCCCCGACGGCTCCTCCCCCGACGGCGCTAGGACTTTTGCTTTCGCTTTTGCTAAGGCGACCGCGGACCCTTGCGGCAGAGGACGGAGGCCGCAGCCGCATCCGGAACGGTAACTCGGCCTCGCGCGCGCCCGCCCTTCCGCGCGCGCTTTCTCCTCGCTCCCCTCCCGCCCTCCATCCCTTCCAGCCCCCTGTCGCTTCCCCTTCCAGCCCCCTGTCGCTTCCCCTCCCGCACCCCGCACCTCTGGAGCCGGTTTGCTAGGGGTGGTGGTGTGGGGGGGGGCACAGGGTGGCCCCGACGGCTGACGCTGAGACTTGGGGAGCGGGCTCTGCCCCGCCCCTAACCCCTGGCTTGGCTCAGCTTGTCCTTCCCGCCGCCCAGGCCTGGGATCTTGGGACATCCCGCACCATTTGGGATGTGGCAGGGGACGAGAAATGGATTGAGAAGGGGAAGAGGGCTCTTTATCTGGCTGGGTGTGAAAGATGAGGGCTCCCTTGCTAAACAGGCCTGGGGTCCAGTTCCTGCACTTGCCAGCTGTGGGACCTTGGCCTTCTCCCTGCCTTGTCTCTTAGATGGGAAATGACGATCCCGGGCTGACTCGCTGTGCACTTGAAGCCAGGGAGTTAGGAGGCACAGCTGCTCTGTGAAGGTGATGTACGGATGAACATCACCTGCTGCAGGGCTGTTGGAGGTACCGTGGGAGGTAAACAGGCAGGTGACACTAGATGCTGTGAATTCCCTGCCCTGGGGACTGTGCAGCCTTTTACCCTTGTATTGACCTTTGTGGCTCATGGGAAAGCAAAGTTACTTGTAGGAGATTCTAGGTGAATTCCCAGCCTTTTCCCTTCCGCTCCTGGATTGGTTCCTGTCAACCTGACCTTTGCTGACTTATAGACTGTTTCCTCCTGAGTCCTCTCTGAACTCCTGGCCTCTCTGAACTTTCTCCTACATACTGCTGACGCCTGGGTTTACAGTCCACCTTGTGCCACTTGTAAACTGTGGGGCAGATAATTACTTAACTTTTCTGAAGACACTGACATTTCTTCTGCAAGACAGGAGTAAAGTCTCCTAAGTAGTGTCCTGAACCTCGGGTGACAGCCTCTTTTCCCCCACCAGAGGCTGGCGGGGAGGGTAGAGGACATCAGGACCTTTTCTTTAACCCTTCAGGAAGAATGTCTTTATTTGAGCAAGAAGTGGGGTGTGGATTATATGATGTCATGTTGCGGGAGGGGAAGCAGGTGCAGTCAGTCCATTTCCCCCTCCTGAAAAAAACAAGTGCAGACAATAGCTGGGAAATGATTTCCTCCAGCTTTCTACAGTTTGCCCCAACATGTGGACCTATTAAGTGTGTTTAGAAGTAATCGTTTCAGGAATTTAAAATATAGATGTGGTTTTAAAATACTGGTGGATGACAGTTGAATGTATTCTTGGTCTTGGAGGCAATGTTAATGGAGTGTATTTATTGAATCTTTAGACCGGCCACACTGTGCCTAGCATTGTATATGCCTGGTTCCATCAAGACCTGTGACAGGCATCGACGTCTTCCCACTTTACAGACAAGAACAGTGAAGCTCAGAGAGTTTGAGTAGTTTTTCCAAGGTTCCATGGCTATTCATGGAAGAGTTGGCTGAACTCCAGCTCTGCTGGTGGCCACACCTGGGCTCTTAACCACCCTCCTACGTCCCTTTGCTCAGTAGTTTTTTTCAGTTTCAGTTATAAATAAATATTTATTGGTTGCCTGTCATGTACCTGACACTTTTCTGTGATTAGGAAAAAAAAAAAAGATTAAGGTAAGCTCTCAGCCTCCAACTCTCAGTTGTAGTCCTGGTAGATAGTAGTAAGAATAATAGCAATAACTAAGATTTACTATATGCCTGGTTGTGTTAGTATTTTGAATGAGTACTAGTCAGTTTTTTGTTACTATAATGAAACACCCAAGATAGGTAACTTTACAAAGAAAAGAGGCTTATTTTATTTAGCTCATGGTTCTAGAGGTGCAAGGGCATGTTGCCAGCACTGGCTTAGTTCTGGTGAAGGACTCCTGGTAGATGGTATCACAGTGGTAGGAGGGAATGTGAGTGGGAGAAATCACATCCTAAAACAGGAAGCTCGTCAGGCACTGGTGGCTCATGCCTGTAATCCTAGCTACTTAGGAGGCAGAGATCAGGAGGATCGTGGTTCAAAGCCAGCCTGGGCAAATAGTTCCATGAGACCCTATCTCGAAAATACCTAATACAGAAAGGGCAAATAAACAAAATAAATAAATAAATCAGAAAGCCAGAGCAGTGAGGGAGTGGCCATGTTTGTTCTTTTCTAACAGCCTTGTTAAGAGAGTTGATTGACAATGTGAGTCAATGCCCTGTATAGCTATCCTTATCTCAACCAGCAAAACCCCTTGTTCCTTCCTATTATTGCTTATACTCTCTCTACAACAAAATTAGAGATAAGGGCAAAATAGTTTCTGCTGGGTATTGAGGGGGGGAGCGGGAGGGGGTGGAGTGGGTGGTAAGGGAGGGGGTGGGGGCAGGGGGGAGAAATGAACCAAGCCTTGTATGCACATATGAATAATAAAAGTAAAATGAAGAAGAAAAAAAAAAAGAGAGTTGATTGAGGGTTTCACAAAATACCTTAATCTCTTCTAAAGGCAGAGACATCCAGCAAGACCTAACAACCTCCCAATGGGTCCCCTTCCCTTAAAAGTCCTGCCACTTCTTAACATTGCCATGCTGGGGACCAGCCTTCCACCATGTGAACCCTTGGTGACAAACCATAGCACTGAGTATCAAATGTTAAATCATTTAATGAAACCTTAGACATCTTTCACTGGGTAAGGAAAATCCCTCGAATGACTGCTGTCTGCGGCTTGGACTTTAAAAATGAACAGTTACAAAATCATAATGGCAGTCCTGTCCTCTCTAGACAACACAGCAGAACTGAGAGGCCCTGGCTTCTTGGTGGAGCCATGAGGATGAAAGTAGTCAAAATCAAGTGTTGACTCGGCTAAAATGACCACAACCCCAAGGTCAGGCACCCCTACTCAGTTACCATGCTAGGGCCTTTGGATGTTTCTAAAAGTCAAGTACAGCCCAGGAGGAATAAGGAGCAACTGAGTCACCACTCAGATTTAATAGTTAAGTCTACTACCACTGACTTTCCCTTCCTTCCCCTTCCTTCCCCTTCCTTCTCCTTCCCTCCCCTCCCCTCCCCCTCCTTCTCCTCCCCTCCCCTCCCCCCTCCCCTCCTCTTCCTCCCCTTCTCTCCCCTCCCCTCCCCCTTCCTCTTCACTCTCCTCCCCCTGTGCCTTCCCCTCACCCCTCCTTTCCCCTTCACCCTCCCCTCCCCTTTCTTTCTCTCACTTTTTTTCTCACTTTTCTTTTCATAGTGGTCAACTTGTTTTATATATCCTAGATTGAGCCTTTAAGATTAAGTTTAGCAAAACAGTCAAGGCATAACACACATATTCAAGTTAGTGGTTTTTTTCTGGTCTATTTTGTAAAACTTTGACTTGTTAAACTTGAAAATACTCTAGTAAGTGCTTTGCCGATGACAATCCACTTTGAAGGGTAAGGAAGGCTCTGTGGAGGAGATTGAATGAGACTGTTGAGTGCTTCTTGCATGCCTGGCCTTCTGTTTAATCTCCTTTTGGAGACAGGGTTACCTCTGGTTTTGAAAACCACTTTGGATCCTAATCTGAGTAACATCTCCCTCCCACAAAAACACAGCAGCAGTGAAAGCTGGGATGCTCATGATGTGCTGAGAAACAAAGGCGACCAGATGACTTCTCATGACCACTGCACATGGGGTCTCAGGCCCCCTTCCTCTTGCTTCCCCCACCCCACTGCCTGGCTCTCCCTCCAGTCAGCTGGAAGGTGGCCTCAAAATGATGCTCACTTGGAGCTCAAAGCCACCCAGCCGTCACCTTGCCTCCATGGGCGCGCTATATTCCTGCTCCCCACTTCCTAGAGTCCTGATTTGTGCTGGGGAGCACAAGGTGTCCATAAAATAGATGCCTTCTTGTTTTCCAACTGGGTGAAAATATTCCAGGTGAGAGCCCTCATAGGTATCCAGAACTGTACCTGACAGCTGTGGCCTGCCCAGAGAAGTTGTTGAGAGTTGAGACCAAGTAGAGCTAGGAGTCTGGAGAGGTTTCACTTTGTTGCTGCAAGGGGATCCCTGAAGAAAGAAACAGGGCTTGATTTGTGAGAAATGATTTTAATATTGGTGCTCCTTGGACCAGCTGGATCACGTTTAGCTAATTTTTTTCCAGCCTTCCACTCAGCTAATATTTAATAGGCACCTTCTAGGTGCCCACTGCCTCTAATAGAAGAGTCATAGAGTATAAATAAACAGGACAAATTAAGGGCTGAGTAGGGAATGAACCCCAGGGGTGGGTGGTGGTGGTGTGTGTCGTAAACAGCCAGGTAGTAAATGTTTTTGACACAATTCTGCTTACAGAGAGAAAACAGGCCTAGACAATACACAGTGATGGCTGTGTTCCAATAGAACTCTATTCATAGAAATGGGGGATGGCGCAGTTTGCTGAGTCCTATTCTAGTTTGTGAAGGGCCTGAACTCCAAGGAGAGGGGTTAAGAGCTGAGCTTTTAGATAACGAGGACCTCTCAAAGATTCTTTTTTTTTTTTTTTTCTCTCGAAGATTCTTTTTTTTTTTTTCTCTCGAAGATTCTTGAGCAGCAAAACAATTCAATGGAAATCCAGTTTGTGCAGAACCGTGTAAAGTCATCTGAAACAGAAAGAGTTGAACACCCCAGCTTGCTCCTGGTTTTTTTTTTTTTAAGATTTTAAATTGTTTAATTCAACAACTGTGCACTAATTAAATGATATCTATTTCTATCCATATTTGGCAATGAGTCAGGAAATAGTTTCTGTCATAAAATACTAACATCAGTATTCTGAGACAGGATCTCAGTATAATCTGTAAGAAAGAAACTCTATTCTTGAGAATTGTATTTATTTTTAGCTCATATGCTTATTTAAATCACAGAATAGAGTACTATTTGGTATTCTTTTCTTCATAATTAGATTTCTTCATATAATAAACATTTGACTTAAACATCTCCACCATTCTCCTCCAAAACAATTTTGTTTATATATGTATATATTTGAGTATTTCTTCTTTTTGTATTGTATTATTGTTATGTTGAGAGAACATCATAACATTTACAAAAGTTCTTAGAATATGTCATAGTTGGATTCAACTCCTCTGTCATTCTCCTTTATCCCACATTCTGCCACTCCTGGAATAGTTTCAACAGGTCTCATTTTTCCTTTTACATACATGTTGCTTCTGTTTTTTCTGCAAAGGTTTATTTTTTCAGCATTGGGATTTGAACTCAGGGCCTCATGCTTGCTAGGCAGGCGCTGTACCACTTGAGCATCTTCGCCAGCCCATTGTTCCTGTTTTGGAACTGAGTTTGAGGGATACCACCTTACTACCCGCCTGGAATATAGGGGGATTTCCTGCTATTGCAAGCCTTGACAGACATCTACTGGCTTATTGTGCTCACTGAGCATTTAACAAATTCTTGGGTGCTGAAATTAGAAGCTCCCTGAGGGCTTTTCTACCCCTTCATATCCCATCCCTGGAATGACGCCGGGTGTAGGTGGCTCTCACCTATTAAATGTTTCAATGATGCCATAACTCCAGAGCTTCAATTTGTGAGACCACTCACCCCTGGCCTGTGTCTCCTAGCCAGTAGCAGTTTAATACATCACAAGGGCAGAGATGCCACTGAATACCAATTTTTTGGTTTGTTGTTCTCTCCTCCCAGATGGCAGATGATCAGGACCATGCTGGAGAGCAGGGAGCTGGGGTCTCTGCAAATGCGGACATAGTTGATGCTAAGCCAGACCGCTCGTCATTTGTCCCAGCATTATTCGGGTAAGCTCAGGATGCCTCAGCTGCTTCAGCCCGCCACACCTCTGTCATCTCCGTCCTTATGCAGAGAGGGGGACATTCAGGGAAGGTGGCTGATGCTGTGCATGGGAGTTCCACACAAGATCTTGCCAGCTGTATGAGACAGCACTGGGATCCCTAGGGTGCACCCTCGTGTCTCTAGGCCAAGCCAAAAAGAAGGAGGACCACTCTGTGGTCGCCTCCTGCTCACCAGTTGTGTGTCTGAGGGCAGTGCGCAGGAATGAGGACTGTTCTCATCAGAGATGATTCACAGGAATCTTCGTAGCAGAGCTGTGACTGCTGTAGACAGTTGGGACCAAGCTTGACTAAAAGGCAAATCTAGGAACCCAGAGGCAGGAGGTGATAGGGTGACCTGCTCCCACCCTGTGCCTCAGAGCCATCCACTAGTGCGGGGCAGTGCCTCCTGCCTGCTAACTCCCACTTTTCCTTTCTCAAGCCCACTTTGAAATTCTAAATTTTACACTTAACAATAATAATAATAATAGCTTTATTTATGCAGCTTGGTGTTCCTGCATTTAGCCTACATAATCCCTAGGAGATGGTTCTGTTGTTATCACCATTTGACAGATGGAGAAACTGAGGCACTTGCTTTTTTAATAATTTGCTTTTCTGATGACAGTCAATAAATAGTAGATCTGAGATGAGACTCCAAACAATACCAGCAGCGCTCACTTAAAAGGTTCTGCTGTGTGCTTTCTAGTTAGAGGGAGGCTTTGGGAATGTGGAGGAACCTTGTAACTCTCCTTAACCCTGGTCATGGATGGCAGTGAGTACAGCTTCCTGTCAGAAAGCAACAGCCATCCACAGGTCAGGTCATCAGACTTCTTTATTGGCCCACCCACTACCTTTGTCCTCAGTTTTGCTTTCTGAGGTTTCACTTACCCACAATCAGCCATGGTCCAAAAATATTAAATGGAAAATTCCAGAAATAAACAATTACTAGGTTTTGAATTGCACACCATTCTGAGGAGTGTGTTGAAATCTTGTGTATCCAGGGTGTGACTCATCCCTTTGTTGAGCATATCCATGCCGTCTGCCCGTTATCACATTGTCTGTCCAGCTGTGGCAGGGCTTGTGTTCAAGTCACCCTTATTTTACTGAATAATGGTTCCCAAGGGCAAGAAAGTGAGGCTGGCAATTTGGATCTGCCACAGGAAGCTGTAAAGTGCTTTCTGTACGTGAAAAGGTGAATGTTCTCGACTTACTGAGGAAAGCAAAAGTCCTGGGCTGAAGTTGCTAAGATCTGCTGTAGGAAGGAAGCTTCCATCCATGAAATTGTGAAGGAGGAGAAATGATTCTTGCTGGGCTTGCCATTGTACTTCATCCTGCAAAAGCTTGGCCACAGTAGGTGCTAAGTGCTTCATTATACTGAAAAAGGTGTGCGATCACAGGGCTTGTTACTACCTGTGGTTTCAGGCATCCACACAGGAACACATACCCCTCAGGTAAGAGGGGACCATGTCCTAAACCAAGCCCTACCTGGGAGAGACAGACAGTAAGGGGCATAAAGGTTGAGAGTAGGAAGTGCTCAGGAGAGGAAGAGCTGATGGTGCAAGGCAGCCTAGCTCCTTGGGAGGAAAGGGGGTCTTACCGCCCTAGACAGGATTCAGAATAGTAGGAATGACCCAACTGCCATGAACTCGAATCCCAAAGGTTGTCATTTGGGGTTAAGAATATCCAATGAAATACAGCTCCAACTCCTGGGAACTTTCAAAACCCAGGAGGGAAATTGTCCAGCCTAACCCACTGTCCAGAGCAAGCCCTTTAGAGCCATGGCCTCCAAATATTTAATAATATACGACTCCATACTCCTTTAGGTAGTTTAAGGTGATATAGAAATGTTTTGTTAAGATAGTTGCAAAGAATGTAGTCATATTTCACTTTTCCCGTCCTTTTTGAGTATTTAGGTTAAGCAAATGCCTCTAAGTGGAAGAAAAACAGGAATTGTTAAACGATCACTTCAAAAGTCTGAGCAAAATCTTTGGTGTACTTCTCAGAAATTATGAAAAAGAATGGTGTGTTGTAAACATTGACATTTAAAAACCGTTTCTTTAAATGTATCCAGTGGAATCTAAATCTGTAGTGATTCTATAGCCACCTTTCCATTAAAAAAACATGCATGAAGCCTAGTGTTGTGACTCAGGCCTGTAATTTTAGCTACATGGGAGGCTGAGTTCTAGAGGATCATAGTTTGATCCTCTAGAAGTTCACCAGATCCCCATCTCAACCAACGGTTGGGTGGTGCAGTGGTGCTCATCTGTCATCCCAGCTACTCAGGAAAGCACAAATAGGAAGATCAGTGATCCAGGCCAGCCGCCCCCTCCCCCCAGCATAAAGTGAGACCCTGTCTCAAAAATAACCAACATATAAAGTGCTGGCAGAGTGGCTCAAGTGACAGAGCATCTGCCTAGCAAGCATGAGGCCCTGAGTTTAAGCCCCAGTACTGCCAAAAACAACCAACCAAACAAAAAATTTTTAAAAACATGAATAGCTGTCCTTAAACAACTAGAATTTCTGTTGTTTGCCCTCCTAAATTTGTTTTTCCCCCATTCTCTCTTCCCCTACATTTTTATTCTGATGTAATAGATTGGGTTGCTGGAAAGTCTCTCACTGGGCTCCTCCTCATACAGCTGTGTATTTGTGTTCTTGTATGTGTGTTCGTACACATTTGAAGTAATTTTTCCAGGTATCATGAGTGATATAAGAAATTTTTCCAGACTAAGTTTCTATTTCAGCTCTTATTAATTCACGGTTGATCTAAATAAATAATAATAAATCTTTAGTATTATTAAATTGTCACTCAGCTTAATAATTAAGATAAAATTGCAACTTATAATGGAATGTCTGGGCTTTATAAAGTTGTGGAGTGATTTCTAATCACTGAAATAAGAAAGAGTTAAAAAATATTGCCTCTTTTTCTTACTTTTCATTTTGAGATATAGAATCACTGAAAAACCATGAATAAATTCATGGGATGGTAGGAGTTTTGTTACAGTAATGCCATTTAATTCTTTGAAATCCTTCTGAGTTCTGTGCCAAAAATGACAACTCAGTGAGGTTCTTCTTTAGTTAAGTCGAAAGTAAAAAGTTGGAAATTACCTGTCTTATGAAAGAAATTGTTGTTTAACCTTTAGAGGATTTTTTTTTTCAGTTTCTGGGAAGTACCCCAAAAGATAATAGCAAAACTTACCAAAAAATTATTAAACCTGATCCCCTTTTAGTTAGAGGTATACTTGTTTAACTCAAAATATTCCAAAAAAAGATAATTAAAGAAGCATGAGTAAGCTTGTGTCATTACCATATATACATATCAAGCCCTTAGAGCTGCTAATATAGCTCATTCAGTTATGGAGCCTACTACATAATTAGTTGGCAAAGCCAGCTGGACAAACTGGTTATCCTCACAAGATTTGCTTTCTTTCAGTAAAGGTTTGATATCATTTTTCAGTTCAGTAAATGTCTGATAATCGTCATGCTTCTGAGTTCCAAATTCTAATTCTTGAATGGATGGATGGGGAGGGAGGAGAGAAGAAAGGAAAGGATGGATACCAGGCCCAGCCCTGTGTTTACCTCCTGGAATCAGTGTTCACTTTGTTCTCACAGGACTCTAGCTCCACAGTGATGAAATCTTCCAGAATAGTTGGGATGAAGGAAGTAATGTCATTAAATGAGAGCTATCAACTCATTCCATTCTATAAGTTTTCTGTCTATCTGTCTGTCTACCTACCTATCTCTTCAATTATTTTTCAGTATATAATTGGACTTGGGACAGCCCAAAGTAGAGCTCCAAAAACCCTCATTGCTAATGCCAGACTCCACCCTTCTCAGACCTTGTTTAACGAGGCTCTACTTCAGTACCTGACCCCAGGAGACTCGCAGAATTTTACTTCTCCCCTTGTTAGATGACTGGAGGTTCCAACAGCACACAGGTGAAGTTCAGGTGGGTGAGATAGTCTGCCCTCTTCTTATGCAATAGAGATGGGAGAAGGAGAAGGGAGTCAGTTTTCAGAAAGACCAGTTTTAGGAAAAAAAGCACACAAATGGGAGCTGAGGATCTGGGTCATTTATTCCCTTGATCTGTGAGTTCTGCAGCCCCGGGGAATCTTAAGAGTTGCCCAGCTTGAAGACCTGAGTGTAAGCCCTATTATTTTGGTCTGTGGTCTGCCCTCCCCCAGTCTTCTAGAAAGCTAAGTAAGCTCAGAAAACCTCCTTCATTCTGGCACACTCAGACTTTTTTTATAGCATGACTGATGTTGACATCAAGTTCCATGTTTTCAAAATAAACACTCGGTATCCTTGCAAAATATTTAAACTAAGTGTCATTTTATGAAATGCTTGTTTAGCTGCATGAGGTGTAAGGCATGATTGCTGAATTATTAAACAATATCGAACTACAATAAATGGCAATTTAATGTCTTACTCTTTCAGGATATGAAATGTTCATTGTTCACTTTCTCTACCTTTTTTAGGCATCGGACTATCTCCATGTATTAAATAATACACTGCCACCTACCAGGAGAAAGCCAATTTAAACAAAATTCAATTTGGATTTGTAACTTACCCTTAAATTTTCAATATTTTTGTCTATTTGTAACTCATTAAGATGGAGTCTTTTCCCATCTAGTAAAGTACCACTAGCTTTGACATTCTCCACCTCAAATGCCATTTTTGGACAGTAATTCAGTATTCCTTTTATTTGTTAAATATTTCTGGATTGACAGTAAGAGGGTAAGTCCCTTGCACCAAATCAAGTCTATTGATCAGCAGCTGAACCAGGTTCTGAACCTTCATCCACCTGCTTTTCACACTGAGCTGTCAGCCTCCCCTCTCTTGCCACCTTTATGTCCCAGGTTCTGTGTTAGCCTTGGTGCTGCTGCTGGAAGCAAGGCCAAGGCCACCCCTGCCTCCCACACTTGAATTTGGGAGGAAAGGGAAAGCAGAGGTGGAACAGGTAATTATGATTG